GCATGTCATTGCAGCATTTATGACACTTGGCTGCTTATTAAACAGAGAACAGAGGGGCGGAGTGGCAAACTGAATACACTGAGGCGAACAAGCTCTGCTCTGTTCCTGTCTTTCCATTATAGCACTGCCCATTATTAGCTTTTCCATTTCACCATTATACGAACAAGACCTGAAAGCACACAATCATTTGCTTTGCTCTGAGTGGAAGATTGAAAATTGTGGACTGATTCAGAGACTATATTTAGAGCCTTGAACTAATCCACTCAGAAGAAAGTGCTATTTGGGGTTGGGGCGGGGGGAGAGAGAGGTAAGTTTGGGTTGAGCGCCTGCAGGACACCAATGCTAATAAGAAATAATGTTACAGTAAACACAAATAACATGTCTGTAAATAAAATTCCTGGAAATATTCAGGAGAGAAAATGTTTCTCGGGGTGCTGATTCAGGTTTGGACCAGCTCTTATTTATGCCCGGGTTTGAGCACACTGAGCACCTGTTTTTCCCTCTCTATCCTCTACCTGTCTGTGTGTCATTACACACAGATGTCCTACATGAGTCTGGTTCTGCTCAAGGTTTCTGCCTGTGAGAAGGAAGTTTTTCCTTACCACTGTAACTTGCTTGCAAAGCGCTTTACTTTGAATTAGAGTGGGTCTGATCTCACAAGATGGGACTCAATCTTATCCTATGTTGATGTTGGGTCTAAATAAAAGGTAGAGTGTGGAGTTGACCAATGCTTGAGGTAACATTTGTCCTGAAATGGAACTATATAACTAAGATTGATAGATTTTTTGATTGATATGAAAGAGGATTACTCTTTAGATGCCCTAAACTGTTGAAGCATTTGAGAGTCTTCTGACTGATTGTTTTGGTCGTACCTTTACTTTCCTGTATTTGTTTATGCTGATGGCTCTTATAAGTGTTTAATAAAAGGCTTTAAAAACAAAGTGTAGGCTATAATTTTGGTACCAATGAGAGGCGAAGAAAGTCAGTCGTTGGTGGATATAAAGGAGCATAATTGTCTGAAGGGCCAACATTTCCTCCAACAGTTGGTGGAGACCAAAATGGAACTAAATAAGGACCATGTTACAGACTCGCAGTTGTTAGGTGGCCATAAACATGACTTTTAAGAAGATGTGGTAACAGTTTGCTATCTGGCATGTTTCTACAACCAAAATGTAAAAACAAAACCTTGACAAAAAAGTAAATACACAAAGAAACCATCAGTAAGCATCCAGCATTTTACAGGACCTTGTACCACCCACCTAATCTTCTTTACCTCCTGGTTTTATGAGGATGCTAAAACACCCGTCTCTCTGTTGCCATAAAGTTTCATAAATTTTTAAACCACATTCTTTCCAATTTATTGGTCTGAAAAGAATTTCTAGCCCCTCTAACCTAAAAGAAAGGTCCAAAAACAATCTTAGACCCGAACCTGAACAGATGACAGCTTTTCAAATGATAGCAGCCAATTCGACCATCAAGACTGAAACGGCAGGTAAAAGCGGTGCTTCACAGCGCTTTTCCAACAAGTTAATGCCTTTACACTTACACACCTGCTCCAACACAGGCTTGACGCATATAAAACCTCCTGAGCCAGACAAGTTTCCTCACAAACAATGATACATTTAACCAACCACACTGAGTAAGCCTGTGTACTTTCACTTTGTTGGAGACTAAACGACCCTGCAGAGGCTGTTTATCCTCACTCCATAACTCTCAAAAGCCTCATCTGTGTATCACAAGTAAACAATAAACTTGAAAATCTCATTAATTCAGCATGTTTGGTGGAAAGACTCTTCTCTTCTCTTCTATTTAGAAACTTAATCAAGCATCAGCGCGCAATGAAGGAAAGCAGTGGAGCGTTAGACAGGCAGATATTTATGGCACATCAGAATAGGCTGTAATTGGTTGTACAAGGTGCATAAAAAACCCTTCACAATTTCTTTCAGGTCATAATTAACCTTTACAGTACAACAAATGAGGTTATTAAAATGTAGATAAAGGAGGTTTACAGTCTCAAAACTATGAGGGATCTGATGGAAGTCACAATGGTGGCTTTTTTCCAGAGGTTGAGACCTGGGATGTTTTACTGGGACACTCACAGAAAGTGGTCATTGGATAGCCCCCAAGGATGACCGCTATTCACTCTCCCAGACAGCGGAGAGAAGAGTCAGTTTCCTCTGCACTCAGCCCCAGAGGATGAGAGAAACCAATTCTAAGTATCATTGCAAAGAGAGGGTGTAAATTTCACCTTGACCCAACTGGGCTGGTTGGGTGACCTCTGTTTCCCAAGCTGCAGAAGGAGAGGAAATCAAGTTGAATGTTTTAAAAGCATGTTGACAGCCCGGGTTGGGAAAGGTTTCAGCTGAGCAGTTATGCAAATGAAGTAAGAGTCGACTAGCGTTTGACAGAGGGAGTCCTCAAAGGATGTCATTGCTGAACTCTTCAGGAGTGTTTTCATTACAGGAACCTCTCAGAGCTGAGTGATGGTTCTAACAAAACACTGACCTTTAGATGGACTGTGCCCTGTGATTAACAAAACGGTGACAACAATAGCTCTGGTGAGAAAAGCTGACTAATGTTGCTTTACCAACAACACAAGGACAAAAGCCGGTGGAGTGTAGCAGCTCTCCTGTGTGCTATTCAACAGCACAAATCATGAAGCTTCCAGAAAAAAACAGGACAAAAAGCATTGATGGCTGCACATTTTCAGTCAGCAGGAGATCATGCAAGAGTAAGGCAGCATTGTTTGTGTGTGTGTGCAACTGTGTGTGGAAAGGGTTTTTGTGCAGGCCATTGATTGTAGTTTTGTTATGTCAAAAGTCACAGGGTTGAGACAAACAAACATTGATGTAGAGGCTGTGGAAAGGCTGAGTTTGTTTTTTTGGGGTGTTTTATAGAGGTAGGTGTCTTTCTATGGGATTGTTGGTTTGGCATCTGCTGTTACTGGCACCAGCGATGAAACTAAATAAAAGACGAGGAAGAAACAAAGTGCTTGTTGCCACTTTTTAGACAAACTGCTGTTGCTTTCTCTTTCAACTGCTTTTCTTTTCTATCTCAACAAAAGGGTTACATCCTTTTTTCACAACATTATGGACTTTTTAGATCAGATATATTCCTCAAGTCTATCCTCACACTGCACAGTGACTCAATCAGCTAAGAATCAGCTAACCCTTAGCTGCATTTGTTACTGATACCTATCATTATTAAATTAACTAGCTGCCTCATTAGCCATGCTTACATGTACAACATTTCTTGATCCGATTAAAAAATTTAAGGGATCGGATCATCTAAATCCACTGTTTATATGGGTGCAAAATCAAATAATCTGATCATGACGTGTGTATATGCACCAAGTTTTATTCAGATTAGAAGCATTTGGACATGTGCAGAGTTGTCTGGTTTCACTAAAACAAAAGCAGAGGAGGAGCTGTATTTCCGCCTGTGCTGTCAACAAACCAACAAACGTGGTAGTGACTCACTTCATCCAATTCAGGAGTTTTCCCCCTTTTAAATGTTGTCACCCTTGCGTACTTATTTTCTGTTCTGTCAAAGGTTAAACTGTGCAAGCAGATGTGATATCACTACGCTGTTTGTACGCCTCATTATGTTAGCGAAGGAGCAGACACGGCACCTGCTGTTGTGTTTTATGCCAGATTGTTAATAATGAAACCTCCTGTAGTGGCCTCAATTAAGAAAGAGTGAAGATCGAGTCAGGTAAGAGAGTCGCGATTGGAATAAGTGTTTACATGGGCGCGTTTCGGAATGACGATCGACATAAACCACCTCTCTTGATCGGAATACACTTTCTTTCCGATTGAGCCGAATTGGATCAGAACTTCTGATCAACATGTTCGGGCATTTATTCAGATTATTTGCGCCCATGCAAACGCCACTAATGTTTCTGATTCATTAAAATAGTTTGGTTTACAGTCTGAGTAAGTCTGTGACAGAAGTGTGTTTGAAGATGGATACTTATAAAGGTTCGGAAGCAACTGCAAAAACATCATTATGCTCCATTGCTCTACAGCGCCCCCCTTATGTCAAAGAAATGCAGGTTTTTGGCTCTGAAGGGCAAAATGTACCCGAGTAAAAGGCACTGGACCAAAACTACGAGGGCACAAACATTAAAACTGTGAGGCAGCTCAGAGGCCAAAATTGATCTTCTGGCTGTCTGATAAATCTCTGACCCAGAATCCACCTACAGACTCAGCAGAGACTCAGCAGTGATGGAGGACGAGACTAAAGAGTGGTGACGTTAGAGATTGTGTTGGTCCACAGCCTAAGAATTAAAGATTCATAACTTGAACCAATATGAAAGAACGGGGTTGGGAGGGTTGATGTGTTTTTGGAGTACAAGTGCAGGCTCTCAGAGCACTCATATAACCGGCAGATTTACCTGACATGTATTATAAATGGGATAGAGAGTGCATCGGTTCAAACTTCCTGTGGGGGCCTTAAGTACCAACATCTTAAAAAAACAAGCTATACAAAGAAATCCCTGTAGTTTTGGTCCTCCTACCTTTGAAAAATGTGGCACTATTGACATCTGATAATACATCAGTAAATAATCCACCTTATCGACCCTATTTAAGTTCTCCTACTTGTCAAAAGCGTGTGATATTTGCTGGCATGCACTCTTAAATCAAGTTAGTTCAGTAGAAAATTGATTCGTACGGCTGTGCATTTATTACTATGAGGGGTCAAAATGTGTTGTCAGAATAATGAATAATTTAAAGTGTTTATTTTGCCTGAAGCTGTTGCAGAGGTCTGTGCCATGCCGTAAATATAAAAAATCGGAAGAAAAGTGGATGAATAAACAAGACTGAGAAAAGTCTGGGGATGTTCCGCCGGAGTGCTGAGCTCATTAGGAGGGAATTAAATGCTGATAATGATGGATTTTAATTAGATGATTATAAAATCAGCTATGGAGTTTTTCCATTTTAGGTTCAGAAATACAGCAGGGCAAAAGCTTTACAGTATCTGTTCAAGAAGAGGACTGTGTTGGATATGATAGATGACAACAGTAATACATTTTAAAGGGTAAACACGACCTGATCTTCTGTCAACTGTTAGATAAGAGGCCATTCAAGAAGTCATGTTTGATGAAATAAAGTTCAAAAGATGCCATGACCGCACACTTGTAAAGATAACACATGAGTACTACTGCTGTTTTATGATCTCATCTGTTCTTCGCTGGTTTAATACTAAGAATCTGGGAGTCAGTTCTTACCACACACAAAGCAGAAGCACCATGCTGACTGGTAATGGATTTTCATTTGCAAATAAAATAGGGGCAAACCAGTTTATTTGCACTTGTGGGGATTAAAACAAATCACTAATGAAGTCGGGACTTCATTTAGAGGCTCTGTGTGCTCAGTGGAGCTTTTCAGTTCACTGAACTGGATGTTTTTTTGCTTTTGCCAGCACTAAAGAAAAACCTTTAATCACCACACACAAGACACCCACCAACATTTCTGCAAGTAAGAGTGCTGTAGCAGTCTTGATTAACTGGGACACTTGCTTTCATACGTCTGCAAAGTGACCAACACAATGGTTTTGGATGACTTCTAATTCCTGACTTCTACACTGCTGGAATTTGACATATGACTTTTTCTTTAATTAACCTAAAAGGATCCATTTAGTTCACTATCTACCCGACACTTTGGTTTATCCAGGAAAATTTTCTATACAGTTTAGAAACTGCATTTACTCTACATCAACAGATAGTTAGACTTTTGTGCATGTCTGTAAATTAAATTCAATGCTGCAACCGGAGGCTTATTAGCTTAGTTCAGCATAATGACTGTAAACATTTGCTGAAAGCTACTTAAATGGTTCACCACCAAAAAGTTCTCCAACAAAAACAAGTCTTTAAAACCCAATTTTTGTTTTCACACTTTTTGTGAGGAACAATTAAATGAACAAAATGTAAAATTCTGTAAAAAATATGATCTACTGAATCAGATTTTGATGTGAAAGATGAATTAAAGCTACAGTAGGGTACTTTTAGTGTCATCTTGTCCTTCATACAACATGGTATTTCTTGATATTAACAATTAATTTTGTTTTCTTTTGACGGTCTTCTTTGTCAATATGAAAATCTGCGGTCCAAAATGTCAAGAAAGTGTGTTGTCAGTGTTCCTGACTGAGCAGTACACCTCACAGCAGTTCCAGGTGTTAAAAATTACGATAAAGAACTTGCCACTCTTGTTGCTGGTGGTCTTGTCTGCCAATAAAGATGATTAGGAAGCATCAAGTATCCATGTCAATATGTTTCACAAGCAGTTAAAGCCCTCATCAGAGCTTTAAAGAAAGCCAGAGTTGTGCCATCCTCTTTTCCAGACTTCAAACTATGTAGTATTTGGCAGAAGGAGAGGATTTGTTGTTATATGAAAATACTGTGTACTGACAGACATTTCTGATGGTTAAAACTTTTTAAAACAAAAAGGAGTTGATATTTTTATATATCAACAAAGCTTCTTGTCTTCAAAGGCCACCATCTTTTCGTCATCGGGAGGGGTGAGCAAGAGAACATCTTACCACTCAGAAATACTTAACATTTCTCCTTCTACACCACTTCGATGTTGTGGCGTGGACATCGAAGTGGTGACATCATACAAAATCCAGGTGTACATCTGGTTAGTAAGTTAGACTGGTCTAAAAACGTAGACTACATAAAGGGGCTGAGCCGCCTTTTTAGCCTAAGAAGACTCCAATCAATATACATCTGCAGTCAGATGCTGCAGATGTTTTATCAGTCTGTGGTGGCAAGTGTTCTGTTCTACGCTGCAGTCTTCTGGAAAGAAAGATGCAAGGTGTCTAAACAAACTGATTAAAAAAGCTGGCTCTGTGATTGGTATCAAGTTGGACTCAGTGGAGGACGTTATGGAGAGAAACACACTGAGGAAGGTGGAGGACCAACACCATGATGGACTAAAAAAACAACAGTGGTGGACGGCTCCTGGACTGAGAGATTCAGGGGATGTTTTGTCTCCACAGCCATCAAACTGTTTTATTCTTCTATAAATAGTAGATGAGATGAGATTCCAGACAAATCAATTTCTCTTTGTGGATCAATAAAGTTCTTCTATTGTGTTGCACCTTTAAATTAAGCAAAGCTAATTCACATCAATAACTTGCAGTGATATAACTCTATTTAATCAGACAACACTGCAGGATATTTTAAAGAAACTAATATCTTAAAGCATTTAACCTTTATAGCACGTGTCTGTACTTTTGAGTGTTTTTTGTTGTTGTTGCTTTTTTTATTCATGTCTTTAAGGACAAGTTATTCTAAGTCTTAAACTGATAAATCTCAAGTTAATATGCAACCCTTTACTTCTAAACTGAACACCAGATGGCTGCGAGGTAATACATTATTTATTTGATAAATTAATGATAAAGTTTTCATTCACAACTTGCTGCTTCTCAGACACAGTTAACGCTGTGTATGTCATTTTTCTTCTGCCCTCTTTCACTGAAAGCAGCAGGTCAAGACAAACTCATCCAGTATGCACACACACTGTTTGACCCAAATGTACTGCAGTGTCAATATGTAAAGTCAATTGTTTTTATGCTTCGGAGCTTCTCCAGTCAGTGCTATTAGCATCAGGGGGGTAATTGTACAATGGGTTGGCGAAGGACAGCTTGGCGTCTTTCCAGGTTGAGGCCTGCTGTGGACGAATAAACACACAGAGAGACATACATCACGTCACTGACTTCTGCACAGATAATTGGAGTAAAGCCTCAAGGGCTGAGCAGAGGCACCTTACCTCCAACTCCCTCCTCCAGGGGTAGACACTGATTGAAAGCCCGCGCCCACCACTCTTGCTGGGGTCAACTCCTGAACAACAGCCTGGCCTTTCATGCAGAGTTGAGGGCTGGAGAAAAGCAAACATGTTCACTTGGCTTTAGTGAAGATGAGATTTAATGTGTGAGAGTGCATGAAATGCAGGCGCCATTAAAATCAAATTGACTTGTTATATTACACCTCTAACCTCCATAAAACCTCACATCTTCTTCCTGTGGTGGGATAAACATCCTCTGTTTTTCTTGCTTAGTCAAACAAGAGTTGAGACATATCTGTCTGGGTTGTGTAGATACCAGTTCACACCTACACCTCACTATTTATAGCTGCATCCCTTCCTGAAGCCACTTGAAAGCAAATATGTACAGACAACGCAGATATAGACCACACTGAAATACATTAACTGTATCACAGAAAACTAATCTGCTCTGACAAATCTCAGTGTTTGCATCAGTAAAAAACTTTATAGAAAAAGCTTGCCTGGAATATTATTAACTGTGGCATGTGACTTAAGCAGCACATTTACATCCATGAGAATCTTCATCATCAGAGTCATAAAAGTCATCGCTTTCATACAGTAAGACACTCGCTCCACGCCCACGCAGATTAGATGTGAGTGTGCTCGGACGTACAGTCACTTTTAGGAACACACACTAATAAAAGCCGCTATCCAAATGGACAAGCTGTGATGGTATCATCTCTAGTGCTGCTGGGATTTTTGTCCCTGTGAAAGCAGAAATAACAGCTGCAAAAACACAGCACCAAAAACTAAGTGCACAGGGTTTGGACACTATAAGTAAGAGATAATGTACAGTGAGCAGGTGGGTATGCAAATTAGAATCCCTGCAGAGTTAGCAGGACCCTGCATAGCAAACATCCTCCTGCTTGCTTAGTATCTGGCTGCCAACTAGAGCCATAAACAAGTTGACTCAATATACTGATGTAAAATGACTTACACACACACACTCACCGGTTGTTCTGTAGTTGCCTACATTGCAGAACGGGATCTTAAAAGTACCAAACATGTTGTTAAAGTTTGATTTGATGCTAACATTTTTTGCTACAGTGTCAGTAGGCAGAAGTGAAATGCGTCTGATTGCTTTCATTATGGACAACCTGTGTGACGAAAATAAGGCTGAGTGATAAAACATACTTGAGCTATAGGATATAAATTGGCTCTTTTACTATAATTAAGTGGGGAATACCAATTATTGAGTTAGTACATTTACTCAAATGTTAAAATTAGTCAAATTTGTACATTCTACCATTTTAAATCTATGCCTCTCTATTTCTCTTCACTATTCGCTTCTACCTAGCCACACGATGAAGTGAAATATTATTATTTCTTCTTCATTACAGTTATTCAGCAGCTCTGACCGTCATTATAAACTAATATTTGGACCATGTTGAGAATGGAAGTAAAAGAAAAATGTGTAATGAGTTTCCTTGAAGACAGATTCCTCTTATAGCTTTTACTTTCGTAGAACAGAAAAACAGCAAAAAGAGATAAAACTTCATAAAAAAATCACAAGTAAGCAAGATTCAGTTTAAACATGCTACAGATGTTTGGGTCAGGTACTTAAGACTGTACCACAGTGATCAACCAGCAGCGTTAAATCTTATAAACATTCAAATACTTCATTTAAAATAAATCAGTAATGTAAAATTTAAAGCTCAAGTGTGTAACTTTAAGTCTGTGTCCATTTTAGCGCCCCCCTGTGGATAAAGCAGTTTTTACTTGTCTTGTACAAGATTAACTTGTGGAAATTTAATAGCATTTTACTGATAAGGACAATATTTTTTAAAATTAGTACTTGTACTTTTAATTTCTTTATAATTATGTATTTTTTAGCTGATTTAGATACACAACTTTTTAATATTGTATAGGGCTTTAGCATTTACATACATTTTACTTGTTGAAAAAGGCACTTCTTCAACCTCTTTAAATAAAAAATGTCAATTTTGTATTCAGCTGTATCAGAAAGCTGCTGATTTTTTTGTTTATCTTTGTGTTTTGCTAACAGGCGCAGATTTTATCAGAGTCTATTCTTCTGTTATTGTATCTTCTTGCTTATATGCATTAAAGTAACACAGAAAGACACACAAATACCCACACAAGCCACAAAATCAATAAGCTTACATCAAAAATCTAATCAGGCAGAAAGGCTTGGCTTTCACCTTCTGACCTCCTCTAATGTTACATCAGTATATTGAATCAAGTGGTAGAAAAATGAGTTTGTATAGCTGAGAAATCTAATGTTGTCCTAGAAGAATTTCATGTTGATTGATTAGACATTTTTGTGCGCTGACCTCTGCTCTGTTGTCAAAGGCTGGGTTATCCATCACCCCGTAGTCCATGAGGTTGGCCTTTCTGTGGGGAAAAGGCACTCATCACTAACATCATTATGAGAAAAATGAGGAATTTTTTCTTGATTATAGTCACAACTCACCTTGATTGGCATTTTTTTGCATATACAGCCAGAGCACAGACAATTACTCCAGCTACCAGCAGCAGTAGTCCGATGCCGATGCCAACATATACGGAAACTAAACAAGAGGGAGGGACATTTGATTCTTACTCAAGAGATACCTTAATTAACCGCAGAGGCATTAACAGGGCATGCAAAGATACAGTGAATAAATCCAGGTGAGACAGTTTAATGGCGATGAGCAGGGAGGTGCGCTTGTTTATTACCCAGTTGTGTGTCCTCTGGTGTGGGTGATGGTGTAGAGAGAGTTGGTTTCTCCCTCACATGGCAGCGATTTCCCGTCCATCCTGAATGACACCTGTAATCAGACACCAAATATTAGAGTTTAACTCTGACTCTAACAACATGCTGCTTACTAACATACTATAGTAGTACCTTTGTTGTGATTATCATAGCCATGGCATACCACGACAAAAATATTATTGCAATATTTATGGAGAAGCCCAGACATGGGTGGAACAACATAAAACATATGTTTATGAATTTTACAACTCCATAAAATCTACCAATGAACACAACTGACTTTAATGTAATCATCAATTTCTAATTATGTTCAGATTTATGATTTATCCACATCATTAGCTGTGTTACTGAAACGTCTTAGGCTACGTTCACACTGCAGGCTATGATGCACAATTCAGATTTTTTGTTAAATCCGATCTTTTTGTGCAACGAATGTGGCATCATATGTGAACGGAATGCTTCCGAGAAGTGACTTGTGTGCGCACAAAGCACAAATTGCTTTCCGCGCCTGTTTGTGTTGTCGAGCAATGGTGACGTTTGTCGCATATTGATGACGTATAGGTCGGATGAACGCGCCTGAGTGTCCACACTGCAGTCACATTGGATACATATCCGATTTATATCCACATACAAAAGAGGCCTGGGTCGGATTTGAAAAAAATCAGAATTGCACTGTTCACACTTACATGAAAAAATCAGATATGTGTCACATATGGTTAAAAAATCGGACTTGACCTGCAGTGTGAACAAAGCCTTAGAGATGACACTGCCTCATGAAAGTTTCTAACTCATCAATATCTCAATTTAAGCCAACGGTGTAGTGGGCTATTACTGCTTAATGATTATTTAAAACTACCTTTTATAGTGTGAGTAAAGTGATGAAAGTAAAATAAAATAAAATTATAAAACAGTTAAAGAACTTTAATCACTGCTTTCCTCCTGCACACATCTGTGCTCACTATCTGAACCATGGTGATAGATTTATCCGTCTGACATCCAGCATGGAAACAGACTAACAGCAGCTTGGCCCAGAGGTTCCTCCTCTTCTCCCAAACTGAGACTTTACTCCAAGTCAACATCTGTTCAGTATCAACTTGATTTCTAAGCAACATTGACCTTCTAATGTGAAACACACAACTCTCAGCAAAACCAGACTGTGTCATTATCATTCAAAGAGGGTCAGGGTATATATTGTGTGACGGTCTGGCCATGGCAGTAGGAGGTCCCTGGCCTGCTTCCCTGGTGGATCCTGCTCGGCAGAGTGGAAGAACGTGATGCAAATACTGAGGCAGAGATGCCCTCCAATGCTGGCCTCTGGTTCTGCTACAGCAGGACTGTTATCAATGCTGGAACAGCTACAGGAACTGTAAACCACCATGTGCAGGGAATGATGGCGGTGAAGTCTTGTTACATAATGAGAGGAGGCAGCGGTGGCAGCAGCGCTGTGGAGTTTCAGGACGGTGGATAGATTGATAAATAATTTAAAACAAAGCATTGGATCTGAAGACTGATGGGAGAGGACACAACATTTTTCACAAGGTGAGATATCCTCACAACCAAAAACACATTTTCAGTTTAGCGGATACCACATTTAGTCAACTGGTGTCTGTTGTTTTGTTTTTTAATGGCAGTAGTTCCCAAAAAGAGGAGAAAGGCTTTGTGGAAAAATGTCAGAAATACTTCTTTTCATGTCAGTTTTGACTGACAGCGGTGAGCAGGCTGAGCTCCCATGGTGGAAGCAATTGTTAAACCTGCTCTGGAGCTTACAAGATAGCAGACTCATGTGGGCCTTCAGCTTTGGCATGAGTCAATCACATTTTCTGTTTGTTTTTGTTTTTTTTACATGCTATTAAATGACACAGGTAGTGTTTGTTCATTAGCCGGATGTGTTAAATACTTGAGACTAATTGGTCCAAACCTTATTACAGTGGTTATTAATTCTCAGCAATACAAGAAAGAAGCTGATTAAATAAGTCATATCAAACTGAACTGCAGAATGGTGTCTGGCAATGCCTGATGACTCTTTGGCAAAAAGGTAAGTTACCATCTCAGAAGTAATGAGTGTTTTACTCAGACTTGGTTTAAATGAGGGGATTTGATTGGCTGTGTGCAAACAAGCCTCCTTTTTTGGGTTTTATGTGGGGCTTTTCATGATTTGATCAAGAGCAAAGGACTGTATAGAGTAAAAAAAAAAAAAAAACTCAGACAAGAGCGTGGATACTGACATGCAGTAAAGGGCCAAGAGCTGTAACTGAACCTAGGCCGCCTGTTTCAAGGACTATGGCCTCCATACATGGGAAACAGGACTTACACTCTGAGCTAAACCAGCACCCAGACAAAATGTCTTTAAATCTTGAGAGGAAACAGACAGATAAAGTCAAATGAATCCAAGACTGAGTGCAATCTTGAAACAAAAAAAAAAACCCGGAATGGAAACACAAGAGTTTGTTTTCAGATCTTATTTTCAGGTTTTTAGCTCTTTTGTATATTTGTACATTGTTGTCGTCTGCTGATGCCTTTCCTCGACAAGCTGCTCTATACTGTTTGCCCTGTGAGAGATTAATAAAGCTGTTTGAATTGAGTTGAATTAGGATGTGGTAGATACATCTGCTTAGCAAAAATAGAAATAAATGAACAAACAATTTACTTTCTATGGCAGGTATTTTGTGCTGGTATTTCTACCCTTCCTGCTGCACAGTTCACATCCTGTTTGTGGAGACAGCGACCTTGTGACATAGACATGAAGAAAGTTTTGATTGAGGATTCACTGGTGCATAATGATGTTAGCAGATTCAGCAGCACGTCTCATTATTTCATTCTTACTCTCATAATGAAATATCTCATTGCAGTCATTCCAAGCTGCTGATGCAGACAACTAGATTCATGAGCTTCCTAAAAAAACAAAACCCCAACAGAGCGATCACAGTGTGTGTCTTGGACTGGTTTTGTTTATGTCAACGTGACGGTAGCAGCAGATTTATCTAATGCATGAATTTTTTTTGTGGTCTACCCAGTAAGACCATTGGCACATGGGCTGTGTGTAAATATTGACCAGGCGAATCCATGAAAGATTCCCAGAAAACATTGTGCTGGTGGATAAATGAAGGCAGAAACCACCCTGGTTAAGCTGTGGGGGGATAAGCAGATTCCCACATGCTTCATGGAGCATGTCTTTTCCAGGAAAAAAGGAAGACTGATGGGATTTCCATGTTTAATTTCCACAAAAAGAGATAAAGGACAGAGGACAAGAGGAGTGGGAAGACGAGACATGATAGTTATGTTTGTTTGTGAGTGCTAGAGGATGTGTAGGTGATTTTTTACTTACATGCAAACAGGCCCATGCGTCTTCACAAAGCACGAGCCTTGATTCAAGCAGTACAGCGGAGGACAATCTGCAGATTACACAAAAGAAACTGCAGAATATAAAAAACAACAAATGAAATTCTTTGATGCTTTTTCACCTGCAAACATTCCTTCACTTTTCCCTTGACAAGAAACAGACGTACACTGAAGACTCCCGCCTTGACATCTCAACATGAAATAGTTACGTTACGCTGCCAGGAAGGCATCATCCATTAACCTCTGCATTAAACCTCTTTAGCACTCCTGACTAATACTCCTCCTGCCACAGGTTGTGTGGGGGTTATCAGGGCTGCCTTTTAAATAATCATCATGTTTGAAACACCATAATGAAACCCTGAACTTCTGCTCAGCCTTGATAAAGTGACTCTGGCAGTAAATGCGGGCTCAATGTGAGGTTTGGTCTTTCTTCCTGAAAAATGCAGGAAAGCGGGGCTCTAAATGGGTCTTGGCAGCTCATAGTAACCTTTGAGGTGTGCATTGAGGGCTAAACAGGAAGATTTTTCCTGGAAGTCACTGCTTGGACTGTGCAGACATGGAGGGAATTTGGCAGCACCAGTGAGTAATAAGATATATTGCATGTATTGATTTATAAATAGCAAAATCAATGCATTTATACAGTATATTTGTCTAGAAGCAAACAGCAGGAAAGAGCTGAGTGTCAAACAGCTTAAAGGTGGAGTGGACTTAGTGGAAATGGTGTGTCCAGATATTAACTAGGGCACAGACTCATGCAAGGTGGCATGAAGTGAAATAAAAAACTTTTCTTATCATTTACCACAAGCAATCATACACATTTTATATACCTGTATCTGTTTTTTAAACTCAAGATAGCAGCAGAACAGAGCAGGACCATTCAGATCTTCTAAGCTTGATTACTGAAGGTGGGGTATAAAGATCAATTTCAGGGTTTACAATGTCTTTGAAGAGCTTTTTTTTTGTAGCTTTTCATGATTTACAGCCTCAAAAAATGATCTGAGAATGATGTCTTTGAAAAATCACACTTTGACCTCTGCACTTCAGAAGCCTCCTTCGCTGTTGCCAAGCCATAGGTTCATCTTCTTCTATGTAATATGATATATTATGAAATATGGCTGTATGTTTTGCCTCCACATCTGATCTGGGAAGTTTGGATAGTGACTCAATGACTACAAAGAACAGAGTGGGATATTTCAATTTGGTGAGAGGGACATTAATTATGCTCTTTGAAACTGATTTACCAATCAGTGATGGCATCACTTTGGCAAATCTCATGTCTCTTCTACCTAATTTAAGTAAAAAAAAAAAAAGCCATTCATAGTTGCCTTCGGTCTTCTCCTGGAGTTATTATGATACAAATTTAACTCAGAATTTGCCCACATATAGTATTGACATCCAACAATTCAGCCTAATACCTGTTCGTACATAACAAAAAAGACTAACACTACCTCAAAACCCGTGTCAGCCTGTTGCAATACAGCCCATACTAGATAATACATGTCCCTCTTCTGATTTGATTAACAGCCAATTATAGTTCAGGATTTTTGGGGCACTCAATCGATTTACAAAAAGGGCCCATGCCACCCCTGCTGCCCTTTTGGACACGCCCCTGCTTGAAGGATGTAATTTTAATTTGGCCGTCTCATTAATTGAAATCAAGTTATTAAATGGAACATAATCCAATTACACAGCAGTTACAGTTATTGAAAAACCACATCTGTATTATTGAATGGTAAAAGCTCACATGAACATTCAGCTATGCTAAGAGGGTTACTATCTCTCCAAAAATCAGTGCCCGAGTTTCAAGGTCAGGGAGTCATAAAATGGTTAATAGCAGAAAGCTCATAAGGAGATGGTTGGTATAAACGTGTTACCATGGCAGCTGGATTCATCGGAGTGAAACGGCAGACAGTCAGCAGTGTGGTCACATCGCTTCTGAAGAGGGATACAAGCAGGCAAGCCTTCACACACCAGTTCTCCCAGCTCACACTGCATCAGGGCTTGTGGGAAATAAAACGAGAAACCATGAAATTCTTGAAATATGAAAAGGGCTGAATAGGGTGTCTTAGAGTTGTTTTCACAGATCCCCGTGAGCATGCCACATGGGATGTAAAAGCTCAAGTTTTCACTGGAGCAAGAACTGGAACGATTTCTCTCTGATAAAAACAGGTTGGAAAGCTTTGAACACAAACTAATACAGAATAATAATTTTAAATTCACTACTTACGGCAGCTGTATTCATCCTCTCCATCAGGGCAGTCTGGGACACCGTCACAGCGCAGAATGGAGGGGAGGCAGAGGTCATTCAAACACTGGAAATACCCAACAGGACAGCCACCCTGAGGAGGAAGAGTACCAGGCACCACAGTGGGACAAAACTCTTCATCTGATCTATCGGCACAGTCCGGCTCTGCATCACACCTCCAGCTTTCTGGGATACACTGAAAGGAGTACAAACAACTGAACTGGTCCACAGCGCAGGTCAGGGGCTGGGGAGTCAAAGGTCCTGAAGTGATGCAAAACAAAGAGGACACATACGTATGATTACACATGCATATACAGAGTTGTACACACTTTTTAGCAATATACAGTTTATTCTAGCTGTTCAACAAACCAACAAATATTCCACGTCGTACCATTACTGAAACTATTTAACTACTACAACATACAGTTTAGCATTAGCTGATTATTTAACCTTCATATACATTAGGGGTGGGAGAAAAAAATCAATACAGCATAGTACTGTGATATTTTGCTTGGTGATATATTGTATCGTCTCATTTACCAAGTATCAATTTTTCAAATTAAATGCTAATATGAAGTCATATCTATGATAATGGCAAAATGAAATCTACTGTTTGTCCAGTGAAGTTGGCAGAGGTGACATCATAGAGCAGGAGAAAGTTAGTACAACAAATAAATATAAATAAAAGGTTTGAAAGAGGTACTACATGAAAATAAAACATAGCGTAAATAAGACAAACATAAAGGAAAGACAAATGCTAAATTAGCTTAACAGTTGAAAAAATTGTATAAATCACAATATATTGTATCCCAATACTCACTGTATTGCAAAATGTTAAAAATCGCAAAAATATTGTATCATGGCCCAAATATCGTGACAATATCGTATCGTGGGGCCACTAGTGTTTCCCACCCCTAATATACATGTTATCAATAAACTGTGGTTACTCCCATGCTTCAGTCAGAAACCTCAGATGGTACTTTAAGACATAGAGAGGTATGCTAATGGTCTATCTGAGCTATCAAGACCAAGCTCTGCAAAAACTCAGCAAAGAAGTGATTCAGGGTGAAAGGAGAGCAGCAGGGTGGAAGTGGGGAAACAACACAATATAAATGTAATTGCTTTCAGCCCCCCTTGCCCTCTGTCCCATCCCTCGGCACTGACCCGGTCTCCACTGTGAATTTCATACGGACCTATGGGGCAACAAGCTCCATTAACTCTCTACACTCTCCCCGAGGGTCCAAACAATTTATATGGAAACTGAGCAGAGGAGCATGGATGTTGGTGGGAAGAAAAAAATGTGGAAAAAGAGGAAACAGGAGAAGGTGAAAATTGAAGGAAAAGGCATGAAAAACTAGCACAGTGAAGGAAAATCAAGAAACTAAATGGATTACTTAAAAAAAGAGACAAAAAAGGACAAACTTTAGCTCTACCTTCTTCCATACAGTCTGCAGTAAAGGAAATGTCATCTAAGGCGATGTCTGTCCACACGTCTCCACCCGCCTCCGCCTGGAAGGCCACTTTGAAAGGTGCGGGGTTGGAAAGTATGACATTGGCGTATGTCCACTGGTTACCATGGTTTCCTGTAGTTGCCCACATTAGCAGACTGGTTCCACTGGGCCCAACTGTGTAGATCTGGTGGGGTATTTTATATTAGGTTGTGTACAAACTCATTTAGTTCATCCTCAAATGTAAAATTAAGGTGGTAAATTTTCCCCCTGCTTGATGTTAACTTTGTAAAAACCTGAGTGTTAAGGTCAGTCTCTGACATACTCTGTTACATTCTTCCCCTTAACTTGATTTTAATGGGCCTATAAAAGGACTGCAAGAGTGGTATTTCTTTAGCATGTTTATTTGATTTTTTGGTGAGCAAGGAAGAGGGTTATCATGGCTATTGATTGGCATTTACATATATCAATACTGCTAAACATACAAAGACGAAGACAAAGGTACTCCTCTCTAACAGCCTGGCTACTTAATAAATCGATTATTTTAAACCACATATTGTTTTGACATTGTTTATTTAGTTCAAAAATGATCATTTGAAATTGAAATTGTCTTGAAAATAGTACATTGTTTGGGTTACGCCAATAGTAAAGATCAACTCTGCTGCCGTCTTTAAACTTAGCTGATGTTGCATGAACATTTTTATACTTAATTTATCTCACAATGTATCAGATTCAACATTTTAATGAAGTTGCATCAAAACTAATCTAATCTAATCTAACATTCAGCACATTTAGGAGTATGTGGAGCACATCCACATGTACTTTCGAGCACTCTTTAATGAACATCACACCAAATTGGTTGTTTTATTTTTAAATTTGTTTTTAATGTTTTTGTTGCTCTAAAATGTAACTCTGCAAACAAAGAGGCCCAAAAAAGACATAAAAAGATGGATATGATAATTAAGTTTGCGAGGTGTCACGCTTTGATCGATCATTTCCCGGCAGGGGGACTTTCATTTCTTCCTGTGGGTATCAGCTGATTGACAGTAAGCAGAGTTTAATGTAGCGAGAGGAACAGTTAGAACCAAATTAAGCCTTCAGGTTGACCGTGATGGATCATCTGACGGCAGAATGACAGTAAATAAAACATGTTTGGGAGCGAGACACACTCAAAGGAAGACTTTGAATTATTTATGGAAATGTGGCTCAGGTTTAATCACCTTCAGTGTTCCCATCCTGTCAGAGCCGTGCATGTAGAACCAGAAGCGCAGGCGACACAGACCGATGCTGGCCGGAAATGGACTCCCGGTTGTCACTTTGGCGACATCGCCCTCCCTCTGAGTGGCTGAGTGTATGTACAGAAAGTTTCCTCCACCATCTTTGGAGATAAAGAACAGAGAAGCTCATATTTATAGTACATTTATGTAAGGTATGAGTAATAATTCAGTGAGACGAGGGATAAAGCCAAATGAGAAGGCAAATCTACAGCTTTGCCTTCCAAAATATGAAAAAAATCAGATAACGCTTCCAATATACATCATTTTTGGGCGGAAAAAAAGCATCTCTGCTGTTTATAAATCATATTTCCTGCGGCTAAAAGCTGCAGAGCTCCTTCAGCTCGGCTAAGCTCGAAGATGAGATGATATCAGTGTGAGACCAGAACAAAGTGGGAGTTTTCCACATGAGTTAAAGAGGATTTAAGGCCGCGATAATAGTTGACATATAAAACCCAGATTTCATTCGGAACACTAAATTCTGCTCCTCTGACACCAAAAAATTAAAAACAGACCTGAGCCTGAGCATTGATTGAAACAAAGGAAAAGACCTTTACCGTGTACACACATGAATGACGCTGATGATTTCTGGTTCATGCCCCCAGTGTGTTGTGTGTACATATGTATGTGTGTGTGTGTGTGTGTGTGTGTGTTAGCAGGCAGTTTATTGATCGGCTCTGAGGTGAGATCATGAGTTCAGCGTCCAGATTAATCTCTAAGATCGATGCACTCAACCGGCTGACCAAGAATAGGAGTGAGTCCATCAACGGAAAATTAAAGGAGGAAATGTGGCATGACTAAGTGTGGGACACACTTTTTTCCAGACTTTTACAGGGAATACACCAATGAAAATTCTCAAAACAATCAAAGCATGTTCGAACTTGATCTGCAGTTATAGACAGATTGTTTTCAAGTTTTATCTATTTATACATTTGTGATAGAATCTGACATTCAGTCGTGTTGGAAGAAATAGATGTAAAACTGTATAGAAAATCAAAGGCAGAGTAACTTGGAAAAAAAGGTTTTGCACTGGCCTTTGTAGAGGAGTTTAAGTGTCACCCAAGCACCTCTGAGGTAATTTGTACTGAAAGAAATCTTGTTTTGATGTAACAGCGTCTGAACACAAGATAACTAACAAGTCTGATGCTGTTAAGCTCAGCTTGACTCACGCTGACATTGATAAGGATGTGCTATTAACCCTGCCTTCACATGCCTGTCGGAAGCTCCAATTTCCCGGCTGTCGAGTTGTAATTAAGAAAAAGCTGCAGAGCAAGTGAGCTGAAAACACGGAGGATGTCAGGGCGATGCAAAAAGTTATTTGTTCTTGATATCAGGGAATGTTTTTGAGCAGATTATAAATCTTTTACTGGAAACATGGCAGGATGAGTTTCAAACATGAACAGGAAGAAGATAGTGGAATTAATGCTTCTGTTTGGAAGTACAAACTGATTTTTGCACCATGACAAGGTCAAGGGTTAAAAATAACTCCAAATTTTTAACTTATTGCAGACTGGAATCCCTTCAGAACAAGGCCAGGCACCTCAAATCCACTTAACATCCAGTTCCTGCTCACCTTCTCAGTATTCCAGTCTGATCAGTTTCATGTATTGAGATTTTAAAGCTGTTCAGAGAAAGTGCATTTTGTTTTGTGCCTAAAATTGACCATCTGCTTCAATGACACAAGATCTGTTGATCTGTTGTGGAGGTAGAGACAAAAAACCTCTATTTCTGGATGAGACTGTTTGTTTTTGGAGCTTGTTATCCATATATGTGAGAGTCTCAGAGACAGTACCCACCAGGACTGTGGTCAGCAGGCGGTCCAGCTCCTGGTGTCTCACTTTGACGACCAATCCTCCAATCAAAGTCATCGTCAGTGTTCTGCGAGAGCTGGCAGGCCTTCTCCCACTGGTTTTCATCCATGTTGAAATTACATGCGCCTGGTAAGCCCAGTATGTGAGCTTTATGGGGAATAAGAGAGAGAGAGAGAATGGAGGAGTGAGAAGACTGAGTTGAGAGTAAGTTTTCTGACTAACAGTAAAATGTTTTATTCCTGTGTCTCCTCACTGCAGTTTGTCTCATCTGACCCATCAGCACAGTCAGCCTTGTTGTCACACACCAGGTGGGATTGGATGCAGTGACCACTGCGGCATACAAAGTCTGTGATCGCAGGACAAGCAGCTGGCTCCACAGCATCTAAAACACACACAAGCAAACAAACAAACAAACAAACAAACAAACAAACAAACAAACAAACAAACAAACAAACAAACAAACAAACAAACAAACAAACAAACAGGACCAGAGCTAATGAAGAAACAATTATAACCCTCATTTAAATAATTTTATTAATCTTTTTTGGGACTGATGTGACCAATTCCTTTCTTACATCAAATCAGTTCAATTGTTCTGATGAACAACGGTGCGCTTTTAAAGCCTCCCTGTTCACTGCACCAAAGTGAATGAGCAGAAAAGCAGACAGTAAACAAAAGCAGATAAAGGCTTGTCAGAAAAAGAGTCAAAACTTTCAGGCAGATCAGGGAGGAAGAAAACAGAAGACAGCACGCAAATAACTGAGCGTGCTCACAATGTTAAATTTTCAAAGCTTGGGTAATGAAATGATGCTTAAAAGGAGCAAAGAGTTGAGCTTGTGTCACAGGGGTTCATATCAGCGCAGCCTAAGACCTGGAAATTGATCAAACTACTTCTATACTTTCAATACTTGCATAGGAACCCTGAAAAAAATGTAAAAAAAAAAAAAAGATGCCCAAGCAGTAGATGTTTAAGAATAGATTAATACACCAATAGACAAAAGTTGTGTCTACATTTTCTTTTTAAAGTATTTTTTTTCAGGGTGAAATGTGGGGAGATAGAGAGAGAGGGGCAAGGACATGCAGCACACGATTGGGGCTGGACTTGAACCCGCGGCCACTGCGGGGCCTGCGGTTCCCATATACGGGGCACCCTAACACAATTGGCGTTGTGTCTACATTTTAAAGTTTAAATGAAGTCTCTAGGTGAAAGTATGCCAGAGTTGTAGATGTTTGATAAACTCAGATAATTTTCTTTATGGCTTGTCTCATTGACTTCAATGCAAAATTTTTCTGCTATTTTTCACAATTTACATCACAGAAGAATTCATATACAATAGAGTAAGGTAATAGCATAACTAAACGATCAAATGGAACGTTTTAATACAGGGTTTGCCCTACCACCCCTAAGCTGTAGGACTAGTGCGAATCGAAATTTGTCTGGAAGAGGAATTAGAGAAAATCCACCGCAAACAATAGTGCCTCTGGGCTTTGCCTCGTGGCCATAACTAAAGAGCATTTTCAACTTGCATTTCAATTTGATGGAAACTGTGTGCAAGTTTCTGACTGTTAGCCATTACATTACATGTGTGCTTTCCAGTCTTGTTCCCTCTTCACTTGTCAGTAGGTCAGTTATATTTATGTCTCCTGGTGTGAGTGTGTTTATATTTGCGAGTCTGAGGGGGTGAAACCTCCCACATGGTCTCCAGTCTAATGTGGAACATCTGCTTCAGACATAACATCAAACTGCGTCCAACAGCCGCGCAGAAAATCAAACTTTTCTCCCTCTAAGTTGCACCATTTTTCTTTTTTTCTCTCGAGTGTTCCAGTGGCAGAATCAATTTTATACGCACAAACTATCAGCTGAAGAGATCATAAAATAATTTCACAGCACATTTATATCTCGCTGGTGGAGATTGCTGGAAGAACACTTTGATGAAACTGTGAAGGAGGAGAGACTTTTAATGTCATTTAATCCTCATAATGATCAAAAAGATCTTTTTTCAAGGTTCATTCAGATTTTGCAGGTCTCTCTTTTGGCTGTAATTTCTCACTCAGAGGATTTCACTCATGAGTAATGATCGAGTAACCCTGGATTTAGGGGGCTAACAATCACTGTAGGTGTACTTTTGACACTAATGGTGCTTTTGTTCTTGCATTGAGAAAGACAAGGTCGTTACAAGGGTTTAATTATCTTTAAAAACTACAACAAGGAGTTCATCGTAGGTTGTGAAACTGACTGAAATTATTACGTAAGCCTCTATTTGAGCTACAAAACCTAACAAGACCAGCAGCAACTTTCTACACAGAATCGTATAGCTCCTGTAGTATCTGCTGCAGGGTTGGTGTCAGATGTAATGATTAACTGCAAGCTGTCAAAACAGCTTTTTTTTTTACAGTTATCATGGTAATGATTCACAGTGAGTGATGAGTTTGACTGTAATCTTAAGCAGGATGTTTCCTCATGAAACACTAAATCAAAGTTTAAAGGACTTTTGATCAAAAAGTCTTTAAAACAAAATTGAAGAAGTAGAAAGTTTGCTGTGTACTGCCACCCTGCACAAACTGTCTCTAATGCGATGACGGATCAAATGTTTCACAGAAAAACCAGCGGTGGCAGCGGCTGTGATTACTTTTCCAGGTGTTGAGAGTTCAGGGCCGTAAAAAAAACCTTTCCATTCCGGTTCCTCCAATATCACAGCAATAAAAGTTTGAAACATTTCCCACCTCTTTTCCCACGTCTGCTTGTAATTTTAACACCTGAAGCATGGATGAAAGTGAGGAGAGTTACGACACTCACAAAGGTGAATCATTTTTCATTTTCCATAAAATTAGCTTGAAGGGAAATCCAGGATTCGATCATTTGGTTTGGAAATTAAAGGTACCTTTAAACAGATGTGGTAGAAGAGTTCATCCTTACTTTAAACCTCCTGTGACTGAAATTCATATCGATGCCCATTTTATGATATCTAAAAGCATACAACGCTATCAGGGACAAGACTGATGATTTTGAAACTGTAATTTTTATGCATGAAATCAGTGTGAGGGGGTAGATGCCCGCAGAGCAGCAAAGAGTGGGCTGCCTTCCCCATAGGGCTGCCATTTTGCTACAAGAGCAGAAAAACTAATGGAAAAACATGTTTTTGTGTCTAAATTTTTTTTTTTCAAGGGAGACTTAGCAAAGTTGCGGACAAAGGCACACAGGGAACTGCAGTACCATTCATAAGCATGAAAATAACAATAGAAAGAGAAACGATCTCAGAGTCCTTGTGCAACCAGGTTATCAAAAAGCAACAGCCTATTAAAGGATGTTCTTCAAATTCTTTCATTTTAGATTTAAAAGCATTCAAAGGCAACAGCTCCTTGAGTTTTGCGTCATTCTGTCATAAATCTGGCCAATGGGTATAAAAAAGTCGTGGAGGCACAATGAATATGGTCCAGCACTTTTCTGTGTGATAAAAACACAAAAATCTTGTGGTTATACAGGCCAAGAATGACCTTAAAAATGGAGGTGTGCTAATGTATTAGCGTGTGAGTTGCCAAAGATGGCCATTAAACCCTGGAGTGTAATTCAGGATAGTGACTAACAGCTTTACAACTGGTTAGGAGTTTCAATCTTGCATCTGACTGCTATAGATATCCCTTAATGTTCTTATTTCTACATGATGTACCCTTAAAGCAACATTAAGCAATGCTTCAACGTTTCAAAAACAGATTCCAGATAGTCTCGATTGCACAGGACTTAAAGACAAACTGTCTTGTGTTTACTCCAAAAAACACAGTGCCTCTTGAATTTCCACTCCATTCCCCAAACCACTGGTTTTCGTGATAACGTAACTTGTGTTGAGAGGGTTAGATCTCCTATGACAAGTGCCAAACACTTTATTGAACTTCTTCCTGGCAGTGGGTCTTGAAGGCAAACTCCTCCTGTTATTATTCTCATCATGTCAAGACAGGATGATCTGGCAGAGGAGTTCCTGGGCAAGAGGAACAACTTCTGGCAAGAGTCAATTTCTGACTGTTTTTATTAGCCATTGGTGAGAAGAAGCACTGACTCTGTTGAGGTGCCAAAGCACAACAAAATAACAGTTTTTGTTAGGAGCTGGGCAGAGCCAGCAGGAGGATGAGGTTAGCTGAGCATGACTTAGCATAAAGACTGGAAACAAGAAGCAGGAGCTAGACTGACTCTGTTTACATGTTAAAAAAAACACACACTACCATATTGGATGAACAAAAAATTTAAATCACTTTTTTAAGGGGATGTATGTATTATTACTTTTGGTTTGACGAAGTAGTCAGCAAAATGCTCATGCTAGTGTAGCTAGTATGCCACATATACAGTTATGTTCATAATAATAGCAATGTGTTTAAAAAGGTAAGTAAACCTCAAAATTCTTCAAAATAAATTGTAGTTGAATGAACACAAATGCATTGGGGACACTACACATTCTATTTCAAAGAAAGAACATTGGAAAAACTAGTTAAATTTGATAATATTTTACAGATATTATGCCATTTCTTTTTAGGCCAGTGAATTAAAATAATAATAATTTTATTTATATAGCACCTTTAAAAACAGAAGTTTACAAAGTGCTTAGACAACAGTTGTAAGCACAGAGCATCAGCACATTGAAAATAAAAACACATAAAAACAAAAGCTCAGTTAAAAAACAGGCATCTGAATTGTAGGCCTGTTTCACTTTTCGTAAGAAACCCAGGCAATACAAGAACCCTACAAAATAAATGGGACCATGAGGACCAAAATAAAAGCAAAAAAAAAAAAAAGAAATAGAAAAGGAGGGAAGAAAACAGGCTAGTAAGTATAAAAGAGGATATTAATAATAATAATAAAATCATAATAAAATAAAATGATGGTAATATAAATGATAAAGTGGAATTAAATATATATATATAAAATAAAGGAAAATGAAAACATTAAAATCAATAAAAAGATTATAAGTAAAACAAAGGCTAAAAAGGCAGTAAGTCTAAATAAGAAAGAGGTGAAAGAGGTAAAAGAAAAAGGAGAAAAATAAAAACGGTAAAAGGCAATAAAAGATGAAAGATGGCATCACATAAAGGCAAGTCTGTAAAAGTGAGTTTTTAAAATTGACTTAAAAGAAGCGACTGTCTCTGCACGCCTTATCTCCTCTGGCAGGTCGTTCCGAAGTCGAGGAGCTCTGATGGAGAAAGCTCTATCACCTTTAGTCTTGAGCCTCGACTTTGGAACGACCAGGAGGCCTTCGCTAGAGGATCTGAGGCTGCGAGTTGGCTCATAAGATTATGACCGCTTCAGCACGTGTATTTCTTTATTTTTTAACACAGGGACTTTGCAGGGGGGCTTCCTGCTGGTAGCTTTGCTCAGCATAGTTGTCGTCTAATTGTTACAGTACTCACAGGCAATCTTAGCTCTTCTTTGATCCTCCTGGAGCTGATCATTGGCTGAGCCTTTGCCATTTTGGTTATTCTCCGATCCATTCGAATAGTCATTTTTCTTTTTCTTCTGTGCCTTTCGGGTTTGGCTGCCATTTTAAAGCGTTTCTTATCATTTTAGATGAACAATCATTTTCTGCTCTTCTTTATAAGTTTTCCCCTCTTTTATTAGTTTCTTAATCAAAGAACGCTCTTCTTCTGAACAGTATCTTGAACGACCCATTTTACTCTGTTTTTGAAGGACAAATGCACAGCCAGCATATGCAGCGTCAGTTGCCTTGATCCTTAAATAAGGGCCACCTGTTTAACACTTATTTCTTTCACATAATCTATGACCTAACTAATTGAACTCGGCACTGCTATTTTTTTGAACACACCCCTTTCAGTAAATGATTTTAGTTTTACAGAATCAGCAGCATGCATGTCATGCCTGTGGGGTCTGCTGGTTTTCTATACCTTTACTAAACCTTCTAGAAGCTTAGTTGAAGTGTAGAAGTTGAAATTCTGTAAGTAGCATCTGTCAAGATTTGCAAGTGCTACTTTTTCCTGAGTCATTTTGTCTTTTTTGTGCACACTGTTCTTTATATCACTTACTTGGAGCACAGTCAATGAACTCCAGGTCATCCAGGGCAGCTCCTCCGCTCACATCCATCGTGCGAACCCCCTCAAATATCACCTGAAAGTCCCTCAGCTTCCTCAGAGGGATCGCTGCACGGTTCCACTTGTTCCCCTGATGCCCCGTCTTGTTCCACACCTCCCACAGATTGTTCTCTGCCTGTGGAGAGAAAAAGCGATGACAAAGCATGTGGTGGTTTTTCTGGTCACAATGTCAAGTCTACTAATGTTTCAAAGAGCCTCAAAGTGAATCTAAAGCTGCAGCTGTGAGAAAGAAATGAGTCACACTAAGTAAGAAAAAGGTGATGAAGTAAAAATGAGCTGAAATTAACTCTTGGACTGACTGCTGCTGCAGAGAAACAGTGAGTGCCATCAAAGAGGAGTCATTAAAGTCTCATTATCATAATATTGTAGTAATAAGTTCCCCTATGTTCAGATCTGCTCTCCAAAATGAAACCATGCTTTCGTGAGTTATGCTAATGGTTTTCTCTCATGCCACATGTGGAACATATTTGAAGAACAGACCAATGTGTATTCCTCTTAAAGTCTGCTCTGTCTTTTCCCATGGCACTACACGGGCACTAAATCATGACTTATACAGCTTTAAGACAACAAATGGGACTTTGAAAGGTGATTTTACGAGCAGGCATCCCACCGGTGGTTTTTAATGTTGTGTCAAGAGCATGAATGAGACATTTACAAAGTCATATCACATCATATAAAAGATGAAAATATGTGGAACTATAGCAGAATTACTGGTGAGGGTGTGGAAATTGTTAAGTTTATGGTGTCTACATCCTTTCTTTTTCAATTCAACAATAGCAGAGAGGTTTTAAACAGTGTGAAATAAACTGTCACCTCGAATAAACCCAAAAAACGTTATAGTCAGGACAAAATTGTTTGTAGAAATAGACTTGTAACACTTTTTACTTCTCAAAAGAGGGTAAAAGGAAACTAGAGAGGATTGAGCTGTTAATGCTTCATAATAATGATATCAACCTCTCTGCAGCTTCGGCTACTTTGGCTGATAAGTTCAGTTTAAATCAAAGCAAAAAAAAAAAACTAAAGAAAATTGTAGTATATGCTTATAAATGAATTATTTGATGTTTTATTCCTTCATGTCAGATCAAGTTTACTACTAAACTGTCAGAACACATTATAATGGGTTGCATTTCTTCTAAATTAGAAAACTGTGTTTATTTTTTTTTAACTTAACTTTTGAAGAGATAATTTTCAGGGCTAACCAAGGTGCCAAAATTGCAGTTCCTCCATTGGCCACTTGAAGTCGGCTCCAAAGACAAGTCAAGCCCCATAGACTCCCATGTAAAAGTGTTCAACTACATCTTTACAGCTAAGAACACAGACAATTTTAGTCTTTATGGCTTTCTTTCTAATTCAGACATTTACTTATTAAATGATTACACTTGTGCAAAATCAAGTGTTTGCTAGAGGAACAAATTTCTGTCTTTGACATTACATACAGTAATGTTGGCAAGGATTTGGTTTGACGGCTTAATTGAACCTTTTTGAAACTAAAAGGCTTTATAAGTTCATGTCTCTCAACATTTCAATCACTGACTGTATATGATCAATTGACAAACAGTGAAGCAAAAGTTATTTGGCTGATACCATATGTTGACACCATTTGAAATCCTCATAGTTGAAGTGATTCTGAAAATGACTCCAGCTTCAGGTCAATACTGTGAAGCAGTTGCATGTTAAACCACTCAGTATTTAATACCAGAATCTTAAGATTTTACAACCCATTCTGCTGAAGTTCGTAAGAGTAATGTTAAGACTGCTGTAACTCTGCAGTAATTCCTAACGACTTCCTCGTCCTCTGGTCTCTTCAGAGGTGACTGCAGGTCTTTAACATCACATCATTAATTCAGTCCATCGTCACAATGAGAATCAGGCTAACTCAGAAGTGCCAGACTTTCAGACTCTGCAGGTGAATAAAGCACACAGAGTATTGCATGCTTTAATAGTATATTTTTTTCAGACTTAGAGTATGTAGCTAAAGGCTCCGCTGCAGTAAATGAGACCTGGTCTAATGTACTCAAAAGCAGAGGACGAGGAATGTCACAGTCTACTTCTCAGTTTGAAAGCCTATTAAAATGCACCCTTGGGTGAGGCATGCATAGGCTGTCTCCTCTGCTATATGCCAGTGGAGCTCTGGCTTGAAATAATCTTGTTACTGTGAGAGTTGAGCATAGATTAATAGGCAGCATTACAACAGGACTCCTCCAGATTTATGTCATGGAGTTGGGGCTCAATCTATAAAAGCAGCCTTAAAGCGGCTGACGAGTGTATGATACTGGCATCGGTACCTCGTATTTGCTGTCTAGGTGGTGGATCAGTTGAGGCATTTATTCGATCAATTTGAAGGCTCATTTCCCGAGCTCTCAGTCCAGGCGATGCAACCACAAATTCAGTTTGCTCAAAGTGAAGAGTGAACGCTTGCACCGTGGCATTTTATATTCCCTCTGGTGACATTCGTGGGGGACCAACGAAGACGAAAGACAATTGTAATCATGATGAAATGTGTTTTTTTATTGAAATTCTGAAAAGCCACTTTGTCTGAACAATACAAGAAATGTCCCATTCGGCTGAAATCCCATCTTTATTCATGGATTCCTTAGTCTACTGAACTGCTGGCAGCTGTTTCACTGTAAACTCCCATTTAATTCAAACTTTAAGTTAAGAGCTATTAAACGCTAAAGGTTTATTACCATTCTGTTTGAGTGAATGCACAGCTTTACAAGTCAAGAGCATGATTTAGGCATTAGCTGTGGCGTGCCATATTTTACTTGGTTTTAATGTGATTTCTTGGGCTGACTTGCAGATGTTGCAGACTGCTCACCATAATGGGAGACCACATGTGGACCCACCAAACCATATAAAAAAGAAAGATAAATTCGTAAAAAGCAGGCTGTCCAACCTGATATTAAGCAATATCTCTGAATTCAAAAGATTTGTCGGCAACTCCAGCTTATAGACGGCCTACTTTAAGAAATAAGGCATGAACGATGCAAGAGTAGCTCACAGGTCTGCTGTTAAAAATAGACAAGACTGTTAAGCCCCTTGTGGACTTCACAGAGGGAACACTTGCAAGGTAAATATGATCCCCCACTCTGTATCTAGCATCATTACCATAACTGCTTTTGTTCTTCAGTCCACCTTTACGGATGGCTTACACACACTCCACATTAACACCACAGTGTTCCCAGAGCGTGTCCTGTCTAAGCCTGTTTCATGTTTGAATTCATGTTGAATCTTTGACATTAAACAACATCAAGGCTATAAAAACGCTATAATGCAGTAAATTAAAGCACAAAGCGATAATGTGTGAAAGCTAATGTCTTTGAACCTTCGAGGTCCTGCATGCATTTAACTTCAAGAGACTACAGGGACTTTCAGCTGAACTAAGGTATTGATTCGCTCTCACTGTTCACTCTCTGAGACACATTAAAGACAAAAATTAGACAACACTTAAATCTAAACCTACATAATGATAACCTCCAACATCACAATCCTCTCAGTGGGTTCTTCATTTTCGTCTTGGCTCTAACCTTCTCCAAAGGCCAAATTTTCCATTTTTCATCCACATGAGAACATGGAGGACATGTAAAACAGTCCTCATGCATTCATCATGCGCCTCCTCTCGCAGAGACACATAATCGATCACATAGCCAGTGGGCCTGACTGGAGAGCTGGATGATATAAGTGATTCGAATTGGGAACAGCTACTTTCTCTCGTCTGCAGCAGACGTCAGTCTCAAATCGATACACTATAGTAGGGTAATAAAATATTTGAATTTTAAATACAAATTAAGCAGAAACAATAAATAAAACCATATCCAGAGGCGACAGAGAGAGAAGGGGAAAATTCTTGAAATATTCTCTCCTGAAAATTCTCCCAATTTTGTGGAATAATCCATACATCCCTGAAAGTTACAAGGAAATTTCTCACAAAATAGTGTTTTTGCCGAATTTCATTAATATCAAAGTTATGACTCTTTTTCGTTAATCTCTCAAAGGGATTAACACTCACTTCAATTCACCGATGAATAAAAGGAAAAAAATAATTATAGGTTTGATAACACTTCAGGTTGACTAATTCATGTTTGGTTTTGGTTTTGGGCACTCATGATAAAAACATACAGACTTCCCTATAGGGCACATTTGGATTCAAGTGCTGTTGTAAGTTTTACGAGCTGAATCAGTTAATTTTCTTCTGTTAAAACAGTCACATTTCTGCAGCTGTGTGAGTCAATATCTTGTGAATGTTTAGACATTACTTATACTTAAGACATTATAAATCTACATAAAACTTGCTGGTGTGTTTGGCAATAACATAAAACAGTTCCAGGAGTTTATTGAGGCACAGGTTCAACCCAGCCAGTGCTGTCCATTGTCATTGAATGAGAAAAATCTGCAGTCCCAAACACAATCAAACACCCTAATGATGAATTTTACGCCTGCACCTTGACCTTGAGTCGTACTTGACAAAGTGAAAAGATGTCGAGTGCTCACAGACGGGAGGCAGAGTAAATCACAGCAGAATTTCAATGGCCGAAAAGCTGCAGCAGAAATCTTAATCCCTCAAAGTCAAGCATGAATACACAAACTAGATGGCTGAGTGCCTAACAAGCAAGGAGACTTGAGATCTGGCAGGGCCGGTGCGTGCCCAGATGGTGGAGAGACGATGCTCTGGGCCAGAGGGTTGACCATGACCCCCTCGCTCACCACCCTCCCTCCCTTGATGCCACCACCTCCCTCTACCACAAAGGCTAAACTGCAGCTCTATAGGACTTGTGTTTATTAAGTTAGCCTCATCATTTCTCATCATGGTTGTTCGGTTTAAATCATATTTGACACCAATATAATCTCGCCGGTGGCTTACTTTGATAAACAGGCGGATCGTTCCCGAGGCCTTGTGGGAAATGAAGTACCAGAAGGACAGTTTGCAGATGGCGCTCGACTCTTTCCAAACAGAGCTCCTTATATGAGCCTTATCTCCTTTGAGTCCCACAGGTGTAGCTTCCAGATAGATAAAATGACCTGAAGAGCGAAGATGAAGAGAGGGAGGAGGAGAAGGAGGAGGAGGGCGACAACAAGGGAGACGAGTCAAAGAGAAATTGATAACTATCTCTGCATAGGGAGCTTTTGCAGCCGGTGACAAATTATAGCAAGGTTAGAGCAGTGTGGTTGAGGAGAGAGGACCCAGGGTCAGTAATCTCTGACACATCTTCCTATATCATCGCCTTTTGACACATGGGGGAGCGCTGGAATATTCCCATTTGAGTCTGGCTCATTAAATAAAAATGAAGCCTGAGTTGACAGCTAAATACTAAACTAATGTGAAGGGGGGTCATTGTGTAAGTATGAGGATTTTTTTTTTCTACATTACTACCAACAAGAGTTAAGTCCTACATTTGTAACTTTTAGTACTGAATATTTTAAACCAAAAAAAATCCTACAATTCAAATTTGTGATTTTAAAGGTTTTTATAAAGTGTTCCTGGTGTCTAATGAGATGCATTTCTCTGGCAGTAGCTATTTTTTACTCAAATTTATTATTATTATTTTTTGACATTCCCAAGTAAAATTTCTGCATGTAATTGGAGTGAGGTGATGGAAAAAGTTACACTATGTTTCTAGTGCAAGAGTGACACAAAGAAGGATAAAAACCACAACTTAGATTAAAAATACTACTCTATTTTTTTTCTTTTTTTTCCTTAAATTACCAGATTTTTTTTAATTTCAGGGTTATTTTATTTTTTCGATTTTCTAAACTTTTTTTCCCTTTAATTTTCTGTCCATCTGATTCATTTTCTTATTTTTTTTTTTCTGTTTGTTTTTGGCTTGTTTGTTTGTTGTTGTTTTGTCTGGGTCTGCTATTTATCACATAATAAGCCAACTGCTATGTTTTATGTCACATTTGTGTGAACACATTTGTAAAAAAATAAAACAATTAAAAAAAAAAAAAAAATTAAGTGAAAAAAGAAATCTGGTAATTTTTTGGAATTTTTTTAGAGGTGTCAGAAAATTTTCCGTATTCTCTGTTAAGTTTCTGCAAATTTTCAGAAAGGAGTATGTGAAAGAAGCTTTCAGGAAATCTCCAGAAAATTTCAGGAGCTCATTTTCAAAAGATTAATTTAAACAAACAAAAGTTTGGGTGTTGATGAGATCATATCCGGCACCCTTTGGATGAAGCTTTCAGGTGGATGCTGGGGAACTGACAGGACTCTCGGTAAAACCCCAGTGCTGGTTCAGGGTGGTATCAAACTACACTTTCTGTTGAAACCATGTGTCATCAGAATCCAGCAGAAATGATGATTCCAAGGATAACAACTTCTGCCTGCTTGCACTTCCATATGACCTCCTTCGTCGTATAATACTGTATGCTGGTTCTTAACGAGTATCCCTTTTCACTGTACACACTGTATAAAGGAATAACAGCCTTGCATCAATCACCTCAAGGCTCACCTGCTGCATATTCGCTGGGTAAGAGCTCATTGACTCACAGAGGAGGAGATGAGACATGAATTAAACATTGTGCAGAACCACAATTTGAACTGGACTAGTGGATATTTTAAAGTCGGCTCAGTTTCATTTATTCTGATTATATAAAACCACCCACAAGTCCTCGATGTATGTGCACTTGCTCAATTATACAATGTTTATACAGAGAGGGGGATGAAACCGCACAGAATCTTTTTTTAATAAGAAACCGGACCTCGCAGAATTCAACAACTTTTAGATGAAGTGAAAGTTAAATAGGGAAAAAAGTGAACACATACCGTTTTCATCCATCAGTGTGTGGTCATATGGAGGCCGTATGCTTCTGACAGACCCTGTTCCTAGCTTCCAGTCAAAATTATCAGCCAGGGAGCTCTTCCAGCCACAGCGACCGTTCTCGAAGCTGCAGGAAGTCCCACAATCCTTTTCATCAGTGCCATCGCCACAGTCGTCTGTGAAGTCACAGCTCTGCCCTGGAGTGAAACACCGGCCATTTTCACACCGCAGGAAGCCTGGAGGACAGGAACCTGGAAAAATGGCAGACAGGAAATAATTTAAGATCCTTGACCTGTATTTGTGCTCTCTCTCAATGATAGGTTTATCACCTGGGACATGATAGGTAAGTAATTTCTCTGCATCTGGAAGCATCCGAGGACACTTTGCTGCTGTCTTTTTGCTTAGTTTGGCTAATCTACCATCAGTCATAGCTTCATATTAAAAGCAGACATGAGGGTGACATTGTTTTCCTTATATAAGTGGTGACAAGACAACAATGTTAGATCACTCTTTCAAGAATTCATATGGTGCTTTACAGTGCAGCTTCCATTTGATTCACTGGATTTCACATGGAGTCAAGCGTTCAGTATTAACTTTTGGGGGAAGAAGTCAACAGGGAGAGTGTGGAGACCATCTGCATACAGCATCAGGGTCTCCTTAAGAAGCTTAAGAAGACAAAAGAGCACGCAGCTAAGAGCCCGAATCAGTGTATCACGGGGTGGTGGTGCTGGAGGGGGGCTGGAATCTGCTTCTTTAGGTGCCAGGCATTCCAGCGGGGTCAGTGCCTGGCTTTGGGGAGTGTCAGAGAGGAGAGTTGAAGCGTGATGAAGAGGGGTGGTCCCTGTAAGGAAAGAAGTGAAAGGGGTATAAGTCCCTCCTAATCTTTTGTTCCTCTTCAGATGCACAGGACCAGAAGCAATGCGTCCCAACAAAGCCACAGAGGGAGCCAGGAAGCCACGGCTCCCGACTGTGATGCCAGACTGCCTCACCTCCTGATGGGAGAGCAGAGGAGCTGAAGGTTGGATTTATTGTAAAGAAACATTAATGTTTGAACCTAAAAGTATCCCATTTCTCCGATATGTGTTTTATCCTCTCTGAAATCAATTGTCCTTGTTTTTTTTTTGTAAGTATTTTCTTACATGCATACACTGAGGGCTTTTAGATGCTGTGTGGTAAATGACCTTTACATTGTATTCATATACAGTACGATGCTTAAAGTGGCACACTGCCCCCTGCTGCCATAATGTTGTTCACAGAAGAGTTTCCACTTTGCCCACAGGGGGCGCCTGAATGTTCCTGGCAGGAGCTTTAAAGGACTTATTTATTTAATAACCAGACAATAACTATAAACCACTTTTTATTATTTCGTATTTACAGGTTTAAGCGTATAGAAATGGGAGTATTGTGTAAAACCTAGCAGTCAGATTCTGTACTGAAATGCTTCTTTGCTCATCCATCCTAACAGCATTGGCCCTGAGGAGAAATATGGTCTTTTAGTTGTTGTTACGATAAAAATGAATCATACAACTTCAACACAAAAGAGTGTATGATACTAGTTTGACCATTCTGTGATACCCTAGAAACATGGCGATACAAGGTAACAGCCTCTGCCAAGAGGGAATCTGCTCCAATATTGCTATAAAAGGCTTATTCTGAGTCAACAAAGACAAATCTTTTTACATTTAGGTGATTAAACACGAACTTTACCAAGTATATTCTGCATCTGAAATGATTTTCACCTTGCTTTGCTTCATTCCCCTCTTCACCTCTATGTAGTATAAAGCACATATTAATGGCGATAGCATCATGACCCCCATTGCTCTTACAGCCAGTCTATGTCAACCTCATAAAGTGCAAAAGATCTACCTTTTGATCATCTGCTGTCAAATTTATAACCTTCAAACTGAAGATTAAATTGAGGTTATGAGATCAGAGGACCACTGGTGAAGATAGATAAAGCGTAGCATCTGTGTTGGCTTCATGTATCATTTTCGATGATAGCTTTTTTTCTATTTTGACATGCTGCCAGCGGCCTCTTTATCAAGAACATCATACAGTCCTGTCCTACCAAATACAACCATTCCACTTTAACTTCTACTTTCACGACTGCTGCAGAGTTTTGTAATTTATATTAGCTGTGTTATTTTTAACAATGTCATAGACAATGTTAATTAAATCAGAATGTTTTGATTGACAGTCTTTAAGTGCTTATAAGGGGAGGCTATATATCCAGAGGACCCAGTCATACTTTGTCTCCTCATGTATGTAAATGGGAATGAGTGGCTCTCAGTTTAATGAACACATCACCTTCAACTCTGACCTCAATAATGAGCACACAGCTGAATTTACATATTTATAATATATATTATTATTATATAAATAAAGTTACTGAACACTTAATGGCACCAGCATTTGAATGACTGATGTTTTATTGACTGAGCTGTTGTATCAGATCTGCATTAGATCACTCCAGTGTACTTAACAGGGACATCACTGAGTGACCATTATGCAAATGCACCTTCTTTAAATATAACATGATATTTGCAGAAACAGCCCAGAGCAAAATATAATAAGGAAGGAAGAGAGCTTCAAATGGATTCTGCCACGTTAGTCTTAATTAATTATGTCTGGGCACATCTCCCTAATTCTCTCCTAGACGTGTAATAAGTCATCTCGTCACTTTCATTATTTCACTTTTTATTATTTCTGCTGCTCGGGTAAGAAGTCTGACAGCGCTCAAGCTGAAAGAGAAAGCAAGATGTTCAATTAGACTTTAAATCTAAAATAACGGGTGGATATTCTTTCACACACAGCAGCTCTTGGTGTCACAGGTCTATGTTGACTGTTCTTATCGGTCTGCAGTGTCTTTCTAAAGCCAAGATAAAATACCCAGCAATAACAGGCCACATGCTGTGGGCGCGTGCTGAGCTCCAGCTCTTCATCATGTAACGAGGTGGTGTTATAGACTGAGGCGGTGGAGGAAAAATTGCCCTGAGGGGCTTCAGTATATAATTACACTTCCTGCTGTCTTCAGTCTTGTCAGTATTACTGTATATTCTCTGCAGCCTGTGGCAGTCTTATAAAGCTGGCTCTCTACCGGCTCTTTTAATGATGGGATGAACTCACTTCGCTGTCAGGGCATAGGTGTTACTCTCTGTCCAAAACGTCAAGAAATATCCACGATCCCTCTATTCTGTAGACCCACATCTCTTTCTATATTCATGCGGCTTTACTTGCTGTGCTCGCACTTGGTCTGGAAGTGTTCCTGTCATGTTTTGAAAAGGAAACAGTCTTTTCTCTCATTTCATGTTTTTCTTTATGGTTCACTCAACCCAACTGAGTACTCTACACTGTCAGTCAATCTTTATTTGTCATTTATCCATCATAAGCAAACAGCGACTTCAAACTGGTGAAGGACCAATATAAAATTTGATTTTGTCGCCCATCCTGGCTCCAGGATTTCATTTCAACAGGACAACCGGCTTTGCTAGCTTCTTGTTTCTGCTTGTTGGGTTGTCAGAGTGTTTTTCCCAGCAGGTGTATTTCTGCGAGGAGCAAATCTGCCTGAAACAGAAGTGATTGGTGGTTTTTTTTCCATGAGCATCTGTTGCTTACAGCTATGCATCCCTCACACAGTGGCACAGTCACTGTATCCTAGAATACTCATGCTAGATGCTGCCAGCTTCTTAGCCCAGGTTTATTACTCATGGTACATATATACGGATTTAAATAGGCCATTTTACACCTTTGCACAAATTTTGAGCCAGCACAAATTGTGTTTCAAGCTCAAGCAGACTCAAAGAAAACCTGCTGGAGAGGTGTGTAATGTAGCAGCATTAACATATGGAAGCATCATAAGCACCGAGACCTGGCTGCACTTCCACAGAGCTCCCCGGTCTGACTCTGTGGGACCCCTGCTGTTTCCCATAAGCACTAATACTGACAAATGCAGGGAGGCACTTAAAGAGAGAGCAGAAAGGGAGAGGGAGAGATGCATCACACTTCTGCTGCTGAAGGATCTCACTTTCTCCCGTTTGTCTCAAAACAACCCAGAGCCCCATTCAGGGGCCGCACAGCTCCACAGTTTCATCCATTTCTGAGCACAGACAATCTAGAAGCTGTCTCTCCTCTCTGCTATCCAATAGAAGAGAAAGGCAATAAATTTAATAGGCCAATTATAGGCGCGGTAACAACGGCAATAAATCAGCTCTTGTTGTTTGTCTCGCCTCTTAAAGGTTTCCCCCCACAAAGAGGGGAAGGGATGCAGAGGAACATCTAATAGATGAATAGTTCCCCAGCCAGAGATTCAGATGCCAATGGAGCTGGCTTTAGTCAGTGCTTGGACAGGCAGTGACAAACACTGTGTGGGACCTCAGTGTGTCAAGTTAATGTCACTGAGGATTTGTATTCATAATTTTAGCTCCAAGTATCCAGGAAATGGTAATATTATTCTGCCCTTTCATCATCTCCCGACACTTCTGTTTGAATCATGTCGCTGCATGTTTACACACACACACAACAAATAGCTGTGATGAAAGTCAACATAAGCAGGAAGTCAATGACATGGTTTGAACATACTTATTACACTTGCTTGACTAAGTTTCACTCTTTTATTCTGAATCAATTTCCAAAAATGACAGTTTTTGTCCTCCAAGTGCAGAGACAGTTTTTGATATCTAATCAGCCAATTATCCTCTGACTGCTCATATCAGCACATTATTACACCAGTCATCAAAACTGCAGTTATCTTTTTATTATGGATATCTTTCCTTCAACAAGAAAATCCTTTAAAACGACACTTGCAGCTCTATCGCCCTGTTCCTCTGCTCGCACTGACTGTTATTTTCAAATCTCTAAAATATTCTCAGAAAAGAAGAAAAACCCTGAAGAAGTACAGCTGCAAAGAGAAACCCTGTGGTCCAAGCAGGGTCATTTTTCAACATGAAACTGAAAAGCCAATATTAACTGGCTATTTCTTTCAGGGACAATAATTAAAACAAAATGTTTCAGTTTCCAGCCTGGCTTTCACCAGGGATCCAGTCTTGGCAGGAATATTCTGGCTATTTATTTCTGCCGCAGTATGAACAATGAAATTCTTGTCTCCTAGGGACAAAGTACTTGGTTGATCATCCATCTTTGTCTGCTGGACCTACAAGTAATTACAGCTGTGAACTTTTCTACCAGAGTTAATATTATATAGAAGCTGTTAAAGGTCACTGTCAAACAGCTGGCTTTAAAATCCAAATCAAAAACAGTTTCTGATCCAACTCTTTAGAAATAAGAAGAGTAGCAACACTTAGTACAGTTGAACAGAAGAAAAGGAAACACCCACAGTTTCTGATTGGAACTTTACAGAATCTGCACATGTTAGTTCATATGCACCATTACATTATAAATCTGAATATATATGCATGAGGGGTGGGAGATTAAATCGATACAGTATAGTATCGCAATATTTTGTCTGGTGATATATCGTATCGTCTCATTACCCAAGTATCATTTTTTTAAGTTAAATGCTAATATAAAGTCAAATCTATGATAATGGAAAAACAAAATCAACTGTTTGTCCATTGAGGTTGGCAGAGGTGACATCATAGAGCAGAAAAAAATTAGTACAACAAATATAAAGGTTTGCATGATGTGCAACATGAAAACATAATACAGCATAAATAAGACAAACATAAAGGGAGGACAAATGCTAAACTAGCTAAACAGTTGAAAAAAATTTATAAATCGCAATATATCATATCGCAATACTCACTGTATTGCAAAATGTTAAAAATCGCAATAATATCATATCGTGGCCCAAGTATCTTGATAACATCTTATCGTGAGGCCACTCGTGATTCCCACCCATAATATGCATTATGTTAAAATAGAGGCTAAAAGACTTGAACCTCTAACCTAGCCTGTATAACTGACTTTAATTATAATTAAAGCCCATGCTTCTTTGCTCTAATTGGTTGTTACACATGTCAGTCGATAAAAAAAAAACAAAGAGCTAAGTATTATTAATTAAGGCAGAACTTTAGTTGTTATAAGGTGACAAAGGTTTGAGTTAGCTGGACCAATCACAGCTCTTCACTTATGTGAGGCAGGCCTTAAGCACCACTTGAGGCTTTTTGTAAACAACTGAGACTGCAGCTTCTGCTGCAGGGAAATCCACTGAATCTGCTATTGTGGCTTTTTTAATATTTGGGATAATATATTTCCATTAAATCAAGAAACAGCTTCTGCACTGACAACATTCATCAGTAAGAAAGATGTGTGTCTTTCCTCTACATGATGCTGTCTGTTTACATTTTGTGTTGCTATGGGCTACTCAACACACTGCATTAATCTGGATGGTTGTAGGTCTGTCCAACCGTTTCCAGTTGCTAATGTCTCCAGGAAAAACTAAATGAACCGAGAGGTTCCAGACTCACTCACCGAGGTGAATTGATCAGATGACACCAAACCTTGTATGGGTAAATTGCTTTGAAAGATGATTCAAAGTGGGAGAAGGATTGAAGTGAGTTAAACTGAAGTACAATGAGATGGGTTTAAGCGTTAACAATAACACAGAAGAAATGAGTCGTTCAAAATAACCATATAAAAACATTCAGTAGCAGTGCTTCATGTTGTTTGAGACCTAGGAGGAGAGAGCAAATTAGGCAAGATTTACTGGGGACAAACTGAAGTAAAAAAGGAGAGGATGTACCTGCAGGAGGAGGAGGAGTGTTGTTCTCTACTTCAGGTGAGGAGGCGAGCAGACACCCTGGAGCGAAAGTGATATCATCCAGGCAGATGTCACCCTTTGGACTGCGGCCCACCTTTCCCTCAAATATCACCTGAAAGTCCTCGCTGTGGCTCAAGTGGATCTCCCTCATCTGCCAGTAGTTGCCCTGATCTCCCGTCAGGTTCAGAAGGAGGTGAGGGCGTCCCCGGCTCTTTCTGAACACACTAAGAGTGCCAATACTGTCTCCAGACATGTGGAGGTAGAAACGCATCTGCATGAAAGATGAAAATTGTTTTAGCTAAATTCATCCATCCAAACACATCCATGTATTTGGACAACAAACAGCTGGCTGTTAACCTTTACTAATGGCAGGATACTAAAATACATGAATTTGTGTTTTATTAAATCACTTATCATTTAATGGTCCTTTAAAACCAGTTTATCACTATGAGTTAATGGTTCTACACCGACATATTATGTGTCTTTAGGACATCCTTTCTGCCAAATAGCCATAACCCTCTGGTATAAATGTGAAAGAAACCAAAGTTACAGCAAAGAAAGGTTTTTGAGTCCAACTCTTGTCACCAGAGAGAGAAACTTTTTGTTAAGTGGCGCTTTCAGGGAAATTGACTCTGTCCTCCACACAGATTGCGACAGCATCGTTCGATTGTTTTTATGGTGAAGTTGAGGTGTGTTCATTAGCTACAGCTGCACAACTTCACCCTCCATCTCTTCAGAGAGATTGCCTTTCCTCCCCTTCCACTCACACCCCTCCACTCCCCCATTACAGTCATCCTTTCACTTTAATTGGTGCCTTTTTTTTCACTGTCTGGATGATTGATTGACAGGTCAGGAGTGGGATAAGACAGGGACGACATACAGAGCAAACTGTGCAGTCAATCAAGACATCGTTGCTCGGCAGGAATCAGGCTGACAGCTGGGAGGACACACACACACACACACACACACACACACACACACACACACACACACACACACACACACACACACACACACACACACACTACAAAGTGTCAAATCACACACACCCAGTTACTAATTGCATGCTCTGTTACAACACATCTCCAACAGTTCATAAAAGTTTAAAAGGTACATACTTGATGAAAGATTCCAACCTTTATCTTGCAGTGATGAAGGATGTTACCACTTTCAATTCAGACCAGTGTGAAAATGCAATTGGAGGTTGTTTTCATAGTCAGCCACACAGTGCAAGGTCTGACTAAAACTTCATTTGCTGTTTCAACACAACATGTGAATAAAAGAGCCTTGGAGGTGTCTATAAGCTCATCTTATCTTTGGAAACACCCAGGCTAGCTCCCTATGACATTGATTTTGCCATAACACTCAACAAAAAGTGTATTTAAAAATGTCTGAATGTGCTTCCTGTACCAACAGTTTGAGACTCTTTTGTGGAGGCATTTAGCTGTAGTGAAACACACAGAAGTCCATCATTGTTCAGTTTTGTCCTCGAACATCTCAACCTTATTTTGTGTTCACGGTTATTTAATACAATATTTCTGCTGCCGTGACAGCAATGAATGAAAGTAATCAATGCAGTTATAAATGTATCCATAATAGCAGATGTATGCTCCAAGCCAGTGTTTTTAACATGCTATACAGAGACCAGTGCAAGTCACTCCAGCTGGATCTTTTTGTCCCTGTGAGGTACAAAGTGTTGTGAAGCTTTTAAATCAGATATACGGATTACATTTCAGTATTCATATCAGGAGACCCAGAGGAGTACTAATGCTTCATTAAATTTTCATTGTCTTTTACTTGTTCAATCTCCTTTGACTCTAAACTTTCTCTGTTTCAGCTGAGCTCTGTGGTGTCCATTTATTCAAAGCCATATTTTCTACAGAATCCTGTAAATTTTACCTCAGGTCTTGAATCTTCAGCCTTAAAGTTGCACCAACAAATATCAAAACATTTACAGGTGAGTTTTTATGTGAACCCATGGCCTCACAGTAACTTGTTTTCCAGTTTAAAGGCTTAAAAGAAGTAACTTTTTATCTTAAGTTGTCAAAAAAAAAAAACTACATGGTGACTGCCTACTCCAACTCACCTTACACTCTCTGCTCTTGTGGCTCAGTAAAGGTCCTGCCACACGGGCAGTGTCTCCAGCCGCCTGGGGGAAGGAGCTCTCTAGGTAGAGGTAGTGACCAGAGGGATCTCTCAGGGTGTGATCACTTGAAGGCCCAGTGCCAACAGTTGGAGTACTACCCGCCTTGATCAACCAATCAAAGTCATCCTCTTGACACTGACGCCAGGAACAGAGGTCAAACTCGAAGCTGCAGCGCATGCCGAAGCCCTCTGAAAGGCAGAATAAAAAATTAAGCAGTTGAAGCCATGCAGTTATTTGGGATTAATCTTTCTCAGGGTGTCATCAGTGCGACAGTAGAGCAGGCCTCACGGCAGATGTAGGAGTCCTCGTCAGAGTTGTCCCCGCAGTGGTTGATGAAATCACACAGGTTGTCTTGAGGGATGCAGTGACCATTAGCGCAGGCGTACTGCTCAGATGTACACAGCTGCTCTAAAGGAAGAGGAGGGGAGCAGTGCTGGAAACTGACATCATCTATGACCACGTCTCCCATGTAGCTGATGCCTCGCTTTACCCTGAACACCACCTGACCACAGACATAAAAAACAGACAAACTCTCAGTCCTGTACATAATCACACTTTCAGCCAGGATCCACATACTACAATACCTTTTATACCATATTACTACAGTAGCCATATTCCTTTCCATTGAAGGAAAACGTTTATTAGCAATCAGGTGACTATTAACTATCTTATGGTATAACTGGTACATTTAAAAGACATATACAGAATATGATATGTATGATATAGTTCTGTTGGTACAGAAAGCAGATACAGTTAATAAGAGGGGCAAAAAATAGTGTATGTTTTCATTTATGTATAAACACATAACTTCATGCCACATTAGGGCTGGGCGATTAACCAAACATTTACTGATACCAAAATTTATAACAATAACCAACGCTGTTTTTCCCATGTCAATATATTCGGTGTCAAAAAAATAAATAAATAAAAGTTGGTTTTGGATGTGTGTAGGTAGGCTATGGTCTCATGTCCCTTTAAGATGCTGTTCTATGTCAGAGACGTGACTCCACCCCATCCTGTCCAACAAAGAGGGAAAGACAGGTGAGGAGATGGAGGACGGTTCAAAAGTTGTAGCAGCTGGAGAGGCTGCTGAAGTGGACTAAGTTAATCTGGGAGGGGGTGAGCAGCTCGTGGAGTAGTTATCGTTATCAAGGTGAACTGCTCAGTATATCGTGATATTGATTTGACACCATATCGCCCAGCCCTATGCCACACACTGCATAATTTCAGATCAAGTCCTGTCCTGATCACAGCAAATATATATGGTCAATCCTAGCAAGAAGAAGGCCCAAAACGTAGGAGGTGCCACTTGGTCTATTGTTGACACTCGATCTAATGTGACAAGGTGCGAGGGGGAAAAAAAGGCCAAAAGCTGCTGTTCAACTCTGGTGATGTTATTCTGCATCTTGGGGCGGTCGGCAAATGAAGAGCTAAGAGACGGGGAAGAAAGGGCACTTCAGCAGCTCGATGCATCAACGGTGCAGATCAGAGAGTGTCTGCTCTGACAAAGGTTAATTTGCATCACTGAAAATGTGTAAAGGCTGCGGTATTTGGTCAGAGAGAGGACTGCTCCTGTCCTGTGCAATCAAGACCTCTGTCCTTTGTGGGTGTTAGTGCATCTGTATATATAAGTGTGTGGGGAAAATGGCCTGGAATAACCTCTTCAGAGTGACACAGTGGAAGGATTGCACCTCTGATAACCGTCACAGTCGCAGCTAAAGACTCATTAGACTGAATTAGACCCAATCAATTTATCATTGATCATCAAGTCTGAACATCCAATTTAGTTTGCCATAAGTGAAATCAGGACAATTAAACTGATGCGGATAGTAAGAAGAGTCTGATTACAAATATTCAATGAGGTCTGAAGGGCGCGTGGATAATTGCAAAGGGAGGATAGCTCTGGAAAATGTTATCATGTCATGTCAAAAGTGTTTGCTCTGTTTAAGAGTCATGACAGGCTGGCTCAATAGTTGTTTTGCATTCAGGTCACATCTCTTTTTATTGTTCTAACAATAAAGCATCTGTATATTGGATGATGATGAATCAAGTAGCAGCGTGCCTCCTGGGAAATCAGTGGTCCTTGCAGTATGAATGGACTCTGGTGGATAAAGAACTACCTCTGAGCTCTGCTGATCTTGTCCTGTATATGAATATTACTCTGATTTCTTTCTACTGTCAACCATATCAGCCACTGTGATTACATGTGGTTTGAAACGTTAGAAAATAGACAATGTTTCTGCAGTGTGCTTTAAGTTTCTCTGTCTGAAGAAAATCACAAAAATCTTTTTGTAAACCATAATATGTGATAAGGACAAATTCACTGCATGACACAGTGGAAATATCTTTAAGTGACATTCTAACTCACAGACCTGAAAGGTAGATGATAACCCCAAAAACACTTCTCCCCGTCTCCATTTGTTGCCTTGGTTACCAGTCTGGGACCAAACCTCCTGAGTGACGTTCCCATTCTTCAGCAGCACCTGCAAATTTAGAAAGATATGAGTTTCGTGATGAAAGCCTCTGCACGGAGTATCATTATCACACTAAGCACAGCGTGTTCCCTCTTTTTACCTGCAGGGATCCCACTGTGAAGCCGCTCATGTGGTACCAAAAGACCAAGGTACACTGTGGCCCAGTGGAGGAGATGACAGGTGTCTGAAGGTCAGTGGTTTGACCGTAACCCCCGTTTGAACTGTCAGCACACATATACCAACCCTGGGGACTGCCTCTGTTGGATAAAAAGTACAGAATTAGCTTATAAATATGTGCCCGAGCAGTGGATTTTACACTTGAAAGCTTGGATCATTATTAGGTCATTGTATTGATTTTCTTGAATGAAAGTGACCTTCTAAAAAACATCATCTCATGAGGAGGCTTTCGCACACCAACACCTCTATTGGTTAGCCAACCTACATTTTTAATGTTTAGCTTTACTAGCTGCGTTTACATGGGCACAAATAATCGGAATAAATGCCCGATCTGAATAAAAATGCGTCAAGTAAACATGTTGATCGGAGGATTCTGATCCAATTCAGCTCAGTCAGAAAGAAATTGTATTCCGATCAAGAAGGGTGGTTTATGCCGATCTTTAGCCTTTAGCTGATTTATTGAGGCCACTACAGGAGGTTTCATTATTAACTCTCTGGCTCCTCCAGTAACATAACAAGGCGTACATACAGCGCAATATTGTCATATCTGCTCACACAGTGCAACCTTTTATGGAACAGTAAAATAAGTACGCAAGGGCGCCATCTAGTGTCAACATTTAACAGGGGGGAAAACACCTGAATTGGATGGAGTGAGCCACTACAGCATTTGTTGGTTTGTTGACAGCATTCTCGTAAATACAACACTTGAGCAGTTGTTTTAGTGAAATCAGACAACTCCGCGCATGTCCAAATACTTCTAATCTGAATAAAGCTTGGTGCATGTATACGCACATCATGATAGGATTCTTTCATTTTGCACCCAGTGGATTCAGATTATCCAATCCCTCTAATCTTTAATCGGATCAAGAAACATGTAAAGCTGGCTATTTTCTTTTTTCTATTCTTTTTTCTTACCAGGGTGCACAATACTATTACGCTTATATGGTTTTCCAAATCTGATCGAAAAACTTCCACTTGTTTTGTCCCCACTTTTGATTTACTATCCCTGGTGTCTTGTAAATCCCTTAATCCCTATTTAACATGTTTTCAGTTGCCTCAAAAAATTGTTTGAATATGAATTTCCTCCTGGCGTTCATTAAAAGCTTAACTAGGTCATGGTCAGGAGTTAAACAAAAAGGAAAAAGGACCCAAAATGCAGAACAAAAAAAAAAAGGATTTATATAAAACAAACTCAATGAAGGCAACAAAAACTTTCCAAAGAAAAAAAAAAAAAAAAAACACAAGAGGCAAAATCCAACTAACCGAAAATCACTGGAGACTCACTGGGAAGACAAGCATATGCTGCCTGACATACACGTCGACATACATACAAACAGTGAACCAACAAGAACAGAGGCGAAGACAGGGACTATATACACACATAGGGAAACGAGCAACAGGTGAGGCAGACGAGACACAGGTGAAACTCATGAGTGATTAACGAAGGAGGGAAAACTAGAGAAGTAACACCAGACTAGAAACAAAAGGTATCGACTTTTTTTGTTTTGTCTCAATTTTGGCGCCCCCCTGTGGTCAAAGCAGTTCATTTCAGCATATTGCTGATCTTATTCTTAACATGTAGTTGGTGTAAAAGTCTCCTCCGACATCTTTTGATGGCGAAATTGTAACCCTAACTCTTAATAATTAAGTGAAAAATGGAACTGACAGATAAATTCGACACCTACCCACAGGAATAGTTATGGATATTAAAAATTATAAAGCAGAAATAACCAGTTTTATTCCTGATGGTCTTGTTCGTTTTCCTAGGTTATAAAAAGAGGTCATCGTCGATGTCTGTCTTTTTCGTAACTACACAAAACCTTCTCACAGGAGCTTTAAAGATTGCTGAAATCACATACAGTGAATCCTGTTTACCAATTTACAAATAAAGACTCTGTGAATGTACCTATTTTTGTAATTTAAACATTTCACAGTAGGAGAAATTTCTCAGACTTCCAGTCAAGTTCACGTTCCAGGTTTGAACATCAGACTTTTCAATATTAAAATTTTCAATATTAAACCAGCACTGGCTTACAGATTGGTTGTGATGTAACAAATCATGCTTGTGCACTCATGTCTCAGGTAAACTCAGGTTTAAGGTGAGCACAGAGAAACCCTCTCCCTTCAGTAGATTAAAGTGAAAACAACCTTCTACTGTCAAACTCAGCATATAAATCTTGCTGCACAGTGGAGGTCAGACATCCGATAAGATGACATATTTTTGGAAGTAAATTTTTACAACCTAATTTCAGAGCTTTATGTATGTCCACTTCATTTATAGTGATTAACGATGCTTAAGTGAAAAAATAATTAGACTAAGTAACGATGAGAACCCTGTTTGGTGATTGATTTGTAGTGGGTGAATATTTTGAAGAAACTTATTAGGTCATAATCACAGTATCCCTGCTTTTCTTGACTGCATCAGCAGATAATACTGATTATCGTTGCAGGAGTTACAGTACAAATGTTGCTATTTTGATAACCCTCTCTGATATGTTGACATGTTTCTCCAGCCAATGAGCCAGAAAGCTATAAACTGCCATTCCCTAAACTACCCACCAACAAGAGTAAGATAAGTAATGCTGTAATTGCCTTGCACCACCTTGACTACATTTACTTCTGGATATAAAATTCCCATAAGAGGTGTGGCTCCAATTGGGTTAAATAAGGTACCGCTTCCCCTCCTCATTTCATTCAAACCGTATCGATCAAGAGCCAGTCAAGGCTGCAGCAGGAGTGAGGAGGGAAAGTGCTAGGCACACAGAGGGGTTATGCAAGGAGATTCTGTCTGCAATTCAGGTGGCTGAGGGATGAAATTATTGAAATATGGTGGTCAAAGTGCAGCGCCATTTCCTGCTCCCACAGCACACAGATAAGGGCGCTCAGGTTACTATATTCAATCAGCAACAGACGGGCATGTCTTATTCATCATACAGTTCATTTTAAAGAACTCTGACTTTAACAGGGTTTCTGTTTCACAGTTTTTGAGTATTTCCCCACATGTTGGGAACAAAGACATACACTTATTGCTAATATTTGTGAAGTGACATAGTCTGGCTTAATTTTTCATGTTATTTAACCCTTTTTTATGACCGAGCAGTATGAAAAGTACAAATCATGACGTCAAAGAGTATATAATCTGTTCATAATCCAAATGTATTTAGTGTACTCACAGGGTGTGGTCATTTATAGGACGGTGGTATTGCTCTCCATCATGGATGCTCTCCCCTTGCTCAGGAGACCAGCGAAACGTGTGGATTGGGACCAAAGTGGTATCAACGCTCTTCCAACCACAAGTGTCTCCACCTTCAAAATCACACAGCTCCTTCACTGTACAAAGAAACAATAGTAAGTAAAAATGGAGGTTAAAGAAATGTAACAACATGAGAGGAGTTAGAAAAAGGAAATAATACAGCACTGTGGAAAAAAGTATGACATTTATGAGGTGAAATTGTTAATGGTCCAAAAATGAATGTTTTACCACAATCTAATTCGTCTGAGCCGTCAGAACAATCCTGCCTGAAGTCACACACTTTGTTGTTGGGGATACACTCCCCTTGTGCCCCACACACAAACTGTCCATCTGGGCAGCTGTGGGGCTGAACTGTGGAGGCTGGAGGGGTCACTGTCGGGGTGGTGGTGTTTGGTTTGGGGAGTTCTCCTGTAACCAGACGATAGTAGAAAACAAAAATCCAACATTAGAATTGACAGAGATTTCCCAAAGAGAGGTTATATTTCCATTTCTGAGAAGGTTATTCACCTTCATATGGAACACAGTTCAGGAAGGAAAGATCGTCAATGGCGATGTCTCCATTAAAATCATCTCCAACTGTACCTTCGATCAGAATCTGCCATTGAAAAAAAAATAAGAATCAAAACAACAGTTGAAGATTGGTTAGCAATGACAGCCATCTAAGGTCATATTTATCAATTCCAACAAACAAGAACAAATCACTGATTTAATCTACTATGAAGTCAAACAGGTCTAAATTGCACAGATTTAACAAGGGTGTCATCGTCATATGTATCAAAGCTTGTGACCAGGGGAAGAAAGTCCATTCATTTCCTGTCAGATGATACACGTATCATATGTGTCAATGGTTTTCTGTGTTTCTTTTATACTTCACATAAGCATAAGCTTGGGTTTGTTCAGTTGGTCATTAGCTGGCTGGTAACTGCTAGCTACAAAATCTTGATGACCTGCTGTGGTCACATGGGGATCTATTTAGATTGACAGGAAGAGAGATGGCAAAAATATTCCAACCCAAAAAAAATTTCACTGCTATAAAGAGTAGACAGGTGTTGCCAGACCGATCAGGCAGGAGGGACTAGAACAGCTGTCAGGTATACTGACCCAATCACAGTCCTTTATGTAAAAATGGGATGACTGTTGTAAGATGATGACATGACATGATTTCAGGAAATTAGTAAATATGCAAGAACCTCCACTACTGTTTTAAATAAATTGTCGCATTTTGAGACACAAAGATCCTTAATTTTACCTTGCTATGGGACATAATAGGTTTTACTCTAATCTGAGTGGGTTTATGTGAGTAAATTGACATATGCTCCACCGGTTGGTTTAGTTTAGAAAGCTGGACAGAAATCAGATAGTTTGGAAAACAAGGACTTTGTTTTTTTTCCTGGACATTGAGGAGACCAGAGCAAAGATGAGTGACGGGTAACATACATATCTCTTAAATCAACCGAAATGAGGAATGGATCCGTTTAGACTGAGATTTAAGTCTGATAAGTTTTCAAAGAAGGCTATTTAAATTAGACAAAACAAAGAATTTCTCACTGCTTTTGTGTCGTTGCAGTAACCAGGCCAATACGTATGTGAATTTCAGAATAAGACATACCAAGAAAACAAAAGGAGGGCCTGAATAATATTTGAAGCACTATCTGTCTCAAGCACCATGTGAATGTTTGCTGGAGGGGTTTCAAATGTCACATTAGCATTATACAAACAGCAGTGTTCAGCACACACAGTATATTTTAAAATATTATTCCAAACATTGAGTCTGAAAACAATTCAATTTACTCTAAACCTGCTGAGCTTCATACTGCTCGTTATTGAATGGCTTTAAGATAAGAAAGTGTTTCCTCTCACAGTCTATTGTACATTAGCTGTGGCTACAATGGTCATAATAAATCTCAGAGCTAATCCAGGAGGAATGTGTTGGTACATTTGATGTCAGATTGTTATACTTTGTCATTCTGTGGCAATGTGCCCGCAGTGGGAGCAAATTGATCCACCGGAGTCTAGTTTTAATTCATCAGTGTCTCCATTATTTTCACTTTTACCCTTTTGCAGTCAATTAACTTGACAAACAGGGCACCTGTTTGGATTGGCATAATGGAGAAAAAAACTTTTTAACTGCCTGTCAAGTCAAACTCACTCATGAGTAATGACAACAGAACATCCATCTAGAGGGTTCAATGCCAAGTAGGGAAGCTTTTAAATGGATCATTATCATATAATGCTGTGGTGTACTCTTTCATACCCCTCTTCAAGTGTTCACATTACACTTATTTTTTGATCGAACTTATTTAAATTAACCAAGATGTGAAGGATCTCTGGAGCAAGGTATGACTCATTGCTACACATATAGCATTCAATATCGAATATGTCTCATTCTAAGTCATTTTGGGGCTTTAGTTACCTGGAAAGGCCGAGCACTGTTAAGGTAGAGGGTCTTCCTGTGCCACAGATTTCCCTGGTTTCCATACCGTACCCATAACATGTGCCCCCGACCTGTAGCTGTGGTCCTGAGGTACACTGCCAGGCAGAACACATGTGAGCCAAACATGTGGTAATGAAAGCGGAAAACACAGTGCTGCCAGGACTTGGGTGGGTCTTTGCCGCGCTGGTGGGTTGGTTGGAAGACCCTGCTCAGTAACACTGCTGTGTCCTTAAACTCTTGAGGGGCAGAGGATTCGATATAGAGGTAGTGGCCATAGCTGGTGCCCAGTGTGTGGTCCTTCCATGGCCCCGTGTGGAAGGACGGAGTGGGGCCTTGGATACGGGTCCAGTCAAATACATCTCCTCCACTCTGTTCTTGTTTCCAGCTACACAGTCCATGCTCAAAGTTACACTGGAGCTCTGGAGCTGCGGCACATAGGACAAGGAAAATTATCTTCCCGGAGCCATAATCAACATGGAAACAAACTGATGGGTACATTTAATTTAGGTGGAATGACAATAAAAAACCTGTGAGTAGAAATACAAACAAGTTATTTTACAGTAATAGAATTATTCCACTCTATGCTGAGCAATGAAGGTAATGAATGAATAATAACAGAGTAATGAAACTGAGCTGCTGCCATGGGGTAGGAGTCAGATAAAACACAAAGCAGCCTTTGTTTACTCTCTATATAGCAAAGAACCAAAATGAGAGATACATTTGGCCAAAAATGCTGCCAAAAAGTGCTAAAAACATCACTTATGCATGAGCTGAGTAGAATCAGCAAAGACAAAAGAGCTACTGCATAGTCCACAGGGGGCGCCAAAATCAACACAAACCAAAAGATTTGTGACACAAAAAGGAAATCTTAGGAGAAGGATTTCTTTTGTAACTGTGCTGAGTGTTTTCACTACTAATGAGCATTTGTCACCACTATAAAACACTCACAGCAGCCCTCCTCGTCGGACCCGTCCCCGCAGTCATCCACAAGGTCACAGAGCTGCAAGTTCTCCACACACGCCTTGCTCTGCCTGCAGTGAAAATGAGTGTGCACTGGGCACTCTGCCACAGCCGGGGGCATCGAACAGTTCTTGAAGGTGATATCATCCAAGGCAGAAACTCCATCAAACACAGCCAAGCTGATCTTAGCCAGCGCGATTTGGAAGGGCCGAGTGATGCGCCCCAGCTGCACGGTGACCTGGTGCCAGCGGGGTCCCTGGTCGTACAAAGTCCTCCATATGACAGTGTTGTTTGGCACTCCGTTGATTCTGAGGTACATGTCTGCAGCTCCCACTGATATGCCTGAGTTGTAGTGCCTGAGGGAGAAGAAGCAGAGAAAGTGGATGACATTCGATTTCAGCACAGAAATACATGCTCACAGTGGCATCACATTAACTCTATGTTACTTTAACATAATGTACTGCAAATCATATTGTCCTTTTAAGATGATGCATAAGCTTCCTGTTTGTAACACATGATGCTTTTGATTATTCTGCAGAAAAATACAGAATTTATGAATCCGCATTTCTTACCCCTCAAATAATTCAGTGAGAAGAAAAAAATTTCATCATTTGACATAAATTTAAGGGGCCATGATTCTGTCAAAACGACAGATTCAATGTGGATCATCTTAGTGTGTTTGTGAAGTAAGAAAGATGCTGAGAGAGCAGAGCTGACACCAGTGTAGAGATGGTAGGAGAAAAGGGGGAAAGAAGATCAAGAAACACACAGAGGAGGGGAGACAGCAAATGGAAAACATCTCAAATGTAGGTAGATCTACAGATTGTGGTTGTAAGAAGACTTGATGCTGAACAGCTTTTATTAAAGTGTGACTCTAACCAGAAGGTCATGGTGCATCCTGATGCTGACTGTTTGAACCAAGGTCCACGAAGAACAGCCCTGGGATGAAGACTGCTGCTGTTCTTCATGATGAACATGAAGTGTCCTGCAAAACATAGAAATATTATGTATTTATATCCATACAAACCACATATTCTGCCTGCTGAATGACACATGCTTGTTAGCAAACACACTGACCAATCAGACCGTCAAGATAGGGGGACCAACCTAAATGCTTGGCACAATGTTGTTGTTGTTGCCAGTTGGGTCAATTACATAGTTGGGTCACAAAGTGAGATTCTGTGACCATCCTCTGGCAAGGATGTTTTGACGATTGATTTGACCTCTATGGACCCTTTAGAAAAGATTTAGCCCCCAGGTCCCTCGCAAAAATCCCGGCATTTTTTGCTAGACAGCCAAATTCAAGATGGCGGCCGGCGCCATCTCTAAAAATTAACTTTTGATCTGGATGACCTAGAATCATGTATGAAGGCACTTTTCCATACAAGTCAAGCATGAGGATTCCAAATCTGACATAGTTTTAATCATACAACTTTGTTTTGACCGCGATATTCAAGATGGCTGCCATCTAGTACTGTAATTCTCAACCTTTTCAGGACTTGACCCCCCCCAAAACAATCATATTTGAACTGGGTAACCCCCAATTTGTTTGATTCTGTTCCACATATTGATATTGTGAAAATAACCGCTCTACAAACCCGTAACACCTTGTATTGTGAGGCGTGTGAGCTTGTAGATCGGCTATATTCACAATTTTTGCCTTTTTCTTATATCATTTGACAATTTGGCCAATGGTTTAGCATTGTTTGTTGATTACTTTGGATGCAGTGATGATCTTTTTCTTTGAGGATCTTACAAGTCCTAACATTATAATTTCACTGTCATCTGGGGGTACGCCACCAACCAATGATTAAGTACAGAGAAAACTTAACTTAACAACAACATAAAGGCCAGTAAATATTGCACTCAAACTATCCAGTATGCTTGATTCATGTCAGCAGCAGTACTTAACTCAGGCAATTTGATTGGCTGTCCTGTCCCTTCATGTCAGGGATCATCTTTGGGTCGACTTAATTGTATATGTGGCTTCATTACACAGACTACCACACTGGAGAATACATGACTGTCTGTCTGTCCTGGTTGGTATATTATTTTCTTCCATATTCAAGCAGCCATGTATTCTGCATGCACACTGTCTTTACAGATCAAATGTGTAGCTCCTCTAACTGTGGGCTCAAAAGAATGACTGAGGCAACATTTAGGAAAGCAGCAGCACTAAACAAGCAGCATGTGCTAACATGCCCTGACATGAAGGGACAGGAGGGTGGAGGGTGGCGGACCCCGCACAGTTGTATTTTCGTCTGGCGGAGCCCAGCGTACAGCCAGTTTGGTATTATCATGGACATTTTCGTGCTCGCCAATGGCGTGTAAAGTGCACTGAAAGCTCGCCGATTCAAACCTGGTCAGCTTTCAGCGCAGCTGGTCTAGTGGTATTTTGGTAGACCAGCAGCGTATCAGCATACGTTACTGATGCCTCACCGGCAGGTTTCCACAGTGTCAGGCACATTTCAGTGCAATAAATAATCAACAAAAACTAACTATTAATCTGAGTCAGCACATACATTTAGATCTATATCGATATATTCTGATCTATATCTGATCTGATGAGCGCGTTTGGCATGCATTTGGACACACAACCGGATCGAATCAACACAGCTGAAACCGCATTAAATTAAATTAAATATCTAGTAAATAAACACACATGATGAAGTTAACAAGATATTTAATTTGTCTCCCTCCTTTTCTTTCTTCCTCTTCCTCTTATTTCTCGCGCAGCTCGACCTGGACATGTGTCTGTGTCCTCTCTCTGTCCTGCTGCAGCTGAACAGATGATTTGTTTCAGTGCTCAGATGAGTTATTTACTTCAAGCCGACATACGGATATTATAATATTCAGTTTTGTGAGGCAAATTTATTTTATATGCCAACATCTATGAAAGAAAGAGCCAGGCCACAGAGCGCGATGCGTCATTTACGCACAGATGGTTCCAATTTTAATGCCATTTTTGGAGTTTATATTGTGATCTGTGCGCTCAACCCACCTTTGGACGCCAAATACAGCGCTTACAGTGGCACTTGTTGAGGAGCTGCCTTCTGTCACCATCGTGTGGCATTGCTGTCTTCAGACATCTCTTGATCTCTTTGACTACTTCACGAAAATAGTAATACGCCTCGCCAGTGGTGGATTTAAAGGCAAGGAGAGGAGCCTATGTGATTGGTGAAAACAGGTGTCAGCTGTGTTAAACCCACTCCACGCCCTCTCTCCTCCCTCGCTACGACTTTCGCCGCTGGGAGGAGCTGAGTTAAGGAGGGGGGATACTTACGCTGCGCTGCGTCGCTCACCAAAATTCCAAATTGTGCTTGGGAACGCCTTGTCGGCGCGGCGGACCTGACTTACGCTGCGCCTGCAGCACGTCTCCAGCGAGGCACGAAATAGAGCCCCAAACAAACAAATTGGGGGTTACCCAGTTCAAATATGATTGTTTTGGGGGGTCAAGTCCTGAAGGTTGAGAATCACAGTACTAGATGGCAGCAATCTTGAATATCGCGGTCAAAACAAAGTTGTATGATTAAAACTATGTCAGATTTGGAATCCTCATGCTTGACTTGTATGGAAAAGTGCCTTCATACATGATTCTAGGTCATCCAGATCAAAAGTTAATTTTTAGAGATGGCGCCTGCCGCCATCTTGAATTTAGCTGTCTAGCAAAAAATGCCGGGATTTTTGCGAGGGACCTGGGGGCTAAATCTTTTCTAAAGGGTCCATAGAGGTCAAATCAATCGTCAAAACATCCTTGCCAGAGGATGGTCACAGAATCTCACTTTGTGACCCAACTAACAGCACCCCTAAGACTTTTCATGCACAACATGTAAAGTGCATATATTGTATCGACTGCAGTCACCATGGCAACAGTGTTTTATTGATGGGACAGGTCAGGGGACAATGGCAACAGCCAGGCTGGAAATTGTGCAATCAGCTGCACAACACAGCCATGAAGTGCAGAAGGCCATTTCATTTAACACAATTCATAACACATGCTGGGTTCCACTCATGCATGCCTAATAAAGATGCATGATAAACATGGTTGAAAAAGGTGTTCGCCGATTTCAGGCTGGCGCACCATGCACTAACACAAAGACAGGTTTTATTCCTTGACTTTCTGCCTTAGAGGAAATTATGACAGAATAACACCTATTATAAAACACTGCTGATTCACATCATCAGCAAATACAAAAATAAACTTACCTTTCACTCAAATATGAACATTCACCAGCTGCTTTCTGATAAATATGCTAATTCAGCAGCTGAACCTATTCTTGTCTGAAACCCTTGTAGCTTTTTTCATGTTTACCAGCAGCTTGTAGCTCTTTGCTTAGCTCACCCTGCCGACTAATTTAAAATGTTATATGTATGAATGTGTGGTACCATGCCATGTAAATTCAAGTAGATTCAATGACTGAGATGGCAGTTACACTGTAGCATCTCTGCCTGGGTTTAATACCACATGTATGAGCTCATGACACAATTGGATTTTTCATCAGTCCTCCTTTCAACACAAGAGAAAGCTCCTTGGCAGACGAAAAGCCAGATTTGAAAGGTCTATGCTTTGTGGTTTTGGATAAAGGCCTGGTCTTATATGATCTGGAGGTGAAAAACGTGGTCAAATTTCCCGTTCCTGCATTTTTACAAATAGAGTAAAGGTTCTACAAATCTGAGATATTACAGGTCCAAGTACTGGGATTATATGAAGACACTTTCCAATGTGATCTACAGATGAAAAAAACAGTCTTTCTTGCATTTTGAAGACTAGAATAAAAGTTTTACAGGTCTATAACTGTTTTAAGAAGTCTACAGACTCCCTTAGATAATGTGGTACAGATCTGACAAGTCTGAGTACGCTGATTTTGGATCAGGATCTTGTTTTATAACCAAGGCCAAAAAACTGCTGTCTCTGCCACCAGTGTGAAGCCTTGATAAGATGAAATGAGACTTTCTTGATTTAGGGAAAGTATCGGTTACATCAGCACAGGACATAAAGCAACCTTATTTTAGTTGATGTAACCCGAACCGCGGTTGGCAGATGTCTGAAGAAAAAAACTCCTTGATTATGACATGGCAAGAATCCATGGTGCTGCACAGTTTGAGGCAGAGCTGTGATTGAGTTGTTTTCTTGGCTCTTGTTAAATGCCAAACTGCGTTTTTAACACCACCTCATACCTCAACAATGTCTTTGGATGGGGCACCGTCATATTTTCTCAATCTTCGAACAGATGCTCCAACCAGGGTGTGTGTTCATTTCACAAAGCTTGAAGGTTGCTGGAGTAGAGATTTCATTTCACTGCCTAGTCTCCAAGTCTCATTATCTGAACCAGACTGAGCATCTTTTCACAGCATGTCCACACAATGTACATAACAAAACAACAGATGGTGCGGCTAAAAAACCACACAGTGTTACCAAGTACACCCACAACAAGATGATGTGCTACATCCACAAATCCACCATACAAATCACATGTGGAGTAACTGCTGGGTATACCGATGTAATGAGGCATGATATAAAGCTGGGGTGCATTAATCTCAGAGGGAGCAGCATTTCAAAGCAAGCATACTTTAGTTTATGTTGGTTAACAATGAATAATGTGGTGTTAATATGCAGAATGGGTACAGCATATGTCAATTTCCATTTATTATTCAGGTGGCTGAGGGGGCATTTCTCCATGAAGTGCTTATCTCTGAAAAACACGCAGAAAAGGATTTCTTTCCAGTCTACAAAACCTTGATTTGATTCTCAGAAGATAACATCTTTTTCCTTTTATTTCTGACCAAATACCCGGAGCACAGTGAAATTATCTTATCCCTCTGCTGTGGTTCTGTCCTCGTACCTGCTTATAGTGATAGAAATCACATATTGGAAGAGCCTGCTCTTGGAAAAAATGTGGTGTATGTGTGTTTCTTTACCATCTGTGCTGTTATTGGAGTGGTCTAGAGGTGGGGGGCGGCCATAGTAGTCTGGGGGAACCTCTGCAGAAGAGCCTCTTACCCAGTCAAAGCCATCGCCAAGAGTGAGCTCGTACCAACCACAAGAATCCCCCTCAAAGTCACACTTGGAGGCTAGATGAGCAGCAAAAGAGAGGAAAAGAAAACTACCTTATAATAGAGTTGAGATTAAAAGTTTGGTCTTTGCTTTGTTAACTAAATTTACTCAACAGTGTTACCACAAGATCCTTAAATAGATGTTGAGATATATAAAACTCAAACTTGAGGCAACCGACACAGAAAACCTTAACTCTGGAGAAAAAAAGTCCAACAATGTGTCTTTGTGCTGCCAAACAAATATAAACCACTGAACTGTTTTCAATCAAACGACCAAATGGACAGCAGATAGTTTCAGTGTATAAACTGGCAGCAATGCGCTTACGGCATTTGGCTTCGTCTTCTCCGTGGGGACAATGTGGAGTGAAGTCGCACACTTTGCTCTCCTCGATACACTCCCCGCTGCTACAAGCAAACCAAGAGGGGGGACAAACAGATGGGGTGGGCACACCGTTTTCTGCATCAGAAAAATGAAAAATATGAAAAAAATAGGTTAATACAGATCCCTTCACAGCCGAGAATATGACAATAAATGTGAAGCGACTAGTCTCCTATGTAATATTGGCAATAAAGAGCACTCGAGGGAGATCACGGTGGATTAATAAAGAAGAGCTCAGCTGAATGCAGTAAGAGAGGAGTACATTACCTGTTTAATGGAAGATTAGACTGTGAAGCAAAGACTTAAATTCATATATTTGGATCAATACTCCATTCAAGAACCTTAATAAAATCAATGTTATTCTGTTTTGGGGAACTGCTGGATACGTAAATGAAAAACCGTAGGATCTCATAGTTTCTTTTGGCTGACTGTTGAATGATTTGTCTCTCTCATAACGGTTTGTTATTTTCAGTTTTCGGAGAAGAACCTTGACTGAAAAATGCATAAAAATTCTTGTTCTTTTTTAAAAAAATTTTTTTCAAATACCTTAAAATACAGTTTTCATCGACTGATGAGACATATGTGCTCAATGGCGTACAGACATGCCAGGTAAAATATATGCTCCAGATTAGCTTCTTCTGGTCTCCTTTACGTCCAAGTAAAAGCTTCTTTAAAGCTCTGTTATGGTCTAACTTTGAGTATCTGCTCACTCAGCTGTCGTGATCATCGCTTCATGGAAATGCAATCAGACAGAGACGCTAAGGCCGAAGAACTACGGCGTCTGCAGTGTAAAATGATTAATATGGTGATTATTACTTCAAGGAAATGATAAAGAAATTATCATAAATGTTCTTCCTTGAGCTGCAGCACCCCGCTATAGTCCGTAATGGACTTGCCTGAGGTCTCCATACAAACAAGCGGCTGCTGGAAGAGAGTAGGTGAGTTATGTTTAGTCTCTTTGCTAAAGAAATTACGCAAAGTTAAAAAGATGTTTGGATGTCTAGTGCTGTGGCTGGGACCCTGTATGTACTGTTGATGAAGTTAGGTGCTGTTCTGAGCATTATTTGCGGCTTTTTGGTTGAGCGCGTGGTTCCATAGACCACTGTGTATTGCTATCCTGCAGTCGTTACTAAAGTTGGTATAACTAGAGAAGCATTACTTGTAATAAATAAACAGCAGCAGCGTAATAATTGATGTAATGTTTGGGAGAAGGGGGGGACAAGGTTGTATCACAGTAACTGGATATTACATCTCCTTATTGTACGATGTCTGATTTAGTGATTACAGAAGAACTCTAGTCTTGAGAGTAGGCCAGAAAAGATTCAGCCAAGCACAAAGCTCTGAAAAGATAGCTGTAATAACTTATAATACCTCATCCCTGTAATATGTATGGACATGAAACACCCTTGGAGCCATTTACACATTTAACCAGCCTGATTTATGATGATAAGCTTTATTAGTGGTGTCAAACTTTGTCTGGTTATTATTTTCATCTTCATTTCGATTTATTTTCATGCCAGCATTTACTGTTTACTGTTTTATTATCTGCGACAGTTCACTTAATCAGAACTCAGTAATGTTGTGTACCCATCATTCAGTGAAACAAATGAATTGGTTATGTTGCAGGAAGGACAATTAAAAAAGACGTAAAGAATTCTCAGTATACGTGATCACACTGGAATGTGGTAAGTCACTGAGAAAATATAATTTCTCCCCTTGTGAGTTTGCAAGTAAGTCGTAAATAACAACCCTATACTGGTGGAGCAAAAGGCTATCAGCACTTAATCAGAGTAATGTTTGTCTGCAGAAAAAGGGGCCAGTCGACTTTAGGAGTGACCTCTAACCAGCTCTCCTCTTTGTTCACAGTTTCGAGCTCCATCTTTGATGTCTTTTTAATATGATAACATCAGCATTGCTTATTGCTCTCTGGAGCATTAGACGGATGGAGAGTAAGGGACAAAGTGCCAAGATGACATTGACCTGTCTCATTCGATTAGACACTGCAACACATGTTGTCACAGTCCAACAGATTCTTCATGTGAGTCGATGGTTCTTCTTACTGTGTGTCCTTTAACACACACTCAGCTTAGACTGTGATTATTAACTATTAGGTGTTAATAGAAAATGCCATCTTTCAAAGTAGAAAAATAAAAAGTTAAAACGCCTTTTGACCATACTGAGGTATTTTTACATACTGCTGATCAGATTTGTTAATGACTGTGCTGAGTTGATTTATGTGTTTAAGGTGCTTGGATGCTACTTTTTGCATGTGCTTGCGTTTAAAACAGAACACCCAGGTAACCGAACAGTTAGCTTAAAGATGCTAAAGCTGGATAGAAGAGGGTAACACTGCTTTACAAATAGCTTCACGATTCACCAGTGACTCACTGAAAATGATTGTAGCTGCATTTGGTTTTAGTTACAGAATTTTGTGTCTTAAAATGTAAGGTCGTGGGTTATCCACAGAAATAATCAGACTGGGTGTAGCTGCTCATAAGTACACAAGAGTCTAGCCAGAAAAAGAGAAGTTTATGAGGTAAGACAGCTCATGTTCATGAAATTTAATCAATGAATTAGGAAGTAAGAGTCCTATCTGCTGTTAAAATTCATGTACAGTATTTGGTTAGGGTGACCATATTCTGATCATATTCTGAGGACACGACTGCGCAGGGACGGAGTCACAGAGTCACACAAGGTTAATTTTAGGAGTTTTTTGGGGTCAGATCGAGTGTCTTTTACACGCTTCTAACTCAGTAAGTCCACGTGACACTAAATCGAAACTTCCGTACAAAACAGCAGACATTTGGAGGATTTTATAAACTTCCCCAGACAAACCCAAAACAGCCCCCCAAAAAGAGGACATGTCCGGGTAAAAGAGGACACATGGTCACCCTAATTTGGTAAAGAATAAATAAATAAAACTTTTGCATTTCAAGCTGGCCATCTAATTCTTAAAAGGTTCACCAAAATACTCAGGCCTTGACGCTCCACCAACCTGGAGAGCTAAAAAAGCTGAAGGCCACAGGTTGTTGCCCAGCTGAGTCACTCAATAAAGAATGTGCAATTCTTGTTTCTCCAGCAAGGAGCAGGAGCATTAGCCGATATCGGATAAATAATAGCAGTAGTAAAAATGTCATAGTTTGCTCTTGCTGCTGAAATACCTGTGTGTCACCAAACTTCATGTGGACAGTACTTTATTAACTGCTCCCAGCCGAGATATTCAGTGGTATCACTCCTCGCTACAATGCAGGCAAGGCTCTACAGCAGACATAAATAAACCCTAGCTTGTGGCCCTGACTGTGCTCCATATTCAGTGCAGGGAAATATGTCATAAGCACTATTTTAATGATTCTGTTATTCTGTTATGAAGCCCATCCTAGGTGCTTTACTATCATCCTCTTTTATCAGCATTCAAAACAAGTTTGTGGCGGTCTGTTTATGTGTGGTGATATTTCAAAATGTCAAGGTCTGAACTTGTCGTGTCCGTGTAGTGAGATGTTATTAATGGTCGTGGTACCAGGCACAGTCAGGCAGCCCAGACTGAAGGATAGGTCATCGATGGCCAAGACCTCGGAGGGTTTGCTGTCTGCTGGAAGTTGCCCCCGAATTACCACCTGGTAGACACACAGAAGACACTTAAGAAATCTTGGAGTCATGTCTTTTGTTACCTTTGAACACTTCAGTGTGTAAGTGCATGTGTGCACATAATGCTGACTGGTGAAAGTCAGGTTAATTTTAATCTAATGACTATTGTAATGATGCTAAGTTTGGGATGTTTTACTAATGAGTTCAGTGTGTCAGCATGCAAATACCTGCTCTAGCTTAGCAAACAGAACAGACAAGGCTAATGGATTGGTGTTAAAGGGATATTCAAGCATAAAATTAATTAAGGGTCAAACACACCATAACACCAAGTTAGACACCCCCTTCAGAGATAAAGGTTGCTGACTGCTTGCTTCTCTAGTTATACCAACTTGAGTAACGACCGCAAGATAGCAATACACAATGGTCTGAGGAGCCTCACACAAACCTCAACCAAAACGCCACTCTTTGGACTCAAATAGTGCTCAGAACAGCACCTAACTTCATCAACAGTACATATAGGGTCCTAGCCATAGCACTAGCCCTCAAACAATTTTTAGTTTTGCCTAGTTTCTTTAGGAAACAGACTAAACGCAACTCACATACTCTCTTTCAGCAGCCACTGTTCGGGCCAGTCCATTACAAACTACAGCGGGGTGACACAACTCAAGGAAGAACATTTATGATCATTTCTTCATGGAAATGCAATCAGACTGAGACACTAAGGCAGAAGAACTACCGCGTCTGCATTGCAAAATGATTAATACAGTGATTATTACTTCAAGGACAGGATAAAGAAATCGACCCTAAATTAATTTTATGCGGAATATCCCTTTAATCAGGTTAAGAGACAGTGTATCCAATAGTTTAAAAGATTGCCCCGATACAAGCAAATGACATCGCCAGGGACGAGATGTTTGCTTGCTAGCTGGCTAACTAAAAACACCAATTCTCTCTGTTAGAGTACCAGTAATATCAATGCTGCACTGAACAAAGTCCACAGAGCGGCTTTATCTTCTCCAGTTATATAAACCATCATCTATGACTCATCAAAAAAAAGGAGGGATTGTGTTATCATGCTGAAGGGAAAATGCAACACAACTACCTTTGTTCAAACGTGTTTGCCATTTTTTCTTTCAACCCCAAAAACACAGATTTTTGTGATCTCGACAGAATCGGATCCACTGGGATGATGGCAGTGAGTCCAAAACTCTTTATTTAGGATTTCAGAGCCAAACTAGGGTGTTTATCTGATTCAGACAATGTACCCTCACAGATGGGAGAAAATATCCCTTTTTTTTGGGCCAGATCCACTTTGTTTTTTGTCACTATATGAAATATTGTGTGTTTGCACAGCAGACATTGTTACCTGTTTTTGCTCTTTAAGTACCAGGATAAGTGTTTAACATGCATATTATCATTTATGCAAAAATCTAAATTGAAGAGTTTTAAGCAACACAGTTTAAAAACAAAACCAAACCCAAAGAAGTAATGCAAGTGCAGATTGTTGTGCTGACTTGCCAGTTGAAATCAACCCAAATCACTGAGCTCATCAAATACACATTTGAATTGACTGCCTTTAAAACAGGAAGGAAATTAATAGAAGGGAAAGTGTTTGCTGGCAGAGAGTTGACCTCTCTTTAGCCTCGGCGCAGCATCAGACATGTTATGAAACTGAGCTGGCTGTAGACGGTGACAGATGGTGAAGGCAAAGACGAGGAGAAGGGTGACACGCTGACATTGTCTGAGGATATGGGAAGGACACGAACAGCAGGTTTCATAGGACTCCAGATGGCCTTTGAGGGGTCTGGGTGGGTCAGTACCCCACTCACTGCACAAATACAAGTCCTGTGGCGTAGGACATTTCAAATGTGACGACTTTATCAGTTTCAAGGAACTTAACTTCACGTCTTGAATGTCCTGCAACTTTTTACAAAAGTATCTTCATTCATTATCATCTGAACATATTTTCTTGGTTTGAGTCATACAAATTATATATATATATATATATATATATATATATATATATATATATATATATATATATATCAATATGATGTACCTGTTAGTTAATGTGCCTTTAGTGCAAATGGCTTGTATGCCGTATGTGAAATGAACTTGCTTGAAATCAGAGTAAGTTACTGTTATTGCCAGAAAACAATCATTGTTAGCTTAAGTTAAGAAAAATCTCATCCTGTTGATTTTTTGACAGTCCAATGATTTATTCATTGTGAATGTTAAGTGCAAACAGCTGTTTCTGCAGCTGCACTGTTGACACCTAACCCTCCCACTGGTTTCAAGCGTTAAGAACAAGGATATAAAAATCATCAATACTGTTGCTGGTGGCCTTGTTTGCTTTTAGATATTATGGAAAGGCTTTAGTAATGAATTTCAGGATATTTCAAAAATGTGAAAAGACTCTTTGTAGGACCTTTAAGATGCCATCAAAAAGGTCAGGTGTATAATTTCACAAAAGTTACGATATAAAACAGCAACAAAAAACTAGATTCTATCAAATTCTGAGTGTTACTGACCTGAAACGTTTGATTGCTGGAAAATGTAATAACTGCTTTCTGCCAAATTTCCATCTGGACATTGGTTGAGAGTTTCCACACCTCTGTGCTCTGACCCAGACTTTGAGTCTGGACCAAGACCTGAAGCTCTCCATGCTGTGTCTCAACATAGTGGTAGAAACTCATCTGTAGGGTAAAAAGTGCAAAGAAGACATGAGCAGCTGTCACTGAGAGGTTCCTGTTGATGGTTTCGTCAGAAGGGTTGGGTACCTGACAGGTGTGGCTGGGTAGGAAGACAGAACTCTTGAGGTCTGATGTGGTTTTCTTTCCTCTGACAGGTACAAGGGACAGGAAATATGCTGAAGGGTAGAGGGAGGGAGAGGTATATGGTACATGCATAGAAAAACAAGTGAGACAAGCTCTGTGAATTCAGTTAGATTTACATTGAGTCCCATGTGGCTGATGTCAGAAGCTTCTACCTGAAGTGTTATTGGTGTGGTCACGTTTGAGTCCATGCACCTCAGTTGTTCTGGTCCATCCAGGTCCATCCTCTGAGCTTTGGAGAAGGTCACAGAATCCCTCCTCAAAGTCACACCTCCTATAAACCCAGCCTTCAACAGAAAACAAGTGTTTGTGCTCTGCCTGGAATATTTTAGCTTAAGACACATTCAAGATTCATCCACTCAGCTGAGCTCAAAAACAAAGCGTCTATTTATTCTTAGCAGGGATTCTTATTTGACAAATATGCAGCCAAGGACTTTAAAGCATGAATGCTAATTCTGTGTATTCAGAGGTATGCCAGAAACCCCGAAGGATTAGCTATGTTATTGGATCATATCTTAGGAAATAACTGAATAACTTTACAGATGCAACTTGCATTTAAATTTATTTGTCATCGGTGGCTGTTAAGAATGAAATATTCATCTACATGTCATATTTAAGTGCATGTATTTGCATATTTTTGTGCTGTCATTTATTTACAGTGAAAAAAAGGGCTGCACGGTATACAGCATACTGATCCAATGGAGGATCAGCCAGTAATGGGTGAATTTCATTACTTTAAATCATTCCAATCATGCAATTTCATCCAATAAAATCTGCTTATAAGAGTTGCTTTCATTTACGTCTAACAAAGCAACATTTCAACACAAGAGATGATACTATATGCCATGTTTGCAGCTTCAACATCCTAACAAATGAGGGAAAATGACATGTTTTTCACACTTTCAGGGGAGGATAACAGGATGGCAACATGCAAAATATATGCTGCAAGTATCCCAAGAGGAGGGAGAAAGTCCTTAAGGTTTAACACAACAATTCTTTAAATAACATCATCTGAAATATCACTGTAGTGGAGAAGTTCTGAAAAAACAGGTAGCAGCAAATGTTGCAACTTGCAGCAATATCACTAATTGTATTGGTATTGGCCATTAGGAGCAGATTATTATTGGTTATTTCAGACTTAAGTGCATAAATGACAGTCTTAAAAAAAACCCAAATCAGACTTTTTCTTGGAAAGAGATACAAAAACGTAAAATAGCGCAGTCATTAGACGTTCAACTGTATATCAAATTTCAGAATACCCTCTGACAAACAAGTCCAACAGTAACCCTTAACATTGAGGGGGAAAGACTGTTAATGGCAAACAGATTAACATTATTTACAGGTGTTACACATGCGTCTATAAATCCACAGTGCATTAAATAGAGGTGTATAATAAGACGGGTCATTGACTCTATTAATGGGCACCTACAAATGAAGCATGAACAGGATTCCCGTTTGATTCAGTCTCATTTTATCTTGCTGTTTTACATTTACAAATATGATAATTTTTACGTGGCTATCCTGTATGTTTCTCTGTTCTACTCACAGTCTCTCTCGTCGCTGCCATCTCCACAGTTGTCTGTGAAATCACACTCATAGTCCTCAGGAACACATAATCCCTGTGAGCAGGTAAACTCCTGAGGTAAACAGGCCTCAGCTGACACAGGTGGGAACACCAGAGAGAGGGCCAGCAGCAGCCGCACTGAGCCCAGCACAAACGTCATCGACCTGGCTATTGTTAGTCCTTTAACACCTTTTTTCCTCCTCACAGTCAGGCATTTTGTTGTTGGTGTTTTAATGAAGAGCTACAGTTGAGGTAAAGCATTTCTTCACAACGATTGATCCTGTACATTTGCTCGAGCTGTAAAAGGTAATAAATGGCTTTTATGGCTGTTACTCAACAACGTCACTTTGTTGGGTCGTGTGCACCTTTGTTTGCCGTGGAGTCAGGCAGGAGCAGGAGGAAAGTAAAGAACAGACTTTTCAAGAGTGACTACATTTTGGTTGTTTAACTTTTGGTAATGGGTTTAGCATACGGCTTCTAATTAGCAAGAGACGAGATGAGTATTTAAACTATATGAGTGCTGGAGAGAGCTGGAGAAATAGTTTAAAATTGCAGCTGTATGATTATTCACTTTCTTTTGTAAAGCCAGACGAGAAGATTCCATTCTATTGTTAGTTTTACTGCATTTGGCAGAAGCTGCACTTCAATGTGGACTTTTTTAACAATTGATACTACAAATAGCTTATGCAGTACAAGGACAGATTATGTTTGTAATTTCTATTGCACTATTGCTTCTGTACTTTAATTTAATTACTTCTGACACCCCTGTCCTTGTTTTAGTTCATCTTGACTGCTATAAACTTACACCGCATTAGTCATGATGATTGATTATTGCTACTTATTAACAAATGTGCTGCCATTGTTGCTAATGGTTTTAGATTTACCAACCCTACCTGGACTAAGGTTTAAAGACAGGAGGAGTCAGACAGATGGGCACAATTTATAAAGCCAACACTTCTATCACATATACGCTCTATAGAGTTTTTAAATGTGACTATATCACTCCGAGTAGATTTGGAAAACCAGACTAGATTCTGGTTGCTTTGTTGTTGTTAAAACTCTCTAAAGTAAATTAACTGTGGGCTTGTAAACCAATGCTTTGTATAAAAAGATAATGTAAATGTAGTGAGGAGTAATTAAAATTGACCAAGGATGAGAAAAGACCTGAAAAGAAAATCATGTTTTTACCTCAGTGTCAACGTGCAGAGAAATGTGCAAGACTCCTTTTTGGAGACTAATTACAGGCTGGCCCCGCCTTTACATTTGTTGATGAGGATTAACAATCACTATCATGGGGTTAAACCAATCAGAATCAAGCATTTAAAAATGCACTTTTACTCATTGGCTTTTGACTCTTGAGAACTTGGCCTTTTAATCGTGTTTTTATTGAACCATCTATGTCCCCCTGTGTCTTTGTTTAATTGTCTGTTTTTATAGTTTTTTAATTTCAGCTGTACAGCACTTTGGTCAGTGTTTTGTTGTTTTTAAATGTGCTTTATAAATAAACTTGGATTGGATTGGATTTAACACTGCTTTATTATCATAAAAAGTCAGGTAATTCCTGAGTTTACCCAAAATGCTTGAAATAAAAGGATTTAAACAGTGAAAATTGAATGAATCATATCAGACATGTTTTCATTCTTAGGCGCTGTCAGCTAAATATTAGCATAAATATACTAATATGCGTACAATGTCAATGATCACATGATGATTTTTAGCAGGTTAAACATTAACTAAAACTGATATAGTTATCTTAAATGTTGTTAACTAGGGTTTAACCACAATAGCATAAAATCTGCTTCTGTCTAATCTATCTAAACCATCCAGTAATTGTTAATATGTCAACCTTATAGTAGCTTTTTAAGAAGGTAACAGGAAACCTAAAGGTCATGAGGGTTAACCATATGCACCCAGTGAATCTTTGCATCCGAGTCCATGCTCTAACTCCAAATATGCTGTTATTTATGTCCTGATCAAAGTATTGAGCCAACTGATATTTCCATTCTTGCAGCCACACCACTTCAGCAGTTAGGAGTTAAATACCCTTCTCTGATAAAATTTTAGTCATTGCTGTAACATGTGTATCTGTGGTCACACTTTCAAGTTGTTGGGTTTTACATATTAGAAAGGAAAGGAGCTTAGTGTTGGAAGTATGCACTTCTGTGAGAGGATCATTAACTGTGTCCAACAGCCCTTAGCTCCACTTCGTCAGTGAGGCATAATTTCATTTTAGATAAATCAATAAAGACAGGCCCTTAAAACAGACAAGAAGTGAGGCGATACAAGAGCTGCTATAGCTCAAATGAAATTAACCTTAAGAAAAAAAGCAAGGTCCACGGCTCCGGAGGGGACGAGGGACTCAAGGAACAAGAAAAAGATTATGTCTATAGTGACCTCTTTGGCAACGCTGTGAGAATGTATAGAGTGCTGCTGGCAAGGTTATAAAAGTATCACAAATACAGCTGAGGGCCAAAGGGAAAAAATACTGTTATTTTTGAAAATATAAAAACCTCAATCAGTCCCTCTGACATGTAGTATCAAGAGATCAAAATAGCTGGAATGGAAATATAAGGTACTTAGGGCCCCAATAATAACAGAGTAATCATGTTGTTCTTTTGTTAACGCATGAAGGAAAGGTAAAAAGCAGAGAGAAGCAGCATGGTCCATTATTGTGACTCATGCGAACAATCAGCTGATGTTTTTTCTCAAAACTGCAGATGTCAGGACAGCATTGGCCTTATGGTTTCAGTCAATAAAGAGAGAGGATTGACTCAAGGAAGTCTGAAACAAGAGTAGGGAAGTCTAAAGCGGTCTAAACTAAAGTAGCAAACAGACTTGACTTTCATTCATTAATTCATTCATTTAAACCAGATAGAGGTGCACTTCAAATACCAAAAAAAAAGGTCACTGTGTGTGTACACCCTTCTATCTCACAGCTTGTGAATCCTCAAAAAGTCTTGGGATTTAATTCACCTTCATGAGCGAAAACTGAGGTCGAACCAAAGCAGCACTTAAAGCGACTTTAAGAAGATGAATCTATCATTGAGGCTGCAGGTGCTGATGTGACCAGAACGACCATTTATCAAAGATTTGGACTAATCTCTTTCACACACACAGAGAGTCTTGTACACATTAAATCTAAGATGTGATTACATGCTGCTCCCATTTGTAACCAGACTGATCGTCTATGACCTCAAATATTTGCCCCGGTGTTGTTTCATCTGAGCCACAGTGAGTGGGAGGCTACTTCCACATACATTGCACGTAATCGGCGAAGGAAAAAGGGGGGTAAAATCCTATTATTTCATGAGAATAGAGAGGGACTGCGGTGAATACAAAGCCTGGTTATAGGAAAATCTTGCCTAGTATGATTTTTCTAATGCATAACTTAAAGATACGGTGTTATGCTCTGTTGTACAAGCAGAAAAAAGTTGAATCAATGTGTAAAATCCATGAAAATTTCATTGACTTTGGTTGTCTATGTTATCTTCAGCGTCAGTCAAAAAAAAAAAAACTTGAACCGCCTGTGCACAAGATGCAGAAAAAGAAACCAACCCAAGGAGTCTTTTTCATCATTTATCTTCATAATCTCGTCTTTCCTCCTCTTGCACATTACGTCAGGTTGTTAATTAGATCATATTGACTGTGAAGAACATTTGCATTGCATTTTGAATGACACCAATTTGCATTTACAATCTCTCTCAAACTGTGGTAATGTGCAGCACCTGCTAATTTCCTCCCAACCTGAATCAAGTGACAAACAGCTGAGTGAAGTCATCATAACAGCTGGGGTTTAATCTTAACAGTGTACCTGTACGAGACGCTTCACTCAGCACCTCCAATCAACACAGCAGGAGTTGAAAGATCCTGCTGAGTCCTGCGCACAAAAGCAGCTGACAAAGTGTCAACAAATGAGCTACAGAAGAAGAATGGGACAAAAAAAGAATCCAGTACATCAAATGGATCCTGTTCAGCAGATACTTATCCTGCCACAATGCTGCCACCTGGCAGATCCTAAGAGACACTCCTGGATTCCAAAATACTACATACTTGAAGGTAATTTACAGGAAGCCTGTCATGTGTGGTAAAATCTTTGTGTAATTGGTTAGGTTTGATGTCTGAAGCTTAGGCATGTTTCATTTTTGCAACTACAATACATCACAGAGGTAGAGGAAGTGTTCAGGTCTTTTTCTCAAGTAGTCATTAAAATGTAAAAGGTTTCAAAATATCAAAAGTACTTTGCTAAAAAGTACTTGGTTGAATTCAAATGATCAAAAGTATTTGGAAGTAAAAAGAAAAATAACCTTGAGTGCATTATGAAAAATAAATTATTGAAATGTAGAAATTGAAAATAAAAAGTTCTTGTCCTGTTATGTCTGAATTTTTCTGTGTCACCACTCCCAAACTTAAGAGCACTGTACTGAATAATTGCTGACTTTGAGAGTTTCATTTCACAGGTGGTTGGGTTTTAATTTAGAATCTAAAAAAAGATCTCAAAGATATTTCTTACCTTAACAGCAAATCTCTTGAGCGGCATATTTTAACTTCAGTAAGGCCTACTAAACTCGATTTTGTGAAAATGATCATGAAATGTGGGTTTCTAGTGCTAAAACATAAAAAAGGAATATAACAACTTGAACATATTAAGGATGCAAACGATGCAGCAAAGTATAAAAATAAAAAAACGAGCAGGAAATGTGCTGTGTGCCACAGGGTTGGATTCTGGGTCCATTTCTGTTCTGCAATAATGAGAAAAAGTCTCTCATCTTTCCCTGGAATCATCATGATAAAGCAAGCCTAACTGCTGTTTTGCCTTCTATAACACATTACCAACTAAGCCATTTAACCAGTATGTTAAAAATCTTGTAATCAAAAATTAGATTCTAGTTTCAATCCTAAGATGTTTCAGAGTATCTTTCAGCAAACAGACATAGTGAAACTAAATCAATGTGACAAGTAAAATTTATCTGGACTGTAATACTCCTCAGCCAGAACAAGATTATTAGGCAGTGCCTCAAAATGTCTCTGCACCATTACATCTGCCTTTGCTCCAATGGTTTGGATAATTTGGGTGATGCACTCTGCCCAATGTTTGATGAGGGCAAAGAGTTCAATAGGTTGAGCACATTTGGTAGGACAGCTCCTGTCTATGTGTGAAGGTCATCCGGCAGAGAGTAAGGCTCAGTGTGCCGGGCTTTTAATAAAAGTCGCTTTTAACTTGTCAAAGTCAATATATCACTTTTCTTACTGGCTTATGCAAGGGCTCTGATTACAAAGATGAGACAGTAAGATTACTAGTTACTAGTTTTATTTAATTGGTTTACCAAAATGAGCTTTATTAGTTAGTTATCAAGTTACTGGTGCGGAAAAAAAAAATGCTGCCATTTCAGCCCCACCCTGTTTGTAATGATGCCAGACAATGGCTGTGTTAATGTCAGATTTCTTGCTTTAGGCTGCAGAGTGAAAAAGGTCAAGAGAGAGTTTCCCAAGGATGGATGATAAAGCTGCGTCATTTTAATATCAGGTCAACATCTGAACTTTTTTTTAGAGGACTTTTCTTCTTCAGAAAAAAATCCCTTGTTCTATAAAAATCAATGCAACATCAAAGAAAGTAAGCCATGTAATAAGTGGATTATGATCAGTAATGCCTTGTGAAGTTAGCCTTTGGTCAACTTTCTCTACAGGAAGTGAGAATTTTTAATCATGCAACAGAAATCTGAAACATGTCTAAACTGTTCAGTTAATTATTTTAAGCAAAGAAAACTAAATGCAGATGAGTTTTTCACTCATTTTCACCTATAGCGCTAAATAAAGTAACCTCATGTCACATTAAGTGAAGTTTGTGGATATTTTGAAAGAGAGGAAACGTAGAGATGAATTACAATTTTCCTTATAGAACAAAAAAGGAAAAAATAGATACACTAAGTGCTGTTTTTGTCTAGTATGATATCTGACATTTACAGCCAAGTGAGAGCGGCTGGAAGTACAGCATTTAATCTCAGATCTATTTTGAGTCATAGCTTGCAGCTGTTACATTTACAAACTCTTCTTCAAACTCTTTTTTTCAATGAGTAAGATGCATTTATGCCTCTTGGGAACAGAGAGATTAAAAGTTTGCTCTCAAGTACCATGAGCTTTTTATGACTCGAGACAAACTCTCTTATTTTACAGTTTTTCTAGACTGCGAGCGTTAAATTATACAAACAGCTTAAACCTGAAAACACAAGTGGATAAGAAACTTCTATGAAGAAAGTGAATTGCAACTGGTCCGTGACTGAAACCAAGTATTCATAGCATCTCCTTATCAGTTATCAGTGTGAGAAATGACATATAACAGTTGTGATGCTTCACTATATTAAGAGGGTCTTATACATCTTCTGTGACCCTCCGCATTTTACATTTACCCTAAACTGGCTGTATGTGTGGAAGTATAGGGGGGGTTGGGGTGGTAGTGTAGCGACAAAGCATCCTCGTAAAATGCAAATGAATCTGCAGGATGCAGAAGAAGACAAGCTGATAACTGACACTTATATGACAGGCAAGGTGTCATAGGAGAGGTAGCAGCATAGCACAGCGATGAAATTGAATTTTTCTCTGAATTCATCAGCTGCAGGGGCACTGTAATTATCTCCGAGCAGAGAACAGCGGTCAAGTGGACGTCAGTATTAACGGGGATGAATAATTCTGACTTTGACTGACTGTTCGGGAGAAGAAAATTAGGAAGAAATTGAAATCCTAAGTGTGAATATTTCTTTTCAAGGATTAAAAGACTGCAAGAGGAATTGCTTGTCAAATTAAATTAGGCAGGATTAGTGGCCTTACAAAAGAGGAGAGGGTCAGACTATGATCAGTCAGCAACACAAAAGGAGGAATTACTTGAAAGCTTGTCTTAGAGGCAGAAGGCGGCTGGCCAATCACAGCTCTCTTGTGGCATACAGCTGTGTAACTATAGATAAATTACAGGTTTGAGTCAGCCAGCGCTGCAGAGGTTAAACTATTAATGTGTCAACGAGGTCTGTATACCAGTGACGTCGGATTGCAAGTACACATACCCACAGACAAGGTGTTTTCACTCCGCTACATTTTGTTGCACAAGTGCCCCAGGCTTCCATTCAGCCAGTCTGTTGAGCATATGGTGTTTATTTCACCAATTCTTGTACAACAAAATGCTCTTGGTCCCAATTCAAGAAACATTTAATTCTGACGGATTCACACCATATGAAGGTGGAAAGCAATCCAAAAGCTCATCTTTTTCAATACGCAGCCTGTTTAACAGTCTAAGCATGTGAAAATAACAAGGCGATACGCATAACAGATTTTAGATAGAGGACAATAAAAGTGCATGGGAATAAAACAGCCCAACAACATTGAGGCAGTGTGATTGAATCTGAGAAAAAAACAAGTATTCACAGCTAACAGGGAACATTTGTTCATCACTTCACAGGTGTATGTAGTCAGAAAATAATTCTGAATTGCATACTAAGTACTGAATGCTACTTTGCTGTCATGGTTGGCTAGTGCAGGTGTTCAAATTAGTATGCTCTCACATGCCAAGTAGCATGAATTAAGCCTGGCTGAAAGCTGTGTGAGTGTCATTATCATCATCTGGCACCATGAAAATGCTCATGAACATAAGTTCAAGTCTGTCAATTACTTATGAGGCTATTTGTAAAAGCTGTCAATGGCTCAATGCAAAATTCCTCCTATTGTATTTTAGTCGAACAGCAGATGCAGAAACTTAGATTACATTAGATTACATTAGATTACATTAGATACAGCTTTATTTATCCTTGTGGGAGTTACCTCAAAAAAATTAAAAAATAGATTCTAATAGAGGGGATAAACTTCGTTAGAATATAATATATATAATATATAAAAGTGGAAACAAGGCTCAACAACAAAAGACATTTCCAAGTATTATATCTTTAGATAGATTTCTTATTTAGAGGGAATTTGGAACCTGTTGATCAGGATTAAAAACTCTGACTGGACACACCATGAAAATGTCATAAAAAATTGACTGTAAAAGTACAAAATAATGATTTTATGCCAAAAAAGAAGAAAAAAATGTGCAAAATGACCAGAGATGAAATTGCAACTGCCCAAGAGCCAATCTATGCCTTTAGTTCAACAGTGTTTTACCCTCTGCCAAGCTTCTCTGCTACTATGGCTAAAAATGTATCCCTATACTGTAGTTTTCATTCAAATGTCAGTAACTGCGAGCACTCATTTTAAGCAGGGACAGATACTGCTCAACTACTCCTCATAATTGTGACTGAGCAGACAACAGTAACCATTTCCCAAAAAGCCATCCTGGTGTTTGACCAGCTACCATAGCTCTGGTGGTATATATATATATATCTGGTGGTATTAATTCAGTATTTGTGACAAATACTCTTCATTCAAATAACCTGAGAACATATGTGTCCATATGGCAAACTCTTCACTCTTTAAACAAAACTTTTTATTAAACATATTAAAGCTAATGATGGTGGTTATAATTCAAACAGTGACTTAGACACAAGATAAACTTGAACAGTAGGAACTATAAAAATATTTAAACATAATGAACCTCTTGCTGTTTACTCTCTGTTAGTAATTATTGTATGATGATAGAAGTGTGTTTAAACCAAGGCAGTTGTAATGAGATGACAAAGACTCCTGCAAGACAACTGAGGGGTTACCTATGATAAATTAAGTGAAGCATGTTTATTTCTGGTGTATTTTTGTGTGTCCATGCTGTGTGTGACTTGTGGGTGTATAAATAGCAGTGTTTACCTGTGCCCTAAAGTCCTTCAGCCTCTCTAAATAAAGCAAAGTGATAATATTTGCAAACAAAGCATCCATTAGAGCAAAGACATAAATTTTAAGCCCGAGCGAGCTGAGGAAAATTTCTGCGCATGATATGAATCCAATTACTGAAATTATATTCATCATCATAATTAGACTCAACGCTTGCAAACAAAAACACTTTTAAGGTCTGATCAAGGATGAAATTCAATCAGTTTCATCTTAGCTGTTTGGAAATATGAGGAGCATAATAATGTTAATATAAGTAACAGACAGACAGTAAACAGGCAACTTTCCAGACTCATTTTAGTGTAATTTGTTGGTTTGTATTAAGATACAACACAAGGATGGTTGCCAGGCAGAAAGAAAAAAAGGCTTCAGATGGTCTCATATGATCCTTCAGCACCATCTAGTGATTAGGTTGATTATGAGGCTCCAAACTGTGAGGAAAGGAGACAGCGTATTGGTCTCATACACTTGATGATTCAGTGTGTTGGACCTGTATGGTGTGTCTATAGAGTACAAAATTTTCCTTTATATAAAAAAATCTTTACAAGTCTCTGGGTTTTCTGTGAAATCTTTAAAGCTAAATTAAATGAAAATGTAACGTGAAGGTTCGATGTGAGGTGGTAGGATGATTCTAGTGATGAGAAACAGCAGGATGGAGATGGACAACTTTCTTAGCAGCACTTTTACTCTCCAGCCATCTCGTCATCCTCACAACATAACCCAAAAACTTAACATTCTAGACAACCCTGATCACATGTCACAGCACTAACCAATCAGAGGCTAGGACCTCAAAATAAATGTAAATGAACCTCAGAAACACATTCTGCATAATCTGCTAACCCTCACAAACAGCTGCAGAGAAAAGCATTTAAACTTGTAAATATGAACCTGTTAACACTTTGTGAATAGTTCTCTGTATGAATTCGATAAACACTATTTTTAGCTTAAATTAGAGACAGTTAACATAAATATATGAATTGACTTAACTATTAAAGCTTACAAATACACCGTACAAATAATAGTTGGCTTATGTCTTATTTAGTTTTTTAATTCTTATAGCTGACAACTGCTCATCATTTTTACTTTTGATTTTAAAAAATTGAACTTTATTTGAATAGATTATTTAATAATCATATATTATTTGACCTCTAGCAGAGAATCTTAGTATATATATCTTCCACTGCTTTCTATGAACACAGAAGTCCTGGCAAAGTTAAAACAACAACAATGGTGACACCTTCAGTATGAGTTTAGTAGCAATGTCAACGCCTCATAAAAGTGTCCGGCAGGCTCATCTAAGTTGAAACACGAGTTCTGATACACATGTCGAAAACATTTCCCAGTATAACATCCATAAATAGATGTCTTGTTTGGAGGGCATGTGGAAACTGTTGATCACTATGTCTAAAAAAAACTCTGAATGTGCACATTATGAAATTATCATTCAATATTGACAGTAAAATTAAATATTCCTTATACAGTAAAAAAGGGTCAAATTATCATTAATAAAAAGTAAAATATTAAATTAAATCCGCTCTAGAGCAAATGTATCATTTGCTTCTGTCATGTCAGTCAAAATTAACTATACTTATGAATGCTGAATAGTCATTCCCTATAAAACTAATAGTCCTCGTTTCATTGCTTGAGTCATTACATACAAAATTGTTGAACTCGTTCTCAAAATCTGTCCAGCTGATTTCATACATTTCTTTCTCTCTTTTTTTTTTTTTAACCTCCTGGTCACTGTCGTCCCGCTGCCTGAACCTTCGTGAGGTAGAGGCAGCAGAAGAATCAGCACAGGAGGCACCAAGAGAAGCAAAAGAGGAAAACTCCAGGAGAGATGCAGAAGAGAAAGCAAGAGGAGGAGCAGGAAGAGGAGCAGAGGTAGGAGGAGGAGAAGGGGAAGGAGGAGGAGGAGGAGGAGGAGAAGGAGGAAGGGGAAGTGGATCAAATATTTGGGATATATATTTAAACATATGTATTTTTAATATTATTTATTTAATATATAGAATATAATTTATATTTGAGGATTATGAACGGTATTCTGCTGTTGGAGTATAATGACCACATAAGTGCGATAATAACTATAGTTAAGATAACAGAGTTACTACACTTAGAATAAAAGCAGACAGCTAACAGCAGCTCTGCATCATTTATTTTATTTTATATATTTGATCATTAGGACAGCATCACTGATTTTAGACTTTTAACTCTGACTGCAAATCAGCAGCACCGTATGTGAACCATGGAGGCCAGGATCTACAGTTTCAGATCACTGTGCAGGAGGTTGGTCTTCTGTTATAACCCAGATCCACTTGCCCATAATTCTGACCAGAACTGAACCATGCAAGATTCACTTAAACAGCCCATGCTAATCATCACACCTACTTTTCGCACCTATCACAGATCTCTTTCACAGCCTGTTTTTCAGTGCATCTAGGCCTGTCGCGATAATCAATTAATCGCCTTATCGCTCGATAAATAAAAACGAGGTCGGATAAACTCCCACGCCTGTTCTGTCTTTATATTATCCATTCTTTTTTTCAATCTTTTATTTCTAAATGTGATGTGGTTGTTTCAAAGTGAGAACAATATATCAAATAAAGAGGTAATCTTTTCTCCATTAAACTGATCTGGAGAGGAAGAGGCAGAAGACAAAGCAGAGTTAGTGAACCCTCCTGTCAGTCATTCAGTGTCTTTGTTACGAGGGGGCGCGCACGCAGGTACACGTAGGCGCGCACAGGCACACAGACACAGACTTTTGGATACAGTGCTGCAAGTGAGCGTCGTGAGTGAAAAGCAAGCAAACAGAATGAACACGACAGCTTTGGTGTCTAAACCGAACGCAACAGCCCAAGTGTGGGAATATTTCATACTTTAAACCACTTTTGTTTTCGCAACCACAAAACTCCACGTGTGTGCGCGCGCGCGCGTATTCTGTGTGTTGGAGGAGCACATGAGGCTGACGAGAGCTGTCAGAGCGGACTGAAGCTGCTCCTATATGTTTAGCGTGTAACTGACTGAGTTTTGCAACTCTGTTCGTCATTTTCGTCTCGTCCCATCAAGGTAAACACACTTTCGTCTCGTCACATTTTAGTCATCTCCGACTTATGTTTAGCTCGTCAACGTTACGTCTTCGTCGTGGGTGAAATTAAAGTTTATCACTTTTGACACGGTGTACTCGCATTATTATGCCATTTCATATCATTATCTATAATTTAAAAACGGTGTCAATAATATCGTTTATCGGCGATAATTTGTAGCACAATTATCGTCCAGCAAAATTTGTTATCGTGACAGGCCTAAGTGCACCTAATTAATAAGAGCAAGAGTTGAAGAAATGCACACAGTGGCTGCTACACAAATCTAAATCTTATCTCCTCACTCAACATCAGTGGTTCTCAAGTCCAGTCCTCGAGGCCCACTGTCCTGCATGTTTTGGATGTTTTCCTGCTCCAACACAAACCGATTCAAATGATCAGCTCGTTATCAAGCTCTGTAATGGCTTAAAAACGAGCTGATCATTTGAATCAGGTGTGTTGGAGCAGGGAAAAACATCCAAAACATGCAGGACAGTGGGCCTCGAGGACTGGACTTGAGAACCACTGCTCTACATCAAAGCACAGTATGAACCAACAAATCCCTAAAAACACACCTTCCATTATTTTAACAATATAATTCCTTAATCTATGAATTAAGCTTAACAGCCATGGCAAAATACATCCTCCTATCAAAGAAACACACAACTAAATATCATCTCAATACTTACTCTCAAAATCCTCAATGTTTGGACACCTGTGGCTCATAGATGAATTCATGGCAAACTAATGATTGTTATTGAATCCGTGTATAATCCGTGTATAATTCGTTCAATTGATATTCAATCAAGAATCAAACAAATAAATGAAAATTCGTTCGTTCATAATTGATCGTAATTGTGGAGACGTCCACACAAACATTGAATACAACCAACAAGCGAGGTGTATAGGCTGTCACAAGATAACACAGGTAATATGTAGTACTTTATTTTTTACCGTAATGACGTCACTCCGTTGCGTACTGCGTCACCAGTAGGCGTCAGTCTGAATTGTAAACACTTCTCTTGCTGCAGTAACAGCAGCGTCTTTAGTTTTAGTTTGCAGAGTTGTCTGTCATGATATGTATGCGTTTAGTGTGTTATCCTCTACAGGTTTTTAATTTCTGTAGATATCAGATTTTGTTATAAAGTCTATTTCCGGTGCTTTACAAGGCGGCTTTTAGTTACAGTCATAGAGCTAATCTTAGCTGTTGAGCTAGTTTCATCTCGCTAGCTTGGTAACACTAGAGGTGTAGACTTTATCTTTTCCTTTTCAAGAAGTCTACTCGACAGTCAGTGTGCAGTCTTTAGTTAAAAGCTCACCCTTCTTGTTTGTGCTGAAATGGTCCTTTCCTTGGTTAGCCTCTGTGCCAGGGAGGTGGTGAGTGACCACAGCTCGTCGCCCAGCTGGTTGAGGTGGGTGCCCAGGGAGCTGTACAGGGCGCTGCTGGAGGCCTCGTTCAGGAGCTGCAGACCGCTGGCTGTAGGTGAGCTGGTGCAGAGATGGCCTGAACGTACCTTGCGTGTTGGCGGAAGTAGGAAACGGGGCCAGGCTGCGCCAAATCGACTCTGCATACAAGCCCTGTTACTTGCTGTTGTCAGAGGATTGACCGACCGAAGGTAAGAGACAGTTTCTTCATTAACACGGTAAAGGCTTGCAGAAGCACACTGCAAAAACAGTCCTACTAGAAAGAAGCAAAATATTCTTACATTCAATCAAATAATCTTGAACAAGCAAAACAAATCTGCCAGTCTTGTCAAGCTTTTTTTGCTGGACAAGAATTCTCAAAATAAGAACACATTTCTTGGCTCTGACAGACTGAAATGAAACTTAAAACTAGACAGAAAATCTTATATTAATCTAATTTATTTCTACAGCAATGAAAAATGAAGATGAAGTTACTTAAAATTAGAATTTTAGTCTCTTGACTAAATGAATTTCAAGAAAATACACTTTAATCTAGGATTATTAATGAGCATGACAGCAGTTCAAATAAGACATAAATACTTAAAACAGCATAGCAAATAAAAGTGATGTTGTCATCAATCAAGATACCAAAACATTCTCATTGAATATATTTTTTTAATTCCTCAAGCAAGCATGTGGAAAGCAAGCATGTTCTTTGCTGTTTTGCAGTTTTCATCTGGTCATTGTATTATGTTGTGTGTTGTACAGACTCGCCTGCTGACATCTTCATATGTCAGATAATGTATGAGGCAACAGATTCTGTCAGGTTCAGATGACCTGCAATGGAAATCTTAATAAAAAAAATCAGCTGTTCTTGTTTCATGGCATTCTTAAATTGAGAAGTTGCACATATGTCTTAAGCTGTGTCAGAAATGAATCACTCAATTCCTAACCCCCATATGGGGTTTCACTACATAGCTGACTATATAGTGAGCTCAATCACCGGAGGTTTCGGACACTACCGTTGTGACATTGCCGCTAGAGACACAATGCATGACGGGATGCCCACCACCGGTGAGTGACCATCAGATGGTCACTACATTTTGCAATGCTTTATGGGAAATTTTGAGTTGCCTATATAGGGGCATTAGAATTGATTACTCAGGTTTCGGACACCCCTCAAATTGGCACTAACCCCCATATAGTCGCCTACATAGGGGTAAGGGATCCATTTCGGACACAGCCTTACTCTTAAAATGGGACGAATGATCTTGTTGCTCTGCTGGATTTTATTGTAAAACAGATTTCTACTCCATTTCTGGTTCATTCTATCTCAAGATTAGCTGGAATATCTTATCAAGAAAAAGTTAGCCATTTTCGCTTAAAATTAGATCATTTTTCCAACGCCAAACATGCTCGACAAGATTAATATTCTTTTTGTACAAAATAAGACATTTCCTCAATATAAGGCTTTTTTCCTTTCTTGAAAATACTTTTTTGCATTGCAACCATTTTGATCTGTGCTGTCTATGAGTGGTACTTAAAGAAAACCTTTTTTTTTAGGTGTGCCCTGCAAGTATTGGATCTATGCGGGCTCCAAGGAGACGAAGGAGGGATGGGAGACCCCATGGGTGGCTGGTCTCTTACAGTAGCCCTATGCACTATGGTGGTTCAGGCCAGAGCAGGGGCACAGAGGGCTCAGAGGAGAGAAGGAGAGCGGGAGAGGAAAAGATTCTCAGCTCTAGAGAGAGAAAAAGATGTTAAAAGAGAAAGGGGGCTGTGGAAGAGGGAGTCAAATGGAGATGAGGTTGACAGGAAAACTCTAGGGGGAGATAACAGCGAAGGAATGAGATCATGTGGATCTCTAAATGAAGAGGAACTGGCTAAAGGAGTCAGGAGGAGGATGGAAATGGAGAGGAGAAGAGAAACTGCTTTGCCAGGAGGCAGCAGGAAGGAGACAGAAGAGAAAGAAGTAAATAGTGATGTGTTGGTGCATGTGAGAGCTGATCTTTTTGTAAACGCCCGCTCTTGGGAGCGTGTCCGTGCTGCTTTAAGCACACAGGGACCCCTGAAGCTTCAGTGCAGATACCTTCGTGTAGAAGAGATTTCAGTGTCTAGTATAAGGACCTTGCTAGACCTCCTGCCTCATCAGGGTCTCCTTGGCATCGATATCCGTTACAGCAGCCTCGGGGTGGCAGGCTTGGTTGAGCTGCTGCCTCTGCTCTCCACCTTCCCCTTTCTACAGTCTCTCCGCCTTCACTACTGTAACTTGGACTTTCGCAGAGACCACCCTGGTCAGGAAGAGGCCTTGAGGGAGTTGTCTCAGGGTCTAGCAAAGCTTCAAGAACTGCGGCGCCTCAGCCTCACTGCACTGCGACTGCCAGGACAGCTGCGAGTGCTGCTCAGGTCTGACTTGATTTCCAAATGTTTCCTCTATCGTATCTTAACTAATGACACTGCCTCAGTGAATGTTTGAATTAATTAGTTACTATTTTTTATAAATAATGCCTGATTTCCTCCTGTTTCAGTTCTCTGCCTCAGCCTCTGGAGATACTGGAGTTGCCATATTTGAGCCTGAGCCCAGCAGACCTCGCCTATCTGTCCTGCAGCCATCATGCTTCTACTCTACAGCAGCTCGACCTCAGTGAGAACTCTGTGGATGAAAGCACCCTGCCCTCCATCCGTCGTCTCCTCTCCCAGGCCTCCAGTAGCCTTCAGCACCTTACTCTGAGTGGCTGCGGTCTCACTGATGGCCTGCTGGCACTGCTGCTGCCCTCACTGGGAGGCTGCTGGGCCCTCAAGAGCTTAGCTTTGGCCCTAAACCCACTCTCTGTGGCTGGCCTAATGAACCTGGTGAGAATGGCTGTGAGAATGCCTTCTCTCCGTCACTTACTCTACCCAAATCCCCTGGAGGACTACCAGCCGGGCCTCCCCGACCAGCCCTCCAGCGCTCAGCTCTTAGACTGGCCGCTAGACGAAGCCACAGAGTTCAACACAACCAGCATCCAGCTCAACAGGGTGCTGAAAGAGAGCGGGCGCTCTGACCTCTTTCTGACCTGCGACCTGCTCAATTATGATAAAGACTTGGTGGATTAGAGCTGAGGTGGAGCAGAGGATGCAAGGGCTTTTTGTACTTAATGACAATCTAAATTGTCATTTTTTATGGTTTTGTTGTCATTTTCCTGCTAAAGTGGACATTTTAACCATTTATGTACTTTGTAAAAATCACTGCAAAAAGGTAGAAACTTTGATACAATGAAGAACTCAATGAAGGCTTCATAAATTCCTTTCAAGTACTGATCATGCTTGTAAAAATACCGTACTAGCCAGGGTTAATTGTTTGAAGACAGAAGGAAGACAATTATAGTGCGATTTATTTGCCTGACAGCAGAGCTAGTAAAACAATGTAGGATTACATTAGATAATTTCTTCCCATTATAAGTAAAAGTTAACAGCTTGAAATAAAATGGTGCTCTACAACTTCAAAACATTCACTTCTTGCCTGATATGAGTTATAAGTACAAGCTGGATTTGTATCAAACATCATTATATTTGCGACACGAAGATTACAGGCTGTCTCCTCTTGTGCCTTTTTACCTGTTACATATACTGTCTTTATACATGGAGTTTATTCAAGTACAATATTTGATCAGCTATTTGGAGAAAGTTTTGCATCAACAACCAAAACAAGTTTAGTTTAATATTAGTACAAGTACATATTGTACAAGCTGTTTGCTAAGTACCTGCATATTTTTGTTTGAGCATAAAATGAATGTAACAAAGAAATGTAAGCTTTATATCCAACAAAACTGTTGTGTTATTTGTGCTTTATTCTATGTTTAAAGTCTTTTTTTTTTGTTGCATATTTTACAAACTTTTCTTGAATGTCTTAATTGTTTGCTTTTTCTATTCATTCAACATGTTTGACATCAAAAGGCAATCATCACCATCAGGAAACACATGTACCAAATCACCTTTGTGCCATATGGGATCATTTACATACTTAAAGCAACAGAATAAATCTGTCCTAAACAAACTTTTGAGAGTCATTGTGTGAGTAAATTCTAAAAGAATCAAGATATTATCAAATGAATGTCTTATTGTTTAATCACAAGGGTGTTATAGGTTAGGAGATATCATCTATAGTACTCTACATAGGACTGCGGATGAATGAAGTAACGGCGTGCTGTAGCTTTCACCCAGTCCTCCTCTGAGTAGACGTGGAAAGGACTGAGAGTGACTCGAGATATTGGCAGAGAGATGAAACCGGGGAAATGCATAAGGAAGGGGCGATTTCTCAGTGGCGGCAGAGTTAGACCTGCATGATAAAAGTGCAGAAGATAGTATAGATAGATTTTTACAAGCAAAGTTGCATATGATCAGAGGTAGGAAGTTCAGTGATATCTTGCCTTGAGGTTTCCATATTCGTGCCATGCAGTGAGTCTCTCCCAGACGAAGAATAGGTTGAGAGCTAATACACAAACAGACACGAAAAATTAATAAAATATAGCACTCAAGTGTCATACCTAAATGGTGTTTACATACCAGTCATATGAAGGCAAAAGCACAGTGTTTTGGGGATCAACAGGCACAACAAAACTAGCCTTTCTGTACTCTTCTTTTTGCACAGAGCAGAAATAATTGAGCACATCCACTGCGCTGAAGGTTGGAGGCTTCCACTTTGCTGTACTCCTGAGGTACAGATACCTGTCATGTTCCTGGCCACATGCAAGAAGACGCAGACAGCAGTTAATCGCTAACACAACACCAACAGTTATTCCAGTCAACAGCAGTGTGACAAGCTCTCATGTCGTCCTATTTAGAGTGAAGGTCACGGTGAAGGAGCAGCTGGGAGTCGATTCCCAGACATAGTGCCTCTCAGTTTTCAAATGCCTGTCTGACCTTCAGTCACAACATTTCACACAAGATGTTACATTTATGGGTTCAAAATGTTGGCAATGAATATTCTACCCACCTTGTATTTGGAGACCCACAACTCCAGCCAACAATCTGCTCTGTCATGGAGGTTCTTCCAGACATTAGACTGGTCCAGCAACTCCAGATCCCACCTGTTCAGCTCCGGCCACAACCACTGCTCAGCCTCTTTTACACCTATTGCAGCCAGCATGCCAAGGACTGTTTCTCTAAGAGCAAACCAAATAATACAAATTCGGAGTCACTTTAACACATTTATGTAAAACATGAACATTTCTGATGTTTTACTGGAGTGGTTTGAGACACTGAGTCCACATCACCCAACCTTGGGTCAAGCAAAGCACCTGGAAATAAACTAGACCAATATTAGCACTAGCTTGGCTCAGTCTCATTCTGAATGCTATTGTCAGAGCTCACTCACCTGAGACCTAGCTTTTTAAAAGCCAGGAGCGTGAGAATTTTTTTCATGAGGTCATTGTTGACAGATTTCAGATCAACTAAAAGGTTCAACAAATCAACAAGCACAGCCCGCTCCATGGTTGACTGAAACACACAAGAAAAAAATCAATTACACACAAAGCTCTACTCCACAAAGTGTACAATGCTTGTCTAAATCCTGAAAATACAGTACCATGTGAGGTCTCACAGATTTAGGAATCAGATCAGTGAGGCCTCGGCACAGTTGGTCTATATCATGAAAGAGTCCCTGGTTGTGCAGAGCTGCCAGGGCGGTGAGGACCTTCATTTTAGATGAAGCACTACAGGTGTTCAGAGCACCCAGCAGCAGCAGGGAGAAGTCCTCTGGAGACACGTCGCTTGGTATACACTGCACATAAACACACACTTTTCAAATTCTTTCCTGAACCAATATGCTTGGTTTCAGCACTTTGTAAACAGTACAGGTGTATATGTCTGGCTACCTTTTCATCTGGAAAGAGGTCTCTGAACCAGTCTGCTTCTGCAAACTGTTTGAGGAACGTTGGAACCTCAGGAGTGGGTGCACGCAGCGGAGGAGGTGTTAGGATCTTCAAACGATGAAAACGACGAGTAGGAGTTTTGGGTTTGGGCAAATCTGTTGGCGGAACGGCCTCTGGAAGCTACAGAGATATATATGCAGATAACACAAATGAATGAACACTCTTATAAGGGCTATTGTTAAATACATTCTTTAATCTTCTGTGTAACAAAGTATTTTATAATACAGTTATTTCCTCCTCCTGCTCTTCCTGCTCCATCTGTTTCTCCACGACGACAGGTTTCTTTGGTGTGACTTTGCAAATAGGCATATGCTTGACACTCTTCACGGTTTTTGGTTTGGGCTTTATTTCTGGAGCCTTTTTCTCCTGCAGGGAAAGAGACAAAAACATTACCTACAGATTTCTATCTATTTATTCTAAAGTAGCATTCAAAAACACTTATAAAAAAACCGGTGTTACCTCCTCCGTATGCACCAGAATGTTTATTTTGGATTTGGGTCGAGCATCCTCTGTCAGTGTAGGAGGGCTAAAGGGCTCGTAGTCATGTTGTGTAGGATTAAATGAAAGTTTGTTGGAGTCAAATGTGTCTTCTAAATCAATCTGAAAACAGAATTTTCCAAAATCTCTGCATTATTAAAATAATATGAAGAAAAATTGGTAAAATGTCATGGGGGGAGAAAGATGAGGTCACCTGTACATCGAAGTGCATCTTGTATAGTATCTTCATGTAGCGATCGAAAGCCTTTTTCTTGGTTTCCTTTGTGCTGGGAGGTTTCTCTTTCCTGCATTTTACCGAACCTTCCAGAAGTGCAGACAGGTCCTTGTTCAAGACCAGCAACCTCTCATGCTCCTGAGACAATACACAAATGCATACATCTCAATGTAAAGACTTTTTTGTGTCATTTAGGTAGGAAGCTGTCCCAGTTTTTCTCACACTCACCTTCTGTCTCCACATGTCCTCAGTTATTATTAAACTGCTGGGGATTTCTTGTAATTTCTCATCCTCATGTTTGTCTGTGCTCGTGTTTCTGTTCCAACCAGTAATGCATATTAGTCACTCAGATCTTTGTTTTTGATTATCTTAAACACGAGTGAATCTTACTCTCTTTTGCTGCACTTTTCTTTCTTCTCGATGACTGGGAAGTCGGGAACTCTCTTGGCATAGTAAGTATAAAGAAGCTGTGAACATAAAATGGGATAAAAGAAACATTTTTGCTCTACAGCCACAGTTGAAAATGTATAAATTAATTTATCCTAGTTACCATTTGTTGGTAGATGTTTGGCAGGAACTTTGCACAGTCCATCTTATACAAATCCCCTCTTATGCCAACAAACAGTTCCCCTCCTAACCCACCATAGGCCAGACATTCAGGAACAGCATTCAGCTGCAGTGTACTGTAAGGATACACATACACACAGTATATGAATCAGTTATTATAATGCACTTTCACAGCTGAGCTGCCACAAACCAACCTGATCAGCTGATTCCTTTCATTCCAGATACAAACTGTCTGGTCAAGACTGCTGGACACAAACACATCTAAATCAGGACAAACACATAATCCTGCAAGAAAAGAAGTAAAGCCAAAGAGTGACTACCATACATATGAAAAGTGCAACATACATTTTCTTTCTTTTTCTTTTTTTGTGACCTGTGATATGGTCCAAATGTCCCTCTATAGGTGTCTCATCAGTCGGGCTCTGGTTGAGGAGGTTAAAGAACATCAGCTTGTGGGTATCACTGCAGGACTCTTGGAAAGTAAGAGCCAGCTGTGACCCCAGAGCTGCCATGTAGACCTGAGGCTGACCACAGTGCAGGGTCATCTGCAGATTGAGACACTCCTGGCTGAAGGGGTTTACTTTCCACACCATCAATGTCTTATCCTCTCCTAAGAGATTGAAGTGAAGTTGTAAAATACAGCACAGGTACACCTTATAGGTCCAACTCCAATCTAAAGTCTCATATATAGCTTATGGGAAATACCTATTGAGTAGAGATAGCCATTCTCAGGGTATGCATGCAATGCAGTGACTCTTTGGCCATTGTGTGCTGGTGTCCTGTACAAGACCTTCCCATCCTTGAGTCTCAGTATGCTCACACAGCCTCCACTTTGGCCGAGGATGATCAAAAACCTGCAAAAACATCATCACACATTAGGAGTTTTACAGGATGTGGATATGAGTGTCCTATTTGTTAAAGAGCACTTTATGAACATATCTAAAAGTGAACAAAATGCTCACATATTCTTGGCATCATGAAGATCTTTCTTGCTCCTTTGACTACATCCTCGTATGTCCTGCAAACTCTCCCACTCCTCTAAAGCATCCTGTGTTTCAGTCGAAGAACAGTAGAGTACCAGGCAGCATGCCGGACCAGGCACAGGCAGATTTTGGGCCACCTTTCCAGTCACATAGTCTTTCTGCTGCCATGGTCCTTGTCCCCTCTCCTTCCACTCTTGCATCAAAGAGGCTGGATTGGTAAGCATGTTAGCTTGGAGCACCGTACCTGTCTCAGTCAGAACTAAAAGAATCTCCTTCTGCATGCAGTAGTCTGCACACAAAACCCTCTGCTTTGCCTTAAAGGAAGTCAACACTGCTCCTGCGTCTGAGGCCACAAGCATTATGTCGCTGTCCCCGCTGACACAGAGGACTCGTAAGGGAAAAGGAGCAGGCAAAGAGGTGACTAGGATTTGTCTCAGCGGGGCTCTCTTGTCCCCCTTGAGAGTGCAGTGGAGAGTGTATAAGTTACTGATGGACCAGATGTCAACTTCCTGATGAGAAAAGGAAAAGAAAGTATCTCCTTTTCTATTGCCTCCTACACATAGGAGATTGTTTTTCTGCTCCGTGTGGATACGCTCAACCACATCGCCCTCTTCTACATTCCAGCAACTGATTGTACCACCCACAGCGGCAGATAACAGCATGTGTAATGCAGGGCAGTAGAACAGAGAGTTCACAACACCTAGGCACAGAGGACAAATAGAAATCAAACCAAATCATAAAAGGACAAAGAGAATTTAAATGTATGCTATTTTACCATTGGATTCTTGAAAAACCACACGTTGTTCCCAATTGAGTCCCCATACTTTAATGGAGAGCTCTTGAGATGCAGTGATCAAGCAGTCCAGTTGAGAGCAGAACACTATTGCAGTAATTCTCCTATAAAAAAAAAAACCCACCATGTTAGATTTAAATTTCACCATCAAAAGCTTAGAAATATTAAAAATGACAAAAAAAAATGACACTCACCCTGAACATAGATCCCTCTGCTCTAAAACCTTCCCGCCATCAAGGTCCACCACACTCACAACTGACCCACACACAACATATGTCCTATGAGGCCTCTTTAGTTGCGGTGGAGCCAGCGCCATCAGGGTGAATGTTTTGTGCTGCAGCCCTTCCTCTATCTTCACCTTACACCTCATGAGCATCACCGACCACACACATACATTTCCTGCACCTGCCGTGACAAGCTCTGCAGAGTGTTCTGCAGCCTGACACACACGTATATCCAGAGCATCACGAGCAGCCTCCAAGGGCCGTAACTTACTATCAAGGAGGGTAAACACTGACCCAGGGCCCCAACCCACAAGGTGGCCTGAGATCTTTGTTTCAGTCAGGCCTGTGAAAGTGACGCATGTTGTGGAGGTCTGCTTGAGGCCGTCTGCTGTGTAAAGGCAAACTGTGTTGTCAGAGTGGAGGCTTATATATTCAGCAGCAGCTTCATAGTACATCATGTAACGCACAGGGCTGTCACAGGAGAAGTGCTGCAGGCGATAGAGACCATGTGTAAACACACTGGGCTTTCTTTTTGTGTTTCTAACCTGGAGAAAGAAAGAGAAAGAAAAATTAAGAAAGACCTTAGATAGTGCACAGAAAATGTGAGTGTTATGCTCGACCTTGCTTGCAGCTTCCTTCACGTCCCGTTTGGGTAGTTTCTGCTCTCCGTGCGTCATCCTATTTGATGTCCCTGAAGACAGCAGCCCCGAGGCAGAACCAGGGAGAACTAACATTGTTGTTCTTGTGTCCTCACTTGGGGTCAACATCTCCACCAGATGCTATGAAAGACTGTCACATCACTGGCACTCTTGCAGCAAAACACTTTCTTTTTTGCTTGTGGCTTCACTCACACTATCACAGGACTATCAAAATCCATGTATTTGCAGGGCTTGATAATATTAGTTTTGACATCCAGTCAAATATTTCAAACTTTATTAAAAATCTGTTTTTTACAGACAAGACGGATTTTGGAGAGAGTTTCTAACCTTGGAATGCAGCAGTTAGTCCGTCCTTCTATGTGATATCATTTTCTGTCACACTGGCTTTCTGGCTCCTTGAATGTTGGTTACGCCGCCTTGACAACTGAGAAAGTTAACTTGACAGACACAATTCGCCAAATAAATTATAAAAATGAGAACAATGGTGTTCCATTTAATTTATTTATAGTTAAACAACACAAATGTAGGATTATGCCAAACTAGTTGACAACGTGTTTTAATTAGCATTTCTCCTTTTTTGAACAAGTTGAAATATTTGGTACCAAGTTTTTATGGTTACACCATATTGACATTTTTTTTCCCATTATTCCCTAAATATTTTCTAAAAATTGATAAAATTAAGAAATTTTAGACAAGGCCCTCAAAAAGAGAATGTATCCGAGTAATTAGTGAGTTTATTTTTTAATTTTAGCTTTTTGAAATTCAAGTCAACCATAGGAACATAGAAAAGACTGTGTCACGTCATTGACCCAAATCCAGAATGGTCTTCTAAACCACAAATATAAAAAGATTCAGAAGTCTTCTCTAAAATTCAACTTCTAAAAAGGGTCAAACTACCTGTAATTTGTCAACTTGAATGTACAGTAGGAACATTTTGAAACCACAACTCACCTTTTAGTTACGTCTTCGGCTGAAGACTACCTTATAAGCGTCCATTCTCACACAAAGTTGAAGATTTATGACGGGGGTACCTGTCGAAATAGTGCGTAAACTACGTTAAACTTGTTGTTTATCCTTCACCAATAAAAAGTCATACAGCCAAGATGCAGCGATATGCCTTTCATTTGCGAAATGTTGAAGTTATTCGTGCAAAAATCATACGGAGAGCTCACATAGAGCACCGCAGAGTTTGCACTCTGAGGTCAAGTGCTCTGTCTTGGTTGCTTGGCAACGGGTCGCTCGGCTACATCCTTGACTGCTGGTCGCAAAACTTAGAGCAGCAAAATACCCGCTGTTTGTCATAATCTGCAAAAAAATGTGTTTCGTCTTTTCTGAATTGTGTAAATTAAAAGTACGTCACCGTGGTTTAGTTCCCCTCGACTTTCATGCATCAGTATTTTAAATGTTCATCAGATTTGGGATTAGAATTTCAATAAAGTAACTCACCAAGAGAATGCAACATTGTTCGTTACAGCACTTTAGATATACAATACAAGCCTTAGTGATTGTTAAACACGGAACATTTAAATTATTATTACAAAAATAATGATAAAACTGCATTCCCAAGAATAATGTACACATGCAAGAAACAGAATGCTGAAAAAATACAACCACCACAGCAGAAAACAACTAAATTACAGTATTATCAATTTATTGTATAAAACTAAACTTGTTAGTGGCATTGATATATTTTACATTTAACAAACAGTAAAAATATTTACATTAACAAAAATTTACATGTAATTTTTTTATATGTATTTCTGTAAAATATTAAATTAATCTTGGGGAATATTTGGTATTCACCACAATTCTTCATATTGCAAAATATTATTGCTGTTTCTCATAAATTGAGGAAGTTACTCAAATGTAAATGTGATTCATGGGTTGATTTTTATGCTCTTCCACAGTTTATAAATGCAGGAAATGAACTCAAACACATCAGTCTGAAGGCAGCTGTAAAGTATGTGTCTCAGAAGGCTTCACTCATCATATCCTTCAACTTGTCCTCTTCAGCAAGAATGGGCACAGTAAAGTTTCTTGAGAAATACTGCAATTCTATTTTTCCTGACTCATGTGCCAGAGCAATTCCTGAGTATGTGTTTTGCTGCCCTGAGTCCCCAAACACAGCCATGGCCGTCACCCTGAGGAGAGAGAGCACACATTCACATCACGAATCAACAGGAGGACTTTTAAAACCTCTGAAGAAAAATCTGTGCAGTGTTACCTATCGGAGTGGATTCTTTCAGTGACTACAGGCTCTGTGTCATTCTTCATCAGATCCCATATGCGGAGGTTAGAGGCTGTGTCGAGAGCGCAGAAGACTGTTGGTCTGGTTTGGGTCCACTGCAGTGAGACCACAGGTTCTCGTGCTGTACCGTTTGTCCACTCGGCCACAGGCTGCTCATGACTCACTGTGTGCAGCCTGATACCGCCATCCCCACAACCCACCTGGAGAAGATGTTTCACAGTATATCATTGTCATTTTATTTCAAGGATGGTTTGTTGATATCGCAGTGAATTAAATACAGAAAGACTGACGCAAAGCACTCTAAAATATGAGTAGTAAGATTGCTTTTGTGCCCAACATAAAATACTTGCAGTTTACTGTTTTGTTTTACTTTAACATTTCTATAAGTTTCTTATCTTTAGAGAAGTGTGAAGGCTTAAAAACAATCACTCACCAGAAACAAATGTGACAAAAATGGACTAAAGTTGATCGAGGTGATATCAACAGGTCTGACCCCAGCCTCCTGAAACCTGTAATACTTTGGTGGAGCCTTTAAACCGTGACTTGTCCCGTGATTGACCAGACCCTAAAACAAGATCAAATCATAAAATGATACAAATCATCTTTAGGGCTTTGGGATGGGAAAAAATATGAATATTTGGGGTATTTGACAATTACAGATGCAAAAACAGCTGACTCACCATATTAGTGCCGATAAAGAAATGGTTGGAGTCTGTTGGTAGGAATTTTAAATGAAGTGTCTGTGAGGGTCCTGTTTTCACAGCATCTCGAGGTGACACCCTGAGAACCAACAAGGCCAACAGAAGGAAAAAATGCCAACCAACAAGGTCAAAGGTCATAACATTCCCATCCAAAAACAAACTCTGCGGCGTTGCAACACAACACTGTATCACATTCACACTGTACACATATGACCCTCTATATGTTCCCATCAAACCCTGAGGTGACAAAACAACAGCCTGCAGATCATAACAAACAAGATCATATGACGGCGACTGAGCAGCTGTGTTCCTCTGGGGACAGACATTGTGGGGTATTTTGAGCGCACTTGCTGGCAGTGACGGATGATCATCACAAGCTGTTTATCAATCTCACCTCTCAGCAGTGAGGAGGGAGGAGCTGTGAAGCAGCTTTACTTTGCCCCCTGGCCTCAGCCCTGCAGGAGAGAACCAGAGGATGAAGCTGGGACCACGTGTTCATGAAAAAAAATGAGGGGAGTGTTTGAAAAAACGTGACAGCCTTACCGAGATCTGTTGGAGAGCCCGCCTCATTGGCTTTCGGGAGTTCTACCACCACCTGAAGGACACATAGGAATTTGTGCTGAATTATCACGACATTACTTTGTTGATTGTGCAGATCAGGGTTTACAGCTACATTTACAGAAGAGGGATGACTGTATCTGATTGGACGGAGGAGGGTGCTGGTCCAAAAAGCAGCAATATTCCCACATTAAAAATGTTTATATGAAAGGATTCTGGCACTTCTATTTTTATCATTTGTCTAATTTAGATTAAGGATTCAAAGATGCTAGATTGTTGACTGTTGAATAAAACGTCTACCTTGTCTTTTTTTTGGCCTTTTTATTTATGCTGTAACAAATTCAAACCATTCAAAATAAGTGGAATAAGTAGTTAGTACGATGTAGATTCTCTTTGAAACCCACACACAGTTTTACAGTCAACGATTGATAGATTTCTTTAAGATTTGTGATCCAAAAGTAGATTTACAGTCAGATATCACACAGATATGTTTGATATGACATCATGTCTGTGTGTTTAGATTGTTCTGGGTTATAACTCTGAAATGGTAAACCTGCTGGTACACCAGCTATTGGGACAGAGCAACAATGACTGACCTTCCTGTTGTTTGTAGAACACTATTCCAACATTCCCCTGTCACTTTCCCTCTTGCCTTTCCCTCCTTTGTACAACCTTTCAACTTTTGACAGGAAGGAATGAAAGACATTGTTTTCGCCAAACTTACCCAGAAATTTAAAACCCCACTCTCATCCAGAGAAGCCAGCTGGAAGGACAATCCTGATGACTCTGAGTTAAGAAACAGGATAAAACTCGACTGTGCTTGCAACAAAAACAGAGTGGATATCTTTAAAAAGACACCCTGGAATTCAAACTGATTTGTTGGCCATTCCTTACCTTCCTCAGATGCCAAAAAGGGGACTTCTGGCCTCAGCCCCACTGCCACAGCAGAGGGGACAACCTCTACAGATGTCACAGATGAGAAATGGCCTGAACCGCCCATCACCGCATCTGTGTTGACAAGATGACAAAAGAGGGGATATCAGCACACACTGAATCAGCACTAATGTTACGTAAGAAAACAGCCTTTAAACTTCTGAGACAGACAGGGCAGACGCTGCTCTGAACCCTCATTTACAGAAGATGAGGATGTTTACTTTTTAATGCCTGCTGACATTTGCTTCCTTGGAAGCGCGGTACAAAGAGTAAAATAGACATGAACAAAGAGTGAAAGCCCAAGGAGCTTTGGTTTCTCAAAATGAAGTCTGACAAAAAAAAAAAAAAAGCTTTTAAACACATGCTTGGAGTTAGATTACCAAATTTGTGCTATTCTGATGGACCACAAACCCTGTGTTAAAATCATAAGTATGGAAACAACAAGTAAATATTTAATTTTAACTAGTGAATCCACCCTCCTCTCCTCTTACTTTATGTGTACACATTAAAGTTTGATGATGAATGAAAGATGAATACCTATTTTTTTGCAATAAATAAAAGATACAACTTACATTTTCTAGTATATCTCATTTTAAACTGCTTTTTAGGACTGAAAAATGTAACAAAGCTCAATACAGACATGCACTGGTTCTTAGTTTGCCAATTATTAGTCACAGGAAACAGTATATTTTACATGTCATGGGTGTAAGAAAAGCTAACCAAGTCTTCAATTTAGCTCTGTGGATTTTGCAAGTTGCAAAGGGAGGAATGTAGAGAGAAAGGACCCAAAAATGATGCACAATCTGGGAAAATTAACATCAGTTCAAACAATTTTCTACAGGCTTCAATACAGTTTTATCAGTGCATCAGAAAACCCACCTTTGTCTTATAAAGTTGATATTTACTTTATTTTAGTGGTAAAAGGAGGATGGAATTGGGTATTATGGCAGTATATATTCACAGTGATTGTCCAGCTGTGGTTGAAATGTGCAAAAACATGATTTCAACACATTATGTATTTGTGCGGCTTCACAAGTAATACAGTTATAAAGATCCCCCACACAGGGAGAAGAGGATAAGTGTGTATGTACACGCACTTCAGCTGCGCTGCTCTGACTGTCAGAAAGACCCTTGATGCTGGCATAGCTGACTGAACTACTTCAAGACATCACAGTGGCTGACACAGGTTATAATCCAACCCCACAGCTGACTTTTCCAGGGTGACCGTAATGCCACCAAATTGAATTTTTAAACTTTGATCTTTACATACCTGTTGAAAATGTTGGCTGTCTAAAGGTCCATTCGTTCTCTGCTATCTTTGAGCAGAGGTGATTACTAGTATTTTCCCTCAGGTCCCACAGAACCACAGAGCCCACTGGTGTGCCTGCAAACACAAGTGTGGCCTTTCCAGGGCTGAAGCAACAGCACTGAACCTGCAACAGGAGCATTCAAAGAAGCTTCTGTCAGTGTTTGGTGGATATCATTTTATGGATGTCTGAAATTATTCTGTGACCTTAAGACTTGATTTCAGAGTAAGAATAAATGTCTTTATGGGCGTTTTTACAAAATTAAAAATGGAAGTTTATGCAAAAAGGAAAGCAAAGTGATGTTTGTTAGGAGATGTTAGCTTCTAAAGAAACATGAACTTAATAATTCATGTAGAGGGATCTTGAAGATTTCACCTCAGATTCATAGACTAGAATTTGTTGGGGTCTGGATGGCTCTCTGATGTTCCAGATGCAGATGATGGTGCAGCTGTCAAGATGCACAGCACCAGGTTTGGATGTTGGTTTATGGACTGACATCATTGTGTATCTCTGGACCTGAGAAAAGTGCACCAGGCTAATGTGGCGACCTGCAATCGACAAACAAAAGGGGTACAATCCATGTGAAAGCTGCATAATCCTGTCCTGACTTGGTCTAAACAGCATATTCTAAATGAGCTTTAAAGGGGTTTTCTTTACCATTAAGAAAAGGCAACTTAGTGTTAAGCTGTAAACTTCCATCACTGAAAGACAGTGCGTCTGTTTGAGACTCGAGCTTCCTCAGGGATTTTTTCTCAGCTTGATCCTCTTCCAACAGAATAACCATGACCTTCATCCAGTCACACAAGACATCAGAGATTAGAGTTGAAGACAAGCAATTTCATGAGGGGAGCAACGAACTGATTCACAACCAGAATTTCAGAGGAGATAAAAGATAAACCTGCGAGGCTGAGTGCAGAAAAGCCGTCAAGCGCTGTGAATCAAAACTCAAATCACTTGTGGTTTTGTCTCGGGCTCCCTGGGAGAGATTTGGATCTGTCAGAACAAAAACACAGTTGTTAAAAACAACATGTAAACACTTTTTCATTTGAACATATCTTGGCTTTTTTATACCTCCACAGGCTCCACTTTTCTCTGGAGGATGCTGCGTCCACTTCTCACACACCTCGATCTCCTCTGTCTGGATATCTCTGTCAGCATTGTCTTCATTACACTGAGCATAAGCCTAACAGGGATGAAGATTTCACATCTGATATGAGCATGAAGTACACATTTTTTCTTTCATTCTTGGCCATGAATCTATGCCGTCTGAAAGACACAATGGAAAAAAAACACTGACCTGCTTGGTATTTGTAGTTCCAAAGCTTTTAATATACATGTCATATTCATTAACAGGCGGCAGATCCAAATGGGAAAATGTCATGGAAAAATCCAGATCGATTAAGCGAAGGAGCGCTGTGCTACGTTTCCTGTAGAAAGAGGAAAAATAAATTAAAGTGTGGCTTAAATGGATACACACTAAATAATTTGAGAGGGTGTATGTTTACATTCTGTTATATAAATACTTTTGTTTTGTTGCAACTTTCTTGCTGACTTCACGTTGTTTCGCAGCCACAAAATCAATAAACTTCCCGCGGTGGGTGGCTCTACTCTGACTCTTCTCAGATCCTGTTAAAAAAGCAGAAATGATGGAATACATCCCCCATAAGTCTGCACAGAACATGCTGACATTAACAGATAGTTTCTAGACAAGCCACTTTAAGAGCAGCCTGTACTGAGTTTATCGCAGAGAGAGTACTGTCCCCATCTTTGGACAAAATGAATTTTGAAAAAGCGCCACAATGTTATTATCCTTTTCTCTTATTGATTTTGTTAGTAAGGTTTGGGTAATGTGTTTTTCACTTTTCATATGTACTGTTGCTTGTTTTTAATGTGCTTATTTATTCATACTTCAGTGGAGGCAAATTGGAATTTGCAGCACTTGAGTCCATGGCATGGTTTGGTATAGTACGATTGTATGGTATTTGTTAGGCATGGCTCAGCATACAATAGGAAACCAGGACATCAGACATAGAAAACATTCCTAAAACAGCATAAAGATTACTCAAGCAATATGTTTCTCATTGTATCATATTAAACTGTATTGGTTTGTGTCAAATCAGTTTGTATCTTATCATAATGTGTTGTATTGTACCCTATCATGCCAGATCACTCTGTATGTTGTATCATAGCGTGTTGTGTCTAATTGTGTTGTAGTGTGTCATGTCTTATGTATCCTATTGTATTGTATCCTATCATATTGTATTGTATCTTATTGCATCTTATCTCAAGGTATCGTGCAACATAAACTGTAACATATTGTACTGTATCATATAATATTCTATCATACCATATTGTAAAATACTGTTTAAGGCCCTATCCCAAAGACAGACCTTAAGTACCATGGTTTGAGCATCAAAGTTATAAAGGACCTGTACCTCTCGTCCATTTAGGCTCATCCTCCTCATCTCTGCTGGTACTGCTTCTAGACTGAGCTGTTCCCACTCTTTCATTCTCTTCATCCATCGCTCTTTGAATTGCTTCGATTTCTTTTCTCCTTTGTGCTGTAAGTTCCTCCCTCTCTCCATCTGTCCCCTGATTTTGTGGCACCTTCTCTCCCTCGTCTTCATTTGCGCTCTCATCCATTTCCTCAAAGTCTTCCTCGTAATCCTGTAAACAGAGAAAAACCCATCCTGTTCTAAATACAGTATGTTTCGCCATAAATTTGAAAACATGGCCTCAAACAAAAACTTTCCAAGTATGAACGTGAAAATGGATAAAATGGATGCATTCATGAAATCTCTAAATACTTACCACTTTCTTTGAATGTATATTGATTACAGCATGCAAAAGTGATACAAAAGAAGGGAATTAATGTAAAAAAAATAATTATGATGATGAGATCACTTCACAAATATTCAACTGTAGCCTCTTTCATAGTTAAAAGAATGATTTATTACCTCAAAGTCATCTTCATATTCCTGCTCAGCCTGCTCTTCAGCATTGACTTCCTGCTGAGGTGACATACATTCATGAAGTAGTAAACATCTTAAATACTTTAAAAAGTGTGTAGAGACCTTATGGTGAAGCTGGGGGAGAGTACATCATGCAGTGCAGACAGCTGTTGGCTCACGCATGCAACAGAAAAGATCATAAGGCCAAATTTCTGCTTGTAATTTATGTAGCCAACCACAGGATGAGGTGAAAATGGTTTTGTATTCATGCAATATAAGAAACTGTAAATAAGTCTTTATGTTAAACTAGATTTTAGAGGCAATGAAACACCATCCCGCCAAAACCAAGTGCCCAGAAATGTACAGCAATCCAACAAACATCTTACAGTCTTCTCTGAGTCTCCAACATGTTTTACAGATACAGGTGCTACTTCCTGGATAACAAAAGGGAAAAGCCATAAAATCTATTAGATAACACAACCTATAAATACTCGACAGAATACTGCGTAACTTTCAGAATGACAAACCTCAGTTTTAGTCTCATGTCTGTTGCTTTTTTCAGTTTTCTTGGAGCTGCTGCTCCTGTCTTTATGGTGATTTCTTTCCGGTTCCTCCTCTGCCCTCTCTCTATGCCTTCTTTCCTTGTGTCTGTCCCTCTCTCGCTCTTTGTCACCATGGTGATGCCTGTCCTCTTCATTTGACCCCTTCAAGCCTCGATGCTCCCTGGATTCGCTGTCATGCTTTCGCCTTTCATCCTGGAGAGAAGGAAAAGCAATCACAACACTGTGACTAAAAGATTCTGACAAGAGAGTTATAGATAAAATCAGGAGGATGCTTACTTGAGATCCCCTCTCATTGTGTCTTTTTTCTCTCTCCTCTTTATGTCTCCGTTCTCTCTCCTCTGTATGTCTCCTTTCTCTCTCCTCTTTATGTCTCCGTTCTTTCTCCTCGGTATGTCTTCTTTCTCTGTCCTCTTTATGTCTTCTGTGTTCTTCTTTGTGTTCTGAAATCAAAACACACAAATACAAAAATAAGTCCTTAAAATACAGTATGACCAGCTAAATCACACACACACTACTGTGCCCATACCTCTTTCCTCCTTCAACTCAGAGTGTTTTTTGTCTCGGTGTCTCTCTCGTCTTTCTCTGTCATTCCTCTCGTCTTCGTTTTCATCGTTGTGTCTCTGTCTCTCTCTATGCCGCTCTCTTTTTTCCCTCTCATGTTTTCCTATCATATCTCCCTGCACTTCTCTTGTGTCCCCGTATCTCCTTCTCTCCTTTTCACTCTTATGCTCCCTGTCCTGTTCTTCTCTCCTTCTTTCCTTTTCCTCCCTCCTCTTCTCCCTGTCTTCCCCATTATGTCTGTTTCTGTCTCTTTCCTTCTCTTTCTCCCTATCTCTGAGTCTTTCCTTGTCCCTTTCCGTGTAATGTTTTTCCTCCCTGTCTTGTCTTCTGTCTCTGTTCTCTCTGTAATACTCATCAGCCCCCTTACCATCCTCTAACCTGTCTCTGTCTCTTCTCTTCTCTCTTTCCCTCTCATCTCTTCTATCCCTGTCCCTGTCGCCTCTCCTGTCCCGTGAGCCTTCTTTATGTCTATCTGCATATCTGTCATTTTCTACCTCATGTCTTCTTTCCCTTGTACTCTCTCTTTCCCTATATTTCTCTCTCTCTCTTCTGGACTCCTTCTCTGGATCTCTTGGACGCCTCTCTGTTGATTCTCCACCTCTGTGCTTTCTCTCAGAGTCATCTCGTCTTCTGACATAGTCGTCCCCTGGGCCTTCCTCCTAAAAAGGGAAAAATTCGTGTATTTACGTTTATTGGTATCAATGAGCCAGAATCATAGATTTCTATTGTGCTGTTAACTTACCCTGATGTGTCTTCTCAGCTCAGCTGGTCTCCATGTGTCTTCCTTGTTTAGTTTCTGAATACAGAAATTAGCTTTGTTTACTAAATGCCCAAACCAACGTTATTATAACACAACAAAAACACCTTTTTATTCAACTAAACTCATGCAAATAAGCAAAATAGCTAACGTTTTACATCTACTCCACCGGACTCGAAAATTTCTCCTGAAAATAGAACTATACGTTGAGTTTACATGCAAAAGTAAAGCTATTACCTTTCCGCTGTGCATGTTTTCATCTGTTTTTTTCTTTCTGGGGTATTTTAATCTCCAAAAACAAGCTCATATTTTCGTAACGACGACGCCATGACAGTTAACTACTAGTGCGCAGGCGCAGTTGGGCGAAACTAAGGAGAACGCGTCACTTCAGCATGACAACAGGCTTATTAATCAGAAGCAGAGCAACCCTAGAATCAACAGCCAGTTGCCGTGGCAACGGGCAGGTCTTTTATTTAAATAAAAAAACACGTCAATATTGTTTAGTAAATGATCAAATGTTGTACGCTTGTCGTGCAGATCCTGCTGTTAAATATGGTGGCGCAATGTTAACAATTATTCATTTAAAAAAAGCTAATTTGTATGGTGATCGATTTCTCTGTGCTCGTCGTGTATTCGCAACCGAGCGTAAGCCAGCGTCGCCGCCATGTTGGATAGGTCTCCCCACTCCAGGCTCGCTCGATAGCCAAACGGGGTTAATGGAAAACGAGCAACTATGCCCGCATTTTTGCACACTATGGTTGGAAAACTCGACGCAGTATTGAAACCAGATCACGTAGGGTTACATTTTACGAATAGGACTAAAAAAATAATGTGGTTTATTTTTAATGTTTGACATTGTCCTGTATTATTGCTACGTCCATGTCGTTGTAACAAACCAAACAGTGTGAAAATCGGGCAGAGATTCGGAGAGTTATTATCAATATGGTTGAGCATTCTTACCTACCTTAATGCACCGGAGGCTCATGGGGGACCCATCCAAGACGGCGGCCGCGCTGATACGTGAGCTCCAATAGGCAGCAACAGTTTTTAAGGCGTCTACGTATATTATGTCTATGCTCGCAACCATTTCTTAAAGATTTTTGGCATCTGGCAGTGTGATAAGTTGACTCAAAACTATCGTAAGTGTGTTTATTCGCTTTATTCGTTTCCAGGCCACTTTTTTAAACGTCCTTTGTACTATATTCCTGTCGATTTCCCCAAGTGACGCTTATAAACAGCTGCGTTTGCTGTCAGTGACCACCAGATGGCACCATTCAACACTTTTGAGCCGATCTACTGTCACAACAGGGACCGCTCAGTGCATGATCCTCCGGGGTGTTCAGAAATTGTCATTTCTCAACAGTGCCGAGGCAGAGGAGAGCGATCAGGGCGGAGGAAGGGATCGGTTGCTGTTTAAACGGAAGGAATGCTTTTCTTATTTTCTAGTCATTTATAAAGTAGTCAATGCAAACGGTTCCTAGTCTGAAGGCGATGGGCTGGTGTGCAGGTGAGCCAACGTGAGAGCAGTCTTCCTGAAGGAACCGCTTTGGTCCGCTCGCACATGGGAAGCGTGTCACCCAACCTTCCCCTGATTTTGACAGTTTGAGGACAGACTGCGACATGTCTAGAGACAACATGACAGATGTTCGAGGAGCCCACTCACACGGTACCAACCCCGCTTCACCAAAGGAGAACGGACACGCAGCGCCGAGTCCCGTTCAACCCAACTTTCCCCAACCCTCAGCGGGGGGCATACCCGAGGATATCCCGGTGTCCTCCACCAGCGAATTGACTCAGACATGGGTCCACTTTGCTAAAACCTTTGTTCTTATTTTCCCCATTTACGCGCTGGGCTATTTTGAGTTCAGTTTCAGCTGGCTGTTGATTGGACTTGTTCTCTTTTTCTGGTGGAGGAGAAACACGGGAGGGAAACACAGCAGACTGAACAGAGCTCTTGCCTTCTTTGAGCAAGAGGAGAGAGGTGTGAGGCAGAGTCTGACCACCTCTGATCTACCACCATGGGTAAGACACTCTGATGAAATCATACCCACAGCCCTTTATCCTACTTGAGCTGTTTATCTGTATTGCATGTGTTATTTTTATGTACTATATTATTGAGTTTCCAGGAAAATATAATCAGCTGACAGGAGCAGGAGGAGCAGAGTTGAGCTGTAAAGCTGTGATGGAGCAGCTGTTCCCCCCCAGCAGTGACATTAGCATGAGTCCCAGGCTAAATACAGCAGGGTACAATGGTAAACCAGACACCACGCTGGAAAGGAAACAAGCCCACAGGGTCTGTGTTATTTTGGGACCCAGACTGCTATCTCTCTGCAAGAACTCACTCTATTACTGCAACACTTGTTAGATAACACTGGAGTTCTTGACTTCTGCTTGTCAGGGTTAATAGTTTGGTGTTGAGGGGCTTTTCAAATCTCCTCTGAGACCCTTTTTGAAATTCTTTGCAATCATGAATCCCATCATAAGGATATAATTTGATGATATGCAGAGTGTGGTTTGGTCTGCTTTTTGAGCAGGAATCATCATTTCTGTCACCTCTATATACAGTATGTCATGTGACTTTTTACCACACAAGTGCTTTTGGAAGTGGATTGTAGGACACCATGTAATCCATGTAGTTAACCGCTGTCTGGAGGGAGCAGGATTATAGCTTCAATGGGAAATATGTCAAAGTAAACAGCACGGCTTCTTTAGAGGGTATTGCGGGGAATTACAGCACTTCATGAAGGTTATACAAAGTTTACATGTCAGCAATTGAAATTCAGTTGTCTCTTAAGTAATAACTCTGTTGAATTTTCATTGGTTGGGTACAGAATGGCTGTAGAGGGACATTCACAAGTATTGGATCACCATAGATCTATTGAGAAATGCTGTAAATGTCCTTTCTTTTATTTTCCTTTACCCCCAAGAAATCCAATTATGATGCATCCAATCCAGTGTGATCCGAGCATGACACAATGCTCAAGTGGACTCCAATTTGAAGCGAGTCCCATCTCTTTGCATATTAACCTATTAAATGATATCACACTGTCCTCAGAGTCCCAGCTCCACTGGCGTTGGACTCTCAGTGCAACCTCATGTTTAAAAAAGCTTATTCTGCTGACAGGGCTATAAAGGCACTGAGGCTATTTAATGGAGATGGAGGAGCAAAACATCTCACTTAAAAGAAAAAGGCACTATTGAATGCCCCCTGAAACCTCTGCCTAAACTGCAAGTCAAGCACAACATGAAAACTCTGACTGTACCTGGCGTGGCTGTAACACCTAAAGAGATTGATTAGAATCCCGCAGACTGTAAGACTGAGCACATATCGCTGCATCGATCCTAGCCCTGCCATCAGGGGAGAGGACAGGCCACAGCTATTACTCCCAAATCTTGGCTAGTGCCAGTTTCCCCTGCAAGGCAGAAGTGAGTCTTAGAAGGCATGTCACTGCCTTCACAAAGAATATTTTAGTGAAGCGTCTCTATCCCTGAACTTTAGTGGCTGAAGTGCACTTCACCGTTTTTAGCCAGTGTGAGTCTCTCGCTGGCAGATCTTTGCACTAAAAGCATTAACATTTATGCAGAGATGCAGACCATGCTTCAGTGTTATATGAGAAAAAGGTAGGAGTTAGGGACTGAATTTGATGGTAGATATGTCAACTTGGTCATATGTTGTGCAGCATAATTCAAAGGCATGGAATGGATTTGGTGTATGAATTCACAAAAAGCCTGTTTGCATGTCATAATATGGGATTATAGTGAGAGCAGATATGCAAATAAGAATCCTGACAGTCCCTCATGTTGCAGAGGCAGAAGAATTTTGAATGGTTTGTCACCCAGCTGCCAGCTGACGATACGAACAGGTTGATGTCAAGTTTTCAAAGCTGGTTTTATTGTTGTGGAAGTCATTGAATAACACAGATAAACAAAATCTCTCAGATTCAAAGGCAGTGGGATTCGATTACTTTGAACTCAGTATTTTACTCACAGTAAAGTCACAACATGCGTGCTTTGTTGTTGACGTTCGTAATGTTTCATTTGGCATTTCTCTTTAGTCTTGCCAGTCTTGAGTTTATCATGTAGGTCTGTGGCTTCATTAGGTCTGTTTTCTTCAGTTTTTGGTTGATGTCTCCTTGTGTGTTTTATTATTTCTTGTCGGTTACTGTAACTAAAAATGTAAGGTTTGTGCACTTAGAATAACGTGGAAGTAATTCTAAAAATATTCTCCATGTTGTTTATCACTGTGGTCAAAAAAGAACATTTTTGCCACATTGTCAACAGGAAGAGGTGAAATGTTTTGGACTCCTATGACGTGTGTGTGTGTGTGTGATCTGGTTGTCTGTGGTGTTGACTCTTCCATTAAGAACTGATTAACATTGTAATGAGGTTTTGAACAATCGGAATCAATTATTTACCACTGCCAGTTGATTGGTAAGAAAGTCAGGTAATAATGCCTTAATCTACTGTATGGATTTTGTTAAGACTGCACTAATGAAGTTTAAAAGTAAATCAGGATGTGAAGTTTGTTTCCTTTCAAGAACAGAGGCCATCAAGGGCTCCACAATAGACCGATGAAACAAAAGCAAGATTTCACAGATGGGCCTTCAACTGCTTTAAAGAAGTCAACAGGTCTCACTACAAAGAGAAAGTTCCAGAGTTTAGGAGCTTAAAACACTTAAAAGAAGACATCCACAGCAGCGAAATCAGTGCTGTAGTTGCAGAGTGTCAATAGAAGTTTAGTATCTCAGTTCTGTGCGTTCATTAAAGGCCGTTTAAACTGGAGGTGAATCACTGTCGTGGTTAAAAAAACTAAGCACACTCTTAATTACTCTTTGAAGACATAATCCCTAATGACTGTATACAAACACACCAACAAGCTGAGTAATTAAGATGCTTTGCTTCCACTCTCAGCTGCAGGGCTCAGGTTCTTTTTCCTGGCAGCTCTGAAGCATATCAGCCATTACTTCACCTACATTTACTGAATAGGGGTCACTGTGTCAGGTGTTATAATGACGCTCTGTCAGATGATTTTACTCCCTCCACCACATGAAACGACAACAGGCCTGAGTGTGTCATATCAACCAGAACTCCCTTTTCCCCCTCTCCCTGCTCTCCTCACCTCTTTATTTTTTTACTTTGACATTAATGCTGCATCTGCACTTTTGCAGCCTCCTGCAGGAGAAGTGCTGTCCCTTGTTTCTGTCATATCTTGCCAGCACTCCAGCCACAAATGTCACTCTATCTTTCTGTTAAGATTAGGCTGAAAAAGCCTTCAATTCGGAGTGAAAGAGAGGCAGGGCTGTTTATCTTTTATTTATCAAGACGGGGGTTGCATCGCTGCACACCTTTGTGAAAGTTATTGACTTTACTGAAGGCCCTTCCTTTTACCTCATGTTAAATCGATGCTCGATTTACTTTGCTTGTTCAGGAAGATTAATTGAATTGCAGCTAAGTCTTACAGCACTGATGTAGATCTATAAATATGCTCTCTATTGAGACAGGAGGCAGGAGGGAAGTGTTCAACACGATTGTATCAGATTTATTCTAGTATCCTGTGACACTACAAAAATCCAATTTATAGATTTATTTGTCAAGCGTATCAGTCAACTAACTCAGCCTGAATTTTTCTGGCTAACTCAAAATGTGATAACATAATCCAAAGGTTTGCTCTGCTGTGTTTCATCAAATGCACCACAGAAAGGAGGATGATAAAAGAAACGTCGCATGATCAAAACTCAGGGAGAGATCTGATAATCCTTACACAAAGAGCGTTAGGATAAGACTTTTTCATCTGTCATCGGATACTCGTGCATTAGAGTTAATCACAATCACACTTGGCTCACTCTCTCTCTCTCTCTCGTTGTTTATGGTGGACTGCTGCTGTGAATTTCAGCTGTGTTATACTGTTTGTAATGCCAACAAGACGTGCTTTAATCAGGCTTTTAATTTTCTCTATATATCCATGATGCTGCTCAGTTTGATCTGGAAAACCTGAAGTTAGCAAATGAATTTCACTCTGTCCAGTACTGTGGTTTTAGACTTGGACTGTCACAATATCAGATTTTCACCTCAAGATCATCACAACAACTACAGTATCATGATGAATTCAGGAAATTTGAAAGTGAAACAACACAATCAGTGAAATAACTCACATATTAGAATACATTCCTAATGTTATCAAATTTATAATTTATCCACATCGCTAGCTCTGTTACTAAAACTTGTTTGAAGAGGCATGAACTCATAAATAAATGCTATTATTTTGATGTTTTGTCTTGAATTTAGCTTGGTTCATTTGCAGCATGGTAAATCTAAGCTTTTGTTTTGAAGTTCCACCAGATCTTAAGTTGCATATATGAATTAAAAAACATAATGGTTTGATAGAACAGATGTTGGTTTGTTTGGTGACAAGAGACACAAGCTTTAATGTTGTTTTGGGGCTCACAGTCTAAAAAAAAAAAGACTTTCAGATTATCTCTCAGAGCTGTAGTAACAGCTTCCTCATTTTTCTCTCTCCTCTTTTTTATGATGTGTGCCAACCAGTGTGAAGGACAACTATTATGAACTCAGTGCATTACAATTTGCTTATTTAAACCACAGTGGAAAATTTTTAGTTTTCAAAAAAAAAAGGTTATCATCAAGACCAGTATAGTGGGACAATCCTGTGGTAGGCTGGAATCATCATCTCCTTCATCTGTTTGTTATGGATGCTGATTTGCAAATGCTTGCATGCAAAACTGCTTAACTGCAGTTGTGAACTTAAAAGACATTTAACCTGCTTCACAAAAACGTGTTGGTAATAATACTGAGAGCCTGTACATTTGATTGCACTGATGGATGCTTGAATTTAAGTTGATTGAAGTGGTTTTCAGTGTTGATATTTTTACTTTCGGTGAGGAAATTTCATGAATTCTGTTATTGAAATGATAAAAAGCTCTGAGAGGTTTATACCTCTGAAAGCACTGTATAATATATGCAGGCTTCTTGCTTCTGAAGTGCAGTCCTACCTCTTAGTATGTGGTATTCAGTACTCTGATCACTGCAAGCTGTTGGCTTTTCAGACTGAAGATAATTTATGCAACTTCCCTGTTAAGAAATCTGACCTTTTCTTTCATCTTTAATGTTTTTTTTGATCACAGAAGAATTATGAATGCATTATTTTAAGCCAGATCGCCGGTGGACCAAATCTTGCTGTCATTCTTGCCTTTCATAATATTGCATCATCAGCCGTACTGAAACCCACACCGACTAAAGATGATCTGCTCTGTTTTCTCCACTGTAGGTTCACTTTCCGGACGTAGAGCGAGTGGAGTGGCTGAACAAGGTAAAGAATCGAGCGTCTGTCTCTTAGATTCGTCCGCTTGACTGAAGCCCTCCTTTTTGGCGTTTTATTAACTGGAGGAAATTGGATGTCTGTCACTCTGTTGCTCTCTGGTTTTCTCGGTGGGGCTGTGGTTGTTGCCACGGCGACTCTACACTGCAGCACTTTTGACTTAACATGAACCTTTGTTTTTGCACCGCTGTGAAATGCATTAGCCTCAGTGAACCCCATGGCATCGAGCCAGACTAACATTTAAAAGCACTTAAGTTGAGTACATATTAAAGGGGTGTACATGCTAACATCAAAATTCAATATTTTTGCTGTCTTTGCAGGAACATGAATGAATATAAGCATGACTATAGATTAAAGCTACAGTACAATTTAGATATACAGATAAACAGACAATGTATTTTCATCACAGTGAGTTGTTTTTTACCTGCTTTGCTCTATAGACAGTTTTTCCTGTGTTCAGTGTGTTCAGCTCTGCACAAGCACAGTTTTGACATTTTTGTGTCAAATCTGTAAATAATGATCACAGATGAAAATTTTACATCCACACCCTCAAAAAACATTTCAATTGATGCCCTTTTGTCCCCTCAGACAGTGAAACAAATGTGGCCGTTCATCTGCAATTTTGTGGAGAAACTTTTCCACGAGACGATCGAGCCCGCGGTGAAGGAATCAAACGCCCACCTGAGCACCTTCTGCTTCAGCAAGATCGACATGGGAGACAAAGTGAGCACTTGTTGAGTTTCTGCACGGGGTTTATAGACTGATCATGTGTTGTTTCAACACTGTCAGAACGGACTCCTGGCAGCAGGTGCACTTAGGACAGCTGGCGAGGGGTGTGCGGGAGCCTAAACGTGAACATACATGCACATCACTGACACTTGTGCTTGTTTCATAAATAGTTTCCATGTCAGGGTCAAGAGAGGGTGCGACCTTGTGGTAACTGCATGGGGGATTGGGACAGACGGAGGTGTTGGTGTAGCGTTGATGGACTGAAGTAGAGCAGCAGTCATAATGTTTCCTTCTGTTGTGGTTTTAGCCCATCAGGGTCAACGGGGTCAAAGTTTACACAGAGAATGTGGATAAGCGGCAGATCATCATGGACTTGCAAATCAGGTAAGCTGACAGATTTCTGCATACATCACAATTGTTTTGCTTGTGTTTTGAAATGCTTTTCAACAGGGGCGCTGATGGCCTAGCAGTCTAAGTGCGCCCCATAAACAGAGGCTGCAGTCCTTGGCTGGTTTGACTCCCAGCCTTGACCATTTGCGGCATGTCTTCCTCAACTCTCAACTCCCCCACATTCCCTCAATTCAGCTGTCTTTTCTAATGAAGGCAAAAATGCAAAAAAAAACACAACTTACAAAAAAATGTTCAAACTAATCTCAAAATATGACTAAACAGGATCTCTTCTCGAGAGACTCATAGTGTTTTAAAGGGGAAGATGAATTTGCTAATTTACAAGATGAGCAGCAATGTGAAACAAAAAGATCCTCTCTGAGTTTTTAGAAAAACAGGTTTCAAATAGCTGCAAAACTAGATTTCAGTCTTTTTATTTAACCTTGTACTGTTTCTTTGTCAAAACCTGCTGCCCACACACCCTCAGTGTGACTGTAATCAAGTACGATTTGGTTGTGTCGTGAAAACAGTTTACCACTATGCTTCAACACTGGTGTCAGGTAATCAAACTTTACCCACAGAAGCTTTGTAGACTGGATCCACTAATGACATTTTTTAGTTTCTCCTGTAATGCCTGTTTCCAGTTTGAGTTTAGGCTTAGCGTGCGAAAAGAGCCCCAAGTTAAACTACATAGAACTGAAGAATAACAACAACAACAGGAACCACTGCGAAAATAAAACTCAACTAGGTCATTTTTTGAGGGGTGAGTTTGTGAGATTTTCCAAGTTTTTGAGCGGATTTTGTTTTGTGTGATCTTCTTGAATAAAGGCATATATGAAGCATCCAGAGAGTTTTTTAAGTGACTGCTAGGACATTTATATGCCTTTTTATAACTCTTACTGTAGACAGTCTTGAGGTCCTGTTGCTTGTTCAGTGCAGGCCCTGTCATCTCTGTGATACCTGTTCTCGAGTGGCAGATGAGGCGCCATGGAAGTAAAATGTGGTTTGTGTCTACATTTGAGATGACAGGACAAAACTAAACCATCAGTCTAACACCTCACACCTCCCCAATATTGTGCTTTTTAGATGTACAGTTTGAGAGCAAAATTAAGGTAGACGGCGGAAACTTGCGATGCTTTAAAGTGGGATTTTAATGAGGGAATCTGTTGATAGAGATTTAGAGAAATAAAGTAATGCAGTTTGAGTTGAACTTTGAAGCTCTTTGAACCTGGTTGATTTGTTGTGTCACTAGACTGGCAATTTTATTTTGACCCAAGGTGTGGAGCACGCACTGTTGAATCAGTGATAGAGGTTTTAATCAAGTTAAGGTTACAGACAGGTTACTCTGTGGCTAAGGTTGAGTGGGGGGTGGAGAGGTGGGCAAGCGATGAGTAGATCAGCCAGTTTCATGTTGGCTACGAACAGGGCAGAGGTTGATCCTGGAGCACAGGAGAAATAGATCATCAGCAGGCAAGACATGAGGAGGCAATCACACAAAAGCACAAAGAAGAAATAGGCTGACCTTAAGGCTGCACCACATGATGAACTGAATGATCTAGTGATGGCTGGCTGAAGAAACAGGGTGTAGCTGCACAGCAGGCTGATGACTTAGCGAGAAATAGGTGAGCAAGCTGTCGAAGTCAGGAGGTGGAGCAGGTGAGGAGTATGAAGAATTGGCTGCAGAGAGACACAACAGGAAACACAAGGATAGAAACACAAGGAGAAGAGGCAACGTTTGAGTCAAGGACATATTCATGACATGATGACCCTGTGGTTGTTTGGAGACAAGAGGAATCATGACATATAATAGCAAGCTTTCAGTGAGCTGCTGCATTGTCTGAGTAAACAGAAGTACTTGTGTGTCTGTTGATCGTACCGCTAAAGTCACTCAGCTATAAATACAATTCCAATCATTCAGTCTCTGCAACAGCAATCTAATTACATGCTGCTCACAGGTCAAGTAGTTTTCCACACAGGAGCTGCTGGGTCATGTTCTACGTCTCTCTGACCTCTGTGACTAGTGAACTGCACATCCTATGACTGCGTGTTTTTCAAAGTGTTGAATCTACTGCTATTCAAAAAAGGAAGACCATAAATAGTAAGTGTAAATAGTGATACAAGTCTGGGGTAGTTCCTTCCAATCTAACTTTAAAACGACCTCACAAATGTAATGAATAAGAAAGGAAGTCCCTTTGATGTCTAAATTTAGCAGGTGCCGAGTCTCACGTACAATCCAACAACTTGACATCCCTCTGAATTGAACTGAATGAAAAGATAAAAAGACTCCGGCGGTGGACTCACATTTGTCATGTTTGTGTCTCCCTCCTGCAGCTTCGTCGGCAACACTGAGATTGATGTCGACATCAAACGCTACTACTGCAAAGCCGGCATTAAGAGCATCCAGGTAAGTAAAGTCCTCTCTGTTTAGTTTCACATCCCCACAGAGTTGATTTCCTTAAACATTCATGGCTTCGGCCTTTAAAAAGGTTGTCTGAAAAGAAGCCAAATATTGAGCGTGAAGAGACACTGGGATTTCAAGGAAAGGTCTGTGTCTTTTCAGGTTTGGATACCTAATTTTATCTCCTTTACAATAACATGATGTATGTATTTGGACAGGATTGTTCCACCTTTCTTGAGAACATTGCTAGTCGGTGCAGAGGCTTCTATCAAATATCTGCATATAAAAGCTTTTAGTGTGAGTGCAGTATGACAGCCCTGATAAATTAGATGTGCTGTGCACTCATACTGATGAGGCTGAACTCAGTTATATTATAATGAATTCAATGACAGCGACAGAATAACAATCATGTAGTGCAAACGTGCGAACAGCCATGTTTCAACCACAAATCTATGCCCTTGAGTTATATGCCTTATAAATATCAAAATGTGTTATTGAATGTATTAAAATGACAGCTGCACATAATTGTATCTGCTGACATGTTAAAGATGAAGTGAACAGGCTTGGTAGAAACGGAATTGAATATATTATTTGTACTGAATAATAAAATAGACAAACTAGAAGCATTAATGTTTTGTATTTAGTGAGTGGCTCTGCAGAATAAAATGATCATTAGACAAAGAATAATAATTTTTAAATCAATGGAACGGACTAGAATTCATATTGCTTCCTATTCATGATATCCTTAAGCAAACAAGACCATCAGTCACAACATAACCTTTGTTTACTCTGTAACTCTGAATGCCTGGAGCAGGAAAGAGAGGATGGGTGTCAGCCTAAAAGCTGAAGAAACAGCTCTATTTTTACACTGACCGCATGAAATGTTTAGAGTAAATGACACATTTAACTGTGAAAAGTCTGCAGAAGGAGGTTTTTTTGTCAAAAAGGATAAGTCAAGCATGCAGAGGACGAGGTAAGCAGAGACAGCTTTGTCCACAGGGGGCGCCAATCTCGTCACAAACCAAAAATTCCTTACAGATGCTTTAACAAATGCAGGAGATTTTTGCCCTCAAAGGCCACCAGCAGGAGGGGTGAATGGGGTAGCATTTCAATACTATATTAGGTATTGCTAAAAATGTCCAACTTTAGAGATTAAACAGTCGCATATGTCTTAAAGTAATAAATAATCAGTCAAGACAAGTTGATTTTTTTAATACCCTTTTTTTGTAAGGTGACCCTTTAATATGTTATAAGACCAAGTTGGAAGCTACTTCTTCACTGGAATTAGCAATAAAGAATATACATTTTTGTTTTGGGTTATATTTATTTCACAAAACTGATTACTCTTTAAAGATAATAAGATCATTTCATGTTCTTGCACGTCCTTGGCCTTTTTGTGTGCTGCGGCAGTTGAACAAAGAAAAAAAAACAATCAACATGCCTCCTTGGAGACTAAGATCTTTTCCTGGGAGATGTTTGTTGCCTGCTGCCCCTGTTGTGTAACTGCAGCAGACCTACATCTCTCCCCTGGCTCATTATCAACACCTAATACGCGAGTCCTCGTCACTTCTTGAGCTGGTGTACGTTACACCGAGCAGGTGTGTTTGGCTTAATGATGACAGGAAGATTAGTGATGGCTTTGTGAGGAGTGGGGTTAAACTAGGGCTCACATTGGTCTTTTAATATTTGTGTAACATCAGCCTGTTGTTTGGGATCACTTACTGTATATGAGGGAGATTAACTCCTCACCAACGCCAGTGTGTTTATATTGTCTTTTAATCCTGTAAGACAATACTTGGAATAAAAATGTTCCACAGAAACAAAATTCAGAAATTGAGCACTATTTATTCACCACAGCTTAACACAAGTACCCCAAAACAAATGTTTCAGGCACTATTGTTGTGCAGTTTATTTCAGTTCTAAGTGTGCTGTAGTGTTAGGCTGAATCTGTCTCATTTTTATGCATTTGTTCCTGTTTATATTTTTGTCATCTGCTTTTTTTTTACTGTTTAGAGAACCATGTTACTGTAAATTATTACTGCTTACAAGTCAAACCATTACAGCTTCAAGCCGCAGAAAGACCCAAGGAAGTGCATAGTGAGAGATTAACCCTCCAACATGTTTAAAAAATGCTGGTTCAAGGGTGTTCATATATAAGGAGTATCCCTTTGGGCATCTTCACTTTTTGTCAGTTATTGTTTTTACATTTATAGAGTAAAGAAATCGATATCTCAGTTTTTGTTTCAGGAAACAGTGTCTTAATTCAAACCTCCTTAACCACATGAATGACTCTTGAAATTTCAAAATGAATCAGATGTAATTTGCTGAAGAGGGTCGTATTTTTGTGGTTAGTCACGGTTAGTGTCGGTATTCTCTCCTCTGGTGTGATTTCTCTTTCTCTGTGGATAAAAAAGGCGCGGAAAAAAAGGGCAATTAAAACGTCAAAACAAATTCTCTGGTGCCAGAATTTAGACATCTTTTGTTTCACAGAGTGGATTAGAGCAGCTGTGTGGTCCCCACACGACACATGTAAAGCACTTCCAACGCCATAATCCTTCTAATTGTTGTAATATGTTTCAGTGAAAGAGGGGGACAACTCGGGGAGGTGTGAAGTCTGGAGTCTTGTGATCAAGTTTCCAACCTGTCATGTGTTACAGCTAACAGCTCCACTCCTGAGAAATGTCAAAAGGCTATCAGGGTGTAAGCCCACCTCTGCTCCTCTTTTGTGTTTGTACGTGTACATTAATATGTCCCTCTTGTATTTCCATAGATTCACGGCGTGTTGAGAGTGGTAATGGAGCCGTTGCTTGGTGACATGCCCCTTGTTGGAGCTCTGTCTGTGTTCTTCCTTAAAAAACCAGTAAGTCATAACAATGTGCCACCAGTTAATTCAATTTAATCTTCATCATGGAGTCACAGGGGGAGGTATAATGACGCAGCAGACTGAACAAACGCAGAGTGATTAGCATGGAGGCTATTAAACAGGGATTTGTGCATAGAAATAAAACAACAGGTATCTTTGAAAGCTTTTCCTGCACCATTTGCTGTTTTTGTTTTTTGTGTCTTACTCATACCCAAGCTGACCTTATTTCTGACTGTTTTACTTAATACCCTGCATATCTTTACAGTCCCCTGTTTCTAATGCTTTGTGCCTCCTCCTCCTTTAAATTTTATATTATTGCTGCTCATAAAACAAACTGCTCCTCTTTGGTGTTCTTGCTTAACTTGCAGTTAGTATTCTTCCCTTGCAAATTGGACTTTAAATGTTAATTTCATAAGTCAAATCACCACTAAACCACAGTATAACATTTTCTCTTTTATTTTACAGCCCTAATTTCCACTTTAATTCCCACCCTTTCCCCCCTCTCTGGCATTGCTTTCGACAATGCCAGAGCTCTCTCGGCTGAAACACCCTCTATCACTTTACACAATTTGCATTTTCCGTTCGCTCGCTCTCATATTTTCCAGTACACGTTCCATCAATCTCCCTATTTAACCGCTGTGCTGAGCCACCGCCGCACAGCTTAAAAATGTTTGACCGATTTATACCGACTGGGAGGACCCAGTGGAACTATAGCAGAGCTTTAAATAGCTGCAGATCAAGCCAGCCCTACTTTGGCAGATTTCTCTACGCAAAGCACTCCTCTGAAGCCCAAGGTGGAGATATAACTGTAGGAGGCTGAGGGAAGAAGACAGTAAATCCTGTGCAGTCCCACATATACACTCACTTTATGCACCTCAATCTTGTGGTAACATTTCGCAGAGGAGAAACGAATTAAAAAAAGCAATTTTCTGTTAGCAAACAAAGCCCCAACATTGACAACGCTAGGATCCAAATAACTGGTCGTCCTTCTTCCTGCACGCCATACAAGGCCGGATCCTGAGTGCCAAATGAAAAAGAAACATTTCCAGACCATAAGAGGTCTTGGCTGCGGTGGGGCAGTGTGATCGTATTAATGTGACTCAGTGCAGTGTAAATAAAAAGATGCAACACATTCTGCTGTGAGAGCTCTGCAGAGATTTGGAGCCCGGCTGTGGAGGATACCCGTTGTAATGTACATACTACTGCTGCTGTTGTAATTACAGGATTCTTTGCAATTACCTTTTCCTATTCATGAATGAGAAAGTTCAATGTGATATTAAATCAAATTTGATCCCCAAGCTGCAGGCAAATGTTCGAATAAAGACCAACAGAGAAAAGGCAGTTTTTACACCAACAGCAGCCGGTTACGGGCTCATAGATGACACAATGAGAAGTTTTGAAGCCATCGTAAGGTCTTTTTTTTAAAGTTATACATGCTTGCTTTTACTAGACAGGACAGCTGAAGAGAGACAGAAACAAAAAGTGTAGCAAGTGAGGAAAGAAGCAGAGTCTTGGATTGGAGTCGAACCATTGGCACCTACAACGAAGGCTAAAACTTCAGTAAATGCTTAAACTTTGAGGCCAACCTTACCATACCCAAGTTTGCATAGTTTACTCTTCGCTTCAGATAGGAGTAAATTAGATTAGCCTGACATCAAAACCTCAGAAGAAAGCCAAAAAATCCTGTGCAGTTCATATCTTATTCTTAGAAACTCCAAGATGTTGATTTTTACCCTTCTGTAACACTTGGGACAGGATCTACTTGTTCGCGAGCTTCTGAGACGCTCATTGATTTTCTAGGTTTTTGCCCTGTATTCATTATTTGGACCGACAGTCTCCTGGATCCAGTTTTCTGCTGAGACCAGATTCACAAGGGTGCCATCAGTTCTAATGTTTATCACTCTTCAGGAAAACTAATGTTTATATTTCACATTCTGTCAAACTATTCCTTTAAAGTAGTCTAAAATCCAAACAAAGACAAGCGTAAGAGATATTAGTCAGGAAATCCTAAAATTTAAAGGCAGATGCTGTGAATTATGAGCTATTTTTAGAATAAATTTCTGACCTGGGTTTGTATACAGCTCACCTAGTTTATGGCTCATAGCTGGAGATGCATATTTTTAGAGGTTTTACTTATCACCCAAACAGAGCATTAATCTTTCTGCCTGCTGCAGCCAAAAGTGTGTCCCCTCCACTCGACCATATTCCCACAGCACCCTCACTCCCGCAACACATCATTCACAGTCCTGCAGTGTTCCCCTCTCCCATGCTGCGCAAGGTGCATCTGCTGCAGTGTAAGCAACACCGACTGGAAAGTAGGGTGGGAAAGACTCATTAAGGAAACAGCCCCTTCAGCGTGGCGGCAGAAACAGATCAAAGCTCAGCGAGAAGCGGGGCCTGGCTGCATTCAGATCCCACTCTCGCTTTGATTCTCTTGCTTTTCAGTGTCTCCTGTCATTTAAATGAGACATATCTGCACCAATAAATGGAAACTGGTTGGTCTGTGTTACTTTTGACTCTTTTTATGAGAGCCGTTTCTTTTTTTTTTATCCGACAAAAAAAACACAGTGCCCCTCATCTCATTATGCACTGAAAACTAATGAGACACCAGGGGGTTGCTGGGTTTTATAAATTATTTATTACGCAGGTGATTTTGTGTTCATTTCAACGCAAGGATCTTTGCTTTGTGCTCTCTTCCTGTGACTCATAAACTAAGCTAATTGTACTCCCAGCTTCCATTTAGGCACTAAAAAGGTATTAGCAATACGCTCAGATGTGTTTTTTATGTATGAAGTCTTTGCCTCTGAACTGGTGCGTGACAAGATAACAGTGGCCAGATTAAGTCCGTTTTCTTCTTCAGTTATTGAAATAATGACAACCTGGTCCATAAAGTAGGAGGGGGATTTAGTGACCAAAGAAAAACAGCTCTGGATTATTTTTTTTGTTTCTCCCTCTTGAAGGACATTTTGTCTCTGTTGTTAATCAGCAGAGTTTGTCAGCCAGAAAATGAGAAGCCTGCTAAATGTAGCACAGGGTCCAGAGAGCATTGCTGTTCACTGTTTGGATCGTTTTAAAGTCACTCAGGCTGTTTTTCTCCTCTTCTTGTTCTTTGTCCTTTTAGCTTCTGGACATAAACTGGACTGGCCTCACCAATATTCTTGACATTCCTGGGCTCAAGTAAGTCAACTCAAACCTGTTTTTCTTTCTTACCAAAAATGCTTTTGTTAGTCAAGGATTTATGGACAAGAAGGAGATTCAGGGAACTGCACTTTGGCCTACATTCTTTTATTACTTGTGTCATGTCATGAAATTTTGATAACTAATCGAAAGACATTAACCTTTCAAGGATGAGACAACTCCATGCTGGAATAATCTATATGGCATGTGTGTGGATTTGGGACAGAGGTGGTTTTCTATCATCATGGATAGTGCATACTTAAAAATAAAACAACTTTGCCAGGGCAGGTAAAAAAAAAAAAAAGAGGAAAATTCACTGTTATATTTTTAATGCAAAGCTGCCATGAGGAACAAGGACAGAGGAAGCAGCAGAGGTTGAATTACAGGGATATAGAGTGAAGAGAGAGAGAGCTGCTAATGAAAACAAAACTGTGAAACAGAGAAGAAGGATGCTTTTTCTTGTTGTGCAGGAGAGCCTTTAAACACATTTTTTTCATACTTTATTTCATTCAGTTAGATACAAAACATTCAATACAAACAAGGAAAGATCTCAAACATGTGAATGAAAAGGAGCAGAAAGAAGAAAAATCTTATAGTCTGCCCCTCTATGTAGGAAAGAAACTGCTGTGTGTGTCCCTGCTCCAACCTCCATCACAGCCATTTAACGTAAAAATGTTCTTTCACATGTCCTTGTCCTTTTGTCAACTCATTAAGTAAATAAGTCAAACCACTGTTTGGTTCAGATAGCTAGAGAATAAGGCAGAGAGGACAGAGATGTCACTTGGTCATTATTACCTCCGCCAAGGAGGTTATGTTTTCGGTAGCGTTGGTTTGTTTGTTTGTCTGCTAGCAACTTTACGGAGAAAGTAACAGACGGATTGACCTGAAATTTTCACCAGAGGTGCATCTCAGCCCCAGGAGGATCCCATTAAATTTTGGTGGTGATCCGGAAAAAAATTCTGGATACCGTGACCCAGAACACACAAAAAATAAAGGTGTCGTTGGAATTTTCAATGCTGAAAGATAAGCAATGGGCGGCAGAGAGGTGTAGATAGTGGTTAGCACTGTTGCCTCACAACCACAAGGTCCTGGGTTCGAATCCCGGTCAGGGTGTTTCTTGTTTTATGAACAGTGAACATACCAGTTTAAACACAAATAAATGTTAATAAAAGACACGTAACAGTAAACGTTTTGGTGAGAGTCACAATATAAGGGGGGGACATGGGCTGCTTGGCAGAGGTCTGCGCTCTCCGAGTGCTTTTCTAGTTTGTGTTCTAGTAGGTCTGAACTGCAGACTGTTGGCTGACCATCAAGTGTCCAAAACTAAGAAAATACGAAAATTCAGACCTTTTACAGATACAGATATCACCACGCACTTCTGGGTTTTTAGTAATAACTCAAATGAAATATTTCACTTTTTTCATCCTGACATTTTGTCATATGTTGCTCGGGGTCATGCGATCCCTCCCACTTCAGCACAGATTGGATATCCATATATCTAAATTAAACACCTTTGGCTGCTCATGAGTTTATTTTTTGTTTCTATGGTACCAGAAAAGATATAAAGATTGTCCTTTTTGTTGTGGTGTCGTGTCAAAGTTTCGAACTCTGGTATCAGGCTGACTCTGTTAGAGAGTTAAAGAGCAATAAACTGAAAACACGGCGGTGGTAGTTTCACCAGATTTAATTACCCCTCTCCTGTTTAGTACCTGAGAAGATAAATGCCACTAATGCACTGAAAGTTTTTTTTTTAGTCTGCTTCCTTTCCTGCCAAATACCTGGAGTGTCCTTGTCTGTGTTGTTGCTGTGTTTAAGTGCTGGAACAGGCTGATCTGTTCTGAGTAAACATTTCATGCTGCAAAAAAACAGATCAAGTACACTTTTGTGTAAAAAAAAAAAACATTCTTGTATCGCTGTAAAGAAGCAGACAAAGGTGTTATTTCAGGTCTAAATGGGGTACAAAAGGTCAGATCAGTAAAATATGCAGTTTGTTTCCTTGTTCCTACTTGTTATGTCTCGCTTATATTAAGTGTCTTTTCCCTTGGGCAGTTGTGTGGGCTGAGCAGAGAGTGAATGAAAGTCGATTAAGAGTTGCTAACAGCCTAACACAATTACTCGCTGCTGTCTGGAGTGCTCCTTGCATTATTTACACCCCAAAATAAAGAGACACAGGCATGAATTGTGCATGTGATTTCCTGGGATTACACCCACTCCTGCTGATGTGAGCAGACATGTTGACACAAGCAGCGATCCGGCTCCTTAAACCCCGCTGTTGGGGGTGAAATTGATCTGGCTTGTGCTGTGCGACATTTGTGGGTTTAGTCATGTGTGCTCATGTGCCTGTGTGTTCATATATGGAGGAAAAGTGGGGCACGTGCAGAATCAGAGGGTTTATTTTCTGTAGGAGAGGCCCAGATGGTGAAATCGAAGCTGCAGTGGGAGAGTTCCTTGAATGCAGCAGGCAGATAGACGGCATCAGCTGCCTGCTTGAAGGCTCGCCCACTGTGCCTCACTTAAACCTGTCATTATGATTATGCAACAGATGTCTCTCTTGTTTACATGTTGTGATGTGTCATTGCTGTTCTGTTGGATTAAGAATAAGAGTCAAAATAAGTCGAAGAGCTAGGCTAGCAAATCTGTTAAGCTGTACCCTGGTAGAGCAGTAACGCAACTAAAACAACAGAGCACACTCCCAGTGCTGACAAACTGATGTCCCAAAGAGGGGTGTTAGCATGCACGTTTTTAGTGATATACAATGATTCTGTGCATTTATTGTTGCAAAAGTTATGGTTCAACAGTTTATTTTTATTTTACTTTATTTTTTTAGATGTGCTGCTTGTCTCGTTTTCAGGATTGTCCTTGCATCCTGTTAATGTGGATACAATATCTGAGGAAAGAAATTTCTAAAACTTTGGCACAAATGTCAAATTGATGCAAGGAGGAACTTTTTCTTTAAAACTCTGGGTCAGAGAGATCAAAAAGTAATAATAATCTGACAATTCAGCTGATTTTATGGTAAGAAAACAGTCAAAATTGTCCTTTATTTAATGCAGATCACAACAAACAATGTGTTTTGCAGAGCTAGCATCACATGCCTTCAGTTCTCCTTTAGCTGAACAAATAGATGCCTGTTCTGTCAAAGCATTACTCCCGTTATGAAGTTATACATCAGTTTGATCAGATACAAACAACAAACGGGCATTTTCTAGATTAAAAAACTGACAAATAGTGCACTGCTACAAGATACAATCTTTCACTCGCTCCTTTTTATTTCCAGATTGCATTATAGCAATATGACAAAAGTCATAAACCAGAGCTATAGCCCTGGTTAGTACGGGTGATTGCGCTACAACTCAGACACAACATATGACTGGCATTATAGGCTTACGCTCAGAGTATTAGAAATTCATTTAACCAAGAATGTGTGCAAACTAGCAAAGCGTTTTGTCAGCCAAATGCAAACATCCCTAATTTGTACCTATCAAATGTTACAACATCCTTAAAAAACTCAATTTTCAGCCGTTAACCCGCCTCTATCCTTGTTAACATGAGAGGTTTAATAATCGTTTCAGTTGTATTTGTAAAGACCAAGAAATATGACAATAAAGATCTCATAACTTTAAGGATTTCCAAAGTTGTAAAAGTTTATCCAAGAGGAAACTCACACGAACTTTATAACCATCCAGCCAATTATTTTCCTCTCTCATTATAACGAGAGATGACATTATTAGGTGCTCGAGGAAAAGTCAAGACTTTCAGTCCATCAAAAGTTGTTGCATTTTTTTCCGTTTAGTCTGAAGTGGCTGACTGACAGCTCTTCATAACTGGCCCCAGAGTTCGCAGCTTCCCCGGCTGTCAAAAAGATGATAAATGCTTGTCCTACTGTGGCCCACAAGCAAGAAAAACAGGCACTTCCATACCGTACAGGCTGAGTGTGATTAAGTATCAGTGTGCTGTGTGTGTGTATCAGCAGCACAGTTGCAATAAAACGACTGTACAAACAGTCAAAGATTTTGCTCCTGTACGTGCGCATACACACAGATACACACATGAGAAGCTGGCGGGGGCTTTCCAGTGTTTACGCCAGGGGAAGAGCAGAAACGCAGCAATAAGCGCTGATGCAGCAGGAATCCTTTTATACACTTAGATCTCAGCTGGAGGAAAAGCTCAGACTCGGATCAGTCCCCCACATGAGCAACATAATGTCTGTAATCTCCTCACAGTGAGGAGCTGCAAGTGTCTGATTGGACAAAAGGCTGAGGATCGATCAAATAAATTTTTCTCCTGACAACAACAACAACAACAACAAAAAAACAGGCGGCCAACCGAGTCTATTTGATTTTAGTTTTTTATCTGAGCAGCGTGAATGTGTGCTGCCTCAAAGCTGTTTGAGAGAAGATAATAGTTTTCAAGCAAAGATGCCCCAGGAACTCTTACTTTTTGTATTAACTGCAAGCTTGTGTGTTGCACACAAAAACTAAAGTGAATTGCTGGTATTAGAACCTGCTCTTAACCATTACTGTATTATCGTGAGTAACACCTTTGAGAAATTCCTGTGAACTCATGACTACGGTTTGAAATGTCAAATGGCTTTAGGCTCTTAGTAAACCACTGACATCTGGAAGGTTTGACTTTAAGACAGTTTTACATTTTTGGGCTCTCTGGCAGTCATTTTCTCTATCACTCAGTCAAGGTATACGGTCAGTTAGGTGTTTAAATTTGTGAAAAAGCAGGTGATAGTAAGCAAGATCATTTCTTTTACTTAATATAACTTAAAATTCAAAACAGATGTAAGACATCTCCAGTAGCTGCCATGTTTTCACTTTGCAGAAATCAGTTTAAGTGTAAGTTCTGAGTTCTGGCAGCAACTCTGCAACACAGAATCTTTTTTATTGAGCTCATTGAAGGTTTCCTTGCGCCTGATTCAACAAGACGCCTGGGATAGTATGTCCCCCAATCTATAACACCAATTACAACCAGGCTGTCATTTAGCTACCGTAGGTCACTATGCTGGTGGACAACTAGGAAGCACATGGGACTGGTACATCAGGCCTTGAGCTGAGGAAATGAACGATCAATTAGTTTACTTGTCAACCAAAATGTTGATGTGTCCAACAAAGCAGAACTGGTGTGTCCGTATCTGTTCAGTTAGTGGATTTATCCAGCATGTTTTCAAGTTCATATCGACACCACTAGCTGTTTGTCTCCAAGGACGGGCTGAAAAATAACCCCACATGATACATTTTCAACATGATTCAATTTTCTTTCTAGTCGTAATTTCAATTTTCCAGCATTGCTACACCGGCTAAACCAATAAAAGCCTCCTGGTGGCTCCTGCCACTTTCGTCCCTTGCTGTCATTGTTATTATCATGATGTGTTGAATCATTAGTGGATCACAGAGACATTCTGAGGTTTGCTGGCTTGCTGCGCCAACATGCCTGAATGGGCTCCAGTTTTCCCACTGTCTTCTTTCACATGAAGCTGAAATGTCCTAAGCTGAGATTAAATGTGAATATTTATAACCCAAGGGCACCCTTAACTGTCTTTTAAATAATTCATTGCTTCACTCTGTTTATATTCCTTCTCTCCTTTTTCCTCCTCTGCCTGTGCTTACAGCGGCTTCTCTGACAATCTGATTCAAGACATCATCTGCAGTTATCTGGTTTTACCCAACCGAATCACCATCCCACTGGTCGGGGACATCGAACTGGCCAACCTACGCTTCCCTATGCCAAAGGTATCAGTCAAATCTGGAAATACAGTCAAGCATGGCGAGGTTTGATAAACCCCCTTTTGTAGTTGTTTGATCATGAGCTGACTGCCTCACGACGGAGTTCAGGGTTCATGTGTTTTTGCAATTCTCTGTGTAGTAATATACGGCAGCTGTTAGGGTTTTGAAGGTAACTCAGAGATTGAAAATACAATGAAACAAAAACAGCCAAAGAAACAAAAAAGTATCTCAAGGCTTGGTGAACCGTATCCATGGCAACAAGGTAAACACTGCAGTGCAAGCAGCATATGTTTAAAGTGGATGTTAGTTTGTGATCATCAAAAGATTGTGTTGCTGTTCTCATTCGCAACCAACTCTGCCAATCTGACTTTAACCTTCACAACATAACAGATCATGAGTTTATTTTCAGTGTGATACTAGAGTCAACAACTGTCATAAAAATACAACATATTTTAAATATTTAGATGCTGCCTCACCTGAATTATAGGTATCAGGTTTTTTTTTTTGCATTGCCTCGTGAAACCCAGTAGGTGATGTCAGTTCTCATCAACTCTGACTCCAGCGTGGCCTGGAAGTGTCAGAGGAAGCTATTTCAGATCCGCCCCCCTTAACGCTGAGCTCTGCATGTCTCCGCAGGGAGTCCTGAGGATTCACTTTTTGGAGGCTCAGGATCTTGAAGGGAAGGATAAGTTTCTTGGGGGGCTGATCAAGGGCAAGTCAGACCCCTATGGCATCCTGCAGATCGGCAACCAGCTGTTCCAGAGCAAGACTGTCAAAGAGAGCCTCCACCCTAAATGGAACGAGGTTTATGAGGTAGAGTTTTGTCATGAACTTTTTCGCTTTTCTCTTAACATGCCTGCTTAAACATTTATCATTAAGTCCTGGTTTTAACAGGCGCTGGTGTACGAGCAGTCAGGTCAGCATCTGGAGATTGAGCTGTTTGACGAAGATCCAGACAAAGACGACTTCCTGGGAAGGTGAATTGCTTTTATTCCCTGCAAATGCTGTAATCGTATCAAACAAGGTCTGCTGCTACTTAGAAATGTGATGATGCAAGAAGAAGACTTTGTTTTAATTGGCCAGCTGCTAGCGTCTAAAAGAGGTGTTAGATCTGTTGTGGCTTTAAATTGTAAGTTCTAAACACAATGTAGGGACCGAGGGGGAAAGAGATGTTGTAAGTACTTGTACTTGATAGTCGACATCAGTTAAAGTAAAAAGAGGAGTTATCTCACAGCTCCAAGCCCAAGGGCAAAGTCAATTGATTTTGCTTAAAGGCTGTAACAGTACACCTAACGCTGACAATACAGAGCAGCCAATCGATTGCTGGACCCCCTTTGCTCAGATTAATTGCTGTGATTTGTCTGCTTACTGTTTGCCGTTACAGTCTGAATTATCATTTATCATTATTCACAGCCTGATGATCGATATGATGGAGCTGCACAAAGAACAGAAAGTTGACGAGGTAAATCTGAATATCTGCCGACACATTATAATCAATATCATCCCAGATTGAGTTCAATTTTCTCACTTCTTAAAGGAACTACTTTGGGACAAAAAAAACGCTCTCTTGCTTTCTTGAGGAGGTTCAAATGAGGACACTGATACCTGTGTGTGTGCCAGCAGTACCACAACCAGCAGCTGGCTAGCTTAGCATAGCATAATAAGTCTAAATGGAGGGCAGCTAGCCTGAGTCTGTCAGACTGTGATGAATTTTTCCTGCCAGCATCTGCAGTAGCTCAACAATAGCCCATCCCAGTTGGTTTGCCTGACTTATAGTTGCATAGCTTTCCAAAGGGATCCCATCACAACCCAGAGAGCGCAGCCACCTTTAAAAGACAAAGGCTCTGTCTATACGAGCAATACACTATACTCTACCACACAGCCCCTAATAGCTCCAACACCTGTACATGAAACTAGATGGGCAGCAGCAGCCAAGACATCAATTTTGCACCTTTCTTCACTGTTTTTTCGGGGGGGGGCATTTTGGCATGGAAGGACTGAAATTGACAACATCCCTGGAAAGCTTAATCCGCAGCTCCGCTCTCCTGGAACCACCACCTCTCTGCTTGTTCACATGAGAAAATACAAAAATGAGAAATATAGAAAAAGTTATGTTAGAAAGAGGAAAAAGAGAGCAGAACCAGGGCAAGAGGCATTTTAGGCTAGAGCTCACCCCGGCCAGAACAATTTGTACACTCTACCTCCTCTACTCTTGGAGAAAAGAGAAAGAAAACAGGAGAGGAGTCTGTAGAGAGATACCGAGGTGAGAACCTTGTCTCAGCTGGAACATATTCTTCTACACTCCACCTCCACTACGCCTAAATTTTCATTAAGGAAGAAGAAAAATAAGATAAATGTTTTTCTCTCCTTTATTTGACTTTCCTCAAGAGAGCATACGCATGTTTTGCAAATTATTGGGCTATTCCTCAAAACATAATATCTTCTGTACTCTATGAAACAGTCCTTACAGGTTTGTGAAGTCATTTAAGCCAGTTGTTACAAAAATCAATAGTACTAATTCTAAACTCAGTGAACTAAACTTTATAATTCAACTTGTTCTGTAACCTTTACAGTGGTTTGACCTGGAGGAAACCTCCACTGGGAAGCTCCACTTGAAATTGGAATGGCTATCTCTGCTCTCCACACCTGAAAAGTTGGACCAGGTACAACAGTAAAGAAACATTTTCCATGCTCTTGCAGAGTAAACCTGCTTGTCACTGTTTCTGTAATTACTGCTGCAAGTGAAGATAGTATGCATATTTTTTATCCATCTTTATGTTGGCAAAATTTTCATTTTCTCTCCTGTTCTGTCAGGTGCTGCGAAGTGTTCGTGCAGACAGAAGCCTGGCCAATGACGGCTTATCGTCAGCACTGTTTGTGGTCTATCTGGACTCGGCGAAGAACCTGCCAGTAAGATGCTGCAACATTCGCCTGACTTTGATGCTACTAGTGCTCTTGTTCTGATGCTATAGCCTTGACCATGTTATAGCATTAGGCTTATACAGACTTGTGTCTCTCCACCAAAACACACACACCACACCACCCTCGGCAACACTCTGAACCAGTTTTGTCAGAAATGAAGCACACCTATTTGAGTAAGGATTATGGTCAGTGTACTGCGATGTGTTACTTTCCTTTATGTTTCATGCTTTGTGACACATGAGTCACCTTATTAGCTTGCTTTCCAGGGTCCTAACAATGTTATCTCTGCTGCACCATGACCTTAAGGTGACTCTACACAGCTCAGCAGTTTGTTTTATTCCCTTCTTCATTTATTAAGCATCTTCAAACCAACCATAAAACAGCGACTGGATGTGTTATAGGTCCGAACAAGAGTCATTACTGTTCAGGGATGTAGTCTTATATCATGATTTTGTAGCTGTTGTCAAGTGAGGACCTTGAGCTGCTTCAGCCTCTGTTTTCCTGGAGCCTTATACTTTTTTAATTTGATCTAATTTACTTCCAGTGTGTTCAAACACTGACTTTAACTTGTAAAGAGGCTGCAAAGAAAATAAATACTTCAGTTTTATTTGAAAGGCCAACACGGCTTTTCATCATCTCTTACAAAGTATCACTGTTGAAGCCATCTCAGCTCTCATAACTCTTCTCCATCTCTTTCTCTTTACTCTCTTTCCTCTTCAACCCAAGAGCGTCTTCACAGGCAGCTTAGGCTGCGGGAACTTAAGTGAAAGACGAGCATCTGGGCTAGTCTTTTGTGAGAGCAATACATCAGAGTATAGAACAATATGTGTGAGTCTCTTGGCGCCCTTGCATCCTGATAGTGTTAGCGTTAGCAGTGTGCGATGGTGTGGCGTTGAACGGTAACAGGAGTCTTTGAAAAACCTGCATCTCAAAGCATGTGTGTTAGCTGCTGCACGGTGTTATTGTAATGTAAAAAATTACCCAGAGTGCCTATAACCAATAACATGGGGCAGACTCTGCTATCTCTGCTTGTTAGTTAGATACATATTCAGCTAAATTAGGTGCTTAGGTCAATAATGAAGTATAAACCCCGGTACAAAGAGTACACTAGCAGAGCGCATAATGATCCCTGCCTATGTTAGTGAACCATGGATGTGTAGCTGTGCAGTTTCTGAACCCCTGTAGCTTGTTAAAAAAAGTGGCACAATGTTTCAAAGTAGTTTTCCTGACTCTTCCCTGAAGGTATCACCCTCATTATCTTGACTGTGTTTTCATTGTTAGCCCTCTGCAGGCTCCAAACTATCAGCCTCCATTGCTGCTTCCTATTCATTATAACTGGTATCATTCATGTTTCAGCTCTTATTTAAACATATTTTTTCAGGGGTTTTTCTCATGCCTCTTTTGCCATCCTCTACCACTCCCCTCCTACTAACTGTGGGTGTGATTTTCTCCCCCAAATCTCCTTGTGGCTTAAAGAGCAACCTGTCAGATTTCACCTATGACGGGTTGAAGCAAGTCTCAGTCTTTAAGGCCCTGAAGGTAATGTGGGAAAAATGGACTGCATGTTCAGATCACACACCCTGTGTCCCATCTGTGCCCCCTTCAAGTGCACCATCCAGCGTCATGTTACCGTGATGATCTCAAACAATCAGATTGAATTGTCTCAAAGTGCATGAGGATGGATGATTGCATTGTCTGTTTGGTGCTTTCTGTATGCTTGTGTGTGCACCTCTTTTTCTGTAATGGTAATGGTCCCTGGTTTTCCACCCTCTCTAACTCATGTGATCCTGCATGCTTTGGTGTAATACTGTACTTTGATTGTTTCTGAGAAAGAGGCAGAGCTGTCTTTAATCTTTGTGGTTAAAACTGTGTCCTCTTTTGCAGCATTTATACTAAAAATGAATCTTTATCTCTCATTCCTGCCTAAGTGCCCTATTATTCACTTGTTTATTGTTTAATTTAGACTTAACCAAATGCTTTTAAACACAAAGCTGCAAGGAGACCCGACCTGTTTAAGTTGATAACTAGGGCACATAGAACGAATAGTATAGAGCAGGAACTCTTTCTCGTCAGGCCAGTAGTTCTGCATTTTCCATTTGCCTGTAAAATGAATGGTACTGTGTCATGCAGTAGAAAGTAACAAGACAGATAAACATGATATATGAACACAATAGAAACTATGCATTTTTCTCCACAGGGCCTGTTAACCAGGTCCCACAACAATGAAGTTTAACATGTTTCATAGCCAGAAAATAGCAGATAACGGCCAGGTTTTATGAGTGTATTCATGACTCAGTTTAAAGTCTGTGCAGTTTCTGTTGGAACAAGTGGTTTTCTGCTGCATATCCTTTTCCCAGCAAGTTTCAGACCTTCCTTTGTAACACACACACACACAGTGGCACTCCCTCAGTGTCACTTTCATTAGCCAGTACAGTGCTGGAAACTGGAGCCCAGATATTATCTGGCTGGCTCTCCAAAACTCACTTTTTGTCATTCTGACTGCAGTGCCTCTGCTGTCTGGCCAGCCCTCCTTTATTTAATTTTCTAATTAGCCTGTGATAGAGAGATGTTTTGGAGTCTAAAATGCTACTTTTTCATCTAACGTCATTTGATTTAACAAGATTATAATATTCATAGGAGAAGATGTGTCTCTCACTTTAAACTTTTGTAAAAAAACACGGAAAAAAAAAAAAAAAGAACTGGTTGAACAGCACTCTAGACAAACTATGCTGAATACTTTGAAAGCTTGCCCCAAGCCACCAGGAAACAAGATGTAATGAAAATGGCCTCTTATGCTCACCAAAGTGACAAGTGCATGCATGTAGTATTGAAAACCAGCTGAGTCTGTTGTTACGCCCCACCAGAAGGCAGCCCCATGGGGTTCACAACTATTCACACGCAGACCTATTAAAAGCAACAGAAAACACCTTCAAATCTTCAACACGGGATTTGTCATTAAAAAGCGACACAGAATTAGATAATTACCGAAGATTAACTAAAGAACAAATCAAGAAGTCAACTAAAACATAAGAATCCCCTGAATGAGCGGCTACAGGGCAGCAGTCACCCCCGTCAAATGCCTCTCTTTCCTGCAGGCAGCTCTGGGACTTTAAACTCTCAGGGCAAGGTGAGGCTGATTCTCAATCAGTGACTTTTTTGGACAGAGCTGAAGGAGACAAAAGGCAAAAAAAGACCAACAGGAAATATACAGCTGTAACGCTGCCTAAAAGTGAGCTTTGTTAAATTATAAGATACTGGCATTGCTCAAAATGCCAGAACAACACCCCCACATAACAGCAGGTACTTTTCCTTGACAAAAAATATGAATCCTTACACTCTTGATTCAAGTAGATATAAACTCCACAAGGTAACTGCATTTTAACTTAAAAGAGTGCTGAGAAGCAGTAGGTCTGAAGATCTGTCAAAACAGGAGATATTAGGATACAGTAGTAGAGTCCAGAGCACTGCCATGCTTATACTAAGCGATCCATGCAGTGTTTTTAAAAAATGACTCAATATGCAAAAAAGTAATTTAGTATGCTTTTAAACACCCTCTGAGCATTATGGGTGTATTAACAAGATTTTTTTTTTTGGACTCCATAAACATAAGTAAGATAAAAGTCGAGTAAAATAACAGGAAACAAAACAACGTTTTAGGTAAATGAAGCACTAAAATGCAATTAAATCTTTAATTTGCTCATTTCTTGTACTTTCTTTGCAACTGCGTACCAAAGAACAACTGAAGCTTGATGAAATGCTTTTTAATCTTTAGTGCTCGGTTTTATCTTGATTCAAGTTGTGGTGTATAATTATCAAAGTTTTGTACTGTGCTAATGAACTGGCTTTTACAATAGAGTTGAGCCTAATTATAATGCTGCTTTGAAATCCAAGCACAATCCTCTTGAGAAGCTACGAATAAGAAGCAAGTTAAGATACTCCGCCCCTGGCTTTAAGATATGTGGGGTATTATTATTCTGTAAGGAGTACTGAATAATACGCAGCTGTCAAAGCAAGCATGCTTAAGTAAAAAGCAGAGGAGACAAAGCTTTGTGGTCTCCTTGGTAGCTTGTCTGCCTGCAGCCCTGCTTGTGCTGTCTCATAATACCCCTCTGAGCTGCGGACTCTTTCAGCATTGTGTTCTGGTTACCAAGTATTAAGAAGCTAATATTTGTTGTGTTCATGCTTTCTGTTACCGATGCCACACAGTGAATACCTTTCTTTTCTGATTCTCCAATAGTCTGCAAAGAAGAGTAGCAGCGAGCCGAGTCCTTATGTCCAGATGACTGTTGGACACAAAACACTCGAGAGTAAGGTGAGTCATTCGAATAGGCATCCATTAGTATAATTATATTTCAGATTTCATCCTTGGCTCTGAGTGTGATACATTTATTTGTGGTAAAAGGCTATGCCTTGCACCACAAATTTAGACTAAAAATATATTTCCCATTTTAAAGTGCTGTTTAAAGCAGAGATTGAACACAGCAGTTATTTGTATCTGAATACGTCTCCCATTCTTACACATAAAAAGGTATTGAATTCTCACAGGCAGTACATCTCATTCTTTAAATGCCTCCCTCAAGGGCTTTCTATAACAGCATGTTCTCCTCTGACTGGAACTCACAGGGAGAGGGGGGGGAATGGTTGTAAGAGAAAATAAAATCATGTATCATAACTGCCAACAAACCTGTAAGTGTGGACTAAAAGCTTTTGTACTGACATTAAGTGTGTTTCCAAGCTGTATCTCATAGGAAATTTCTGGGTAAAGTCCAGAAGGGAATTGTTTAAAGGTAGAAGAATCATTTAAATGGACAAAGATATGGTTCTTCGCTGTGCAACAGAGCTGGATAATGGGTGAAATGGAGAAGGTTTCCACCATTGACCATTGACAGCATGCCTCTATCTCCTCACATTAAAAAGATTAAGCCAAAGCTGAGGCCATGCGATTGAAGTATCCTCTTGATTGACTCAGTACATTTAACTTAATCAAGAAATGTCAACAATCCCTCAAGTCGATACTGTACACAGCAGGGCAGATTCTTGTGTAGATTGAAGACGCTCACAACTATAGAAAGATCACAGACTCTTGTGTGTTAAGAATGCCGAAGGAGCCGCCTTTGCCATGTAAAGGTGTCAATCATGACATCAGGTCCTCTTTTTTCAGCCTCAAAAAATAACTAAAGCTAAACTCTTCATGTAAAAGAACACTTGCATGAAATTTAGTATCACTAGAACTAACCATCAAGACTGAAAAGCATATTAAGGGAAAATTAACATGGCCTGTATTTGAATTTTTTAGTTTGGTACATGTGCCATCTGTCAACATGGAGGAGGTGGGCTTCTTGATTTGTACAGCAGCCAATCGCCAAGGAAGACCTCTGTTTCATACAGTCTTTTACTACAAACTGTTGTTAGTTGAAGCCTTCTCTATTCTGCAAAGTGTGCAGACTTATCTGTATCAGGACACCAGTGGTCTAGCCGTCCAAGTGCCCCATACATAGAGGTTACAGTCCTTGTTGCAGCATCTGCTGGTTCTATTCTCGCCATAACCCTTTGATGCATGTCATCCCCCTTCTCTAATCTCCACTTTTACCATCTCTCTTTAGCTATTCTGTCTTATGAAGGCAAAATCGCTTAAAATTATAACCCTCCTGCTGTAAATGTTTGGGCTTCACTTTTGGGGAACTGCTGTGCCGTCCATTTTTATATATACCATAGTTTTAACATGAATTGAATTGACAGCACTTCTGACTTCAAACTGAACGATAATACACGCACCACAAGAGTTAAGTAGTGAAAGTGTTGTTTTTAAGGTCTTTCACCATCATTTCATGCCTTTCTACCCCTTATCATTAAACCTCTGCTCTGGTTAAAGCTGGGCGGGGTTGTGCTTTAAAGTAAGTGGTGTCATCAATAAGCGAAGGATATCATTAAAGTGTTTATAAGTCGGGGTGGCCTTCTCCTGCAGGCAGTTTTTATTTGCACTGTTAGACTTGTCTTTAAATAACAACCTTAAGAAAATCTAATGTCACAGCTCAGAGTTTGGATGCTTGTTATTTCCCATGTGTCTGCTCTTCCTTCCTAATGCGGCATTTTTCCCTCCTCTTCAACTGCCTGCCCCGCCATCATTAGTTTCACCTTTTCAACAGTCTGAGTCTTCCCACACAAATATTAAACACTTTCTTTGTCGGTTCCTCAGCATAAAGATGTTTTTTAAGGCTTCTTGCCAGAACATTGTGTGAGTTTCTATTACCTGCCTGTTTTGATCCAGTCCCTGAACTTGCTTTATTTCCTGCCTGTCATATCCGTACTCGGTAAGCCTTTTTGTTTGGCCATTAGATGTCCTGCATTATTGCATCTACTTGAGCTCTTGCTCACAGTGTCTGCATTTGAGCACAGTTTCACTGTCTCCAGTGTTTTGTGACACCCAAGAATGTGGCTCAAATTTCTCTCCCTCTGAGAAATAATGTCTTTTCAGTGAGTCTGTGATATCAGAAGGCTCAATAAGGCTGTCTCTGTAGGAAGGAGGCCTGAGAGGTGCACAGAGAGGAATATTTAACAGGGCACTACTGTCAATTCAATTCAATTCAGCTTTATTTATATGGTGCTTTTCGTACATAAGGAAATGCAATTCAAAGTGCCTCACAGAGGCTAAAAACAACAATGAACACAAAAACCCAACCCTTCCACCCACACATACATTGTCATTTCATTCTTTAAGGAATTGAGCCCAAGTGCTTAACTTATGCAAGCTTTTCTTAAAGTTGTACCAATTCAACAACCCATGAGTTTCCTGTGTAAAAAAATCAAAATTGACAAGCAGATCTTGGGAGTACAAAGTCTTGTATGTTTTATACCTAATTTCAGGACCAGAAATTCCCCGCTCTGAATCAGTTGTAAGTGTTCATTTGTACTTACAATCCAAGTTACAGTAAGCAGATAATCCTGTCTGCTGGGAAAATAGATTATGATGTGTCGAGTTTTAGGTGATATCAGATTGCAGTGAGGCGCACCATCCTGGAAGGCATTTTACCAAATAAGATGAAGTAAAACCGGTTTGCCTCAGTCTGACTTTTAGCAAACATCAAGCATCCTGATCTGGACTGGGGTCAGGTGATTGTTGTAACCAGTCAGCTATGTTGTAGAATCTACTACATCAGCCTTTCTTCAGATACTGTTTTGTCCAACTAAAGGAAAATACTCATTAAAAATCCTTTTTTGTACACCGAGCCAAAACTAATTCAGAGACCACACCATCTCCTCCGCTCTTTATTAATGGAAAGCGATATTGGATGGAAACTGACTAATTGACAAATCGAATTGTACATTATTAAAACTGACAGAGCTTGAAAAGATTTGTAGTGGAGATTGTTATTGGGTACAACTGCTGGAATGAAACAAGTGAAATGATATTGAATGAGAGGAAGCAAATACTTTAAAGCAAGCATAACAATAAAAACTCAAATAGTAGTGCCAGAAAGTGGCAGGACAAAAATTAGGTTTGGATAAAAAGTGACTTGATGGTTGGTGATTCGATCCCAGCTCCAGCAGTCTACATACTGAGGTGTCCTTGGGCAGATTACTGCGCCCCAAGCTGCCTGCAGTGGCACAGCCAGCAGCACAAGAACATGTAAAAGTGATTAGTTAATACTGATGGGCACTTTACTAAGAAGCCTCTGCTGTCAGTGTGTGAATGTAGAGTGAAAGGGTGAAAGAGACGTGACGTAAAAGCTCTTGAGTGGTTAAAAGACTAGAGAAAGAGCTTTACAAATCAAGTCCATTTATCATTAATTGTGAGGTTAGAGCAGGGAGAAGAAAAATGCAGGAAATACAGAAAGAAAGTTGGAAATAAGATGAGAAGAATAAAAAAAACAGTCCATAAGCAACTCCTGTGAAAATCATCTGCTCTCCTCTGAATGCTCTCAAATCTATTATGTTATAAGTAAAAATAAAATAAAATATCCTACATGTAAAGAGAAAAAAAATATGAAAACCTGACATTTAAAAAAAAATCATTACATGCCTGGAGTGTTTTTTATATTATGACTGAAACATTCATTTGTGATTGAACAAAACTCATAATTTATAGATTTCTCCATGAATTGTGTTCTCAATTAGCTGCACTCGATCGTCTTTTAATTAACGATTGATTTTCTGTACACGTATAAAGATCCGGTACAAGACCAAGGAGCCTCTGTGGGAAGATTGCTTCTCATTCCTTGTTCATAACCCCAGGAGGCAGGAGCTGGAGGTGGAGGTAATGCAGCATACATTCTCACTAATGATGTGGGGGTTTTTTTTGGATCATGCACCAAATGATTAAAGCCGCTGACTCACCTTTAAGCCACGGATCTTCCTCCTCTCTTATGCACAGGTGAAAGATGACAAGCACAAATGCACCTTGGGAAATTTGACGGTACCTTTGAGCAGCCTGTTGGCGGAGGAGGACATGACGCTGAATCAGTGCTTTCCTCTCAGGAACTCCGGACCCAGCTCCACCATCAAGCTCAAGATGGCCCTGAGGGTAAAATACGGACTTCATCACTCCTCATTGAACTTGTATGCAAAAGTGATGTAGGTTTTTTCATTACAGGTAACGGACAAATCTTTAAGATGTGCTGATTCAAGCAAAGTTGCTGATTGAATCTTTAAAAGTACTTAGGAACACAGATGTTGAAGCTAAATAAATATTGCAGTCTTGGCAGTAAAATGTTAATTATTAACTCTGTTCCCCAAAGTCTTTATGTTTTATGCTCTTAGTTTAAGGCTAATTTCACTCCTGGCTAAGCTCCACTGCCTTAAGCAGCTTTTGTCATAAACTAAGCTGGCTGCATACAGGTGAAAAGTCCTGATAAAAGTTGCTATTTGTGTTTCCAGCCAATATTTATTGACAAAGGGTGTGGTGCAGAGTAAAAGAGGGCACCGTTAAGTGGCGCAGAATCTTGACGTGGTGAGGCACAGGGCACATAGAGGTTAGATTATATCCTTTTTATGATCCATAGTTGTGGTTTGGGTGTAACAATGAATCAAACAAATCAGTGCGTCTGCCTCCATTCCCTTTAAGGACTAAGTGCTCCTGCAGAGAGATGATTGATTTACATAGCAAATTTCAGTCCTTCCACTCAAACAGACCTGGCCGGAGATGACAGATTTCACTTCTCTCCTGCAATAGTACCACTTAAAAAAACCACAGGTCACGGTATGAGTTATTTCAAAGCACTGAGGAACCGATCAGAGACTCGACAAACAAAAAAAGTGGTGCACATTTTCAGTGATTTAAAATTCGAGACAATATTGGCAAAGTCTAATGGTGACTAATGCCTCGTCTACCTAACACCAAAGAAAGTTAGGGGCTGATATTTACTTATTTTTGCTGCTGGATCACGTTGATGGGATTTGTAGTTTGTGCATAAAGGAGTGTTCAGTCTTTGTAAAGATCTGGAAGCACCTTAGTCAGTGGCACCAAGATTAAAGTATAGAGACTGTAGAAAAATACTGCTTAGCTGTGCGTGAGCGTGTGTGTGTGTTTCTGGTTCATTATCTGTGCTTGTGTTTTTTCTCCTGTGCTCCTGTGGTCCCCTCAAGTTGCTCCTCACTTCTCTAGTGTTTTTGGCTTTGTGTTTTTTTATTAATTGGATTTTTGGTTGGACCTAAAAAGTTTGTTTTTTATGCCTTTTTCTGAAGTTGTATTCGATAAATATTTCACTTGAGTCTGCATTTCAGGTCCTTTTCTCTGTGTAAGTGTTTATTCTGTGACAGCAGGTGTGTGGATAGAGAGCAGTGAGCGTTTCTTCTGTTTTCCTGAGGTCGACACCATGCCAGCAGCAGTTTCATAATGAATCTTGAGGAGGGGAAAAATACTTACATCTCAGCCCTATGTCTCAAAAAATAACTGAATTTCACTTTACCAGCCAAAGTACATATATTTATTTATGAATAGGAGCACTGCTGTGTGTAAAAATAACAGAACTCTCATGCCTATCTCACCCTGTCACGAATGCATCCTCTAAATAGCAGGATACTACCCTACCGCTGACTGTAGACTCTTAACCAGGTCTTGTTGGTCTAAGGCACAGACGCTATTTGCATCTACAAGACAGCAATGCACCACCTCTGCATCTGACACCACCTCATTTGAAGACCAACACAGCTTCAGGCGCTGCTGCAATTTACCTGCTATTTACACAGTGAGGGTTCTGGGCGTCAAACTGATGAGTGCATCAGGTGGAAAATAACAATGACACTTGCACACGAGAACACTTTGTGACAGGTGTACAATAGGGCCTAATGTCTTCTAAAGTCTGTCGATTCCTGAAGAACCCCCAGCCTTACCACACAACTCAAAAGTTCAATCATTTCATTACGGTGCTCTGAAATCTCATGACGCCTAAGAAATATTGACGTCCTGTGCAGCACAAGATATAGTATAGAGTAAATTGCTTTTGCCTTCATGCTACTGGATCAGAGTGTGTCATTTTATATTGAATCATCACAGCTGATCAAATGAGGATGATTCCAGCCCTATAAAAATATTGACCCGCGCTTAACTAGCTCTCCTGTATTGGATCACAACCAACATATCAAGATTTATGACGGATATTCGCAGAGGGGGATGACTGTGGGTGCTTACTGAACCATTTGAGCCACTTACAAGGACAGATGGCAGTAAAAGGAAGCTCCTTCAGGTGCAGCCAAGATGTTGAATAAATATCACTGGAAATCAGAATCTGAAATTTGAAGGTCACTCTGCCAAAAAGGCTTAAACACTCTGATTGTGCAGTTTCCTAACACTGAAGAGTGTTTAAGCCACTCGAAGGCTTATTTAACACCACCAAATCCCCTTTGAAAAAGCTTTACTTCCTGAGTTATAGCACTTTGCATTAAATCACACAAGCTTTATCACACTAGCATTAAATTTTTGTTGCAAGATCTGTTCATTTTTTTTCTCGTCTCTCTCTGTAGATCCTGTCCTTGGAAAAGCAGGTGTACTCAGACCAACCCTCAGCCGTCCGAGTCAGGAAGTCCAGCATGCCACAGCCAAACACAAACACAAACACCCCGTCCCTCAGACTGTCGGCCTCAGATTCTCCGCTACCTCCACCCACACCCCCACAGCCCATAAATGCTTCCACACTCACCCTCCAGCAACGCGATGGAGAGCCGTACTCAGCCAGCCCGCTGCGTAGTGTCTCCAATCTGAGTACCTGTATGTCCAGCTCCCAGAAACACCTGCCTCACAAGGAGTCCACACCAAGCCTGGCCTCGGATATCTCCCTGCCCTTTGCTACTTTGGAGCTGCAACAGCGACTCCGGCAGCTGCAGAAGTAATTTCACCCATGATGCACTATTTTTCCTCATTATTCCCCATCTGCTCTTCCTGTCATAGCTATTTCTCTGTAATTCTTGTTCTCTAGATTTTATCGGATTTTGGTTTACATTATTTCTATCCTGCAATCCCCTCAGATGTAACACCATAAATTTTTCAAATATTTATCTTTAGAGCATTTTGTCATACTGCCTGTCAAAGTATCCAGCTGCCCCTCACTTTTCGTGCTGTATGAGTTTAGTTGCAGCCCCTGGAAGTGACACTGACTTACTGTGCTGTTTTATAGCGGCTCGGCCCCCAGCCAGTTCCCCCTGGGTGAGGTCCAGCTGACAGTTCGACACAGCGCCCAGAGGAATAAACTCATCGTGGTGGTACACGCCTGCCGGTGAGTTCCACAACTTCCATCATGCACTGAATTTTAATTTGGGTTCTGAAAGATATATAATGCTATTTTGTCCTTCCAAAAGCTTCCCTCCCCACAGAGAACTTTGTCCTTGTTTTTTGGCCCAGGTTTTGGTCATTTACTGTAATTTATTAACGTTGGTTTTTGCAGATCCTCTTGTTTCCTTAGTAGCTGCATATACTTAGGAGTGAATAGTCTCCATTAAAGTCAACACCATGTGCCTGGCAACACGTGAGTGAAACTATTTTGTCCTGTGTGTCCTCAGTAACTTGATAGCCTTCACCAAAGACAGCTCAGATCCCTTCATCCGCCTCTATTTACTGCCTGACAAGAGCAGGACGGGGAGGAGGAAGACAGGAACCATGAAGAGGACCCTCAACCCTGTTTTTGATCAGACGTGGGTTGAAATTTTATCACTGTAATATCTTGAATCCGAGTTGCTCACAGTCTGATTTTCAGCTGGTTTCCGGTTTGTATGTCCCTGCATGGTGACTTATATTTAGTTCAGCAATGTGCAGTTTCTATGCGGATGTGTATCTCATTTCAGTACCATCTGTAACTGTTGTACCTTTAAATAGGAGAAAAGTAGCGATATGACAGCGAGGAAAAGCTCACACATGCTGCTCTTCTCATCGCTCATCTGTATGGAGTGAGGGATGTGAGAGCGATCCCCCAAATGGATCCTCAAGGCCTTGCAAACAGATCACTGAGCAATCAAACTTAAATGCAAGGAGCTATTTAACAATCTAGGTTCTCTTCCCTCCTCTGTTACTGGCTGTGTAACCTTTATAACAAATACTAGTGCATATTAACAATAAAACATTGCACCGTATATGAAGAGAGAAACTGAGCTACAAATGAAATAGTCATGTCTGATACATCAACCTGTCACAGTACTACCCTGCCAGCTAATTATATGCTAGTTTAGCATAGCCCATAATAATAATAATAACAATAATAATAATAATAATAAACTTTATTTGTATAGCACCTTTCATGACATGTGATGCAGCTCAAAGTGCTTTACAAGTTAAAAACAAAGCACAAGTGCTTTACAGACAGGGTAGATGATTGACAATAAAACAAAAAAATTAACAATAAAAACAATAAAATTAGCAATTAAAAAAAATAATAATAAAAAATAAAAAATATAAATAAATAAAAATAAGCAGATAATAAATACAGAAGCATAAAACAAGCGTATAGTAGCGTTGATAGTCGTGAGCCACAACCAATAAGCTTGGCCCCCTTTCAGCTAGTTATTTGTTGCCTTAAATTAAGGAGCCTTTATCAACAAACCAGCACTCTGCCAAACATAAATATGCCACTGTTTTGTTTAAATGCATGATTAAATCAAATGAGGGAGAAAAGTTTGAGAAACTGGCACCGTCAGCCTGGTTATTTTGTACATTTCTGACTGAAATGTATGTGATTGCAGGTTTGAGTTTAGTGTATCCATGGTGGAGCTCCACAGGAGAACTCTGGATGTAGCAGTAAAGAACGGAGGGAGCATCCTCTCCAAACACAAAGGACTTTTAGGAAAGGTAACTCCTGCAGGTTTTAGCCGTCACACTGTGTCCCTATGGCTGCTGAAAACTTAAATCTCTTCCGTGCTTTTTCTTCAAAATTGCAGGTGATGGTAGATTTGAGTGGGGACGATATATCAAAAGGATGGACTCAATGGTGAACCTTTTATTCTGCACCCTTTCAAGACTTTGTTGCCTGGTTTAGTGCTCACATGTAATACTTTTGTTGTTTCCTCTTGCAGGTATGATCTAACTGAAGATGGCTGGACGTCTCAAAGCATAAGAAATATTCAGGACCCCCTTCTCACATAGTGACGCCACACCTCTGCTGTAACATTGAAATCTTGTTGATAAAAGGGCACATCATTTTGTTGTATTCGTGTACATTTTTCATATAGTTTACAGGAAATGTTTCAGCATGCAAGAAGTTTTTCAAACTTTTCTTATTATTATTATATTATGATCTTGATTGGAAGATATTGTGATGCATTGAAACACAATGACTGCCTTGTCCCTCCTTTTTTTCTGTGTTTTATGTAAATATCAAGTTGCTGATATAAAAATAAATGAATTTGCAGGGGCTTTGATGGCATTAAGTTTCCTTACAGGAAATTATATTTGAATTTGTAAAAGAATATTAATGACTTTCTGTCCAATTCGTTTAAATGTGAAAAAAAATGTGTTTTTATGTCATCTAAGAAAACTCCTACCAAAGGAACAGTTCCAGACTTAAAAGTTGGCTTAAGTAGCAGTCTTGACTTTGAGCTTTGTTGTCATGCAGTGGTATTTGATTGTTTACCTCTTACTCTTATGTTTTGCTCGATTACAGAAACTGAATGCAGAAAATGAGATGACTGTCTGTACATTTGACGAGGACTTTGTGCAATATTGACTGTTCTGATCAGTGCGTCAGAAACTGATGAAATAGGGGCATTTTAAAGCTTTGAACAAGTGCTGTATATTATGAACCGTTTTTAAGGATACTTGAATAAGGGTATGGTTGTTATACAAACCAAATGTAAGTCAAACAAACTGAATAATATGAGCAGAAACATATGTTGCATTTTATAAGCAGGGCTGCCAGAATGTGCTGTTGAGATGACAAAGCTAGATAATTAAACTGTACAGTGTCTGTCATGCAGTCATAACTTTTTGTTTGAGCGTTTAAATACTTTTGTTATCTATCCTGTGCCTTAAAAAGCTACAGAATCTTTGCCTTGTCATTGTTATTTTTTTGAATGATGCCTCAAGGGTTTTGAAGAATAAATTGTTTCTCTTGTGAAAATTCCCCCGTACTTGAGTCTTTCTGTCAAACAACGGAGACTGAATTATTTCCACCTTTAAGTCAATCTGTTCCTTTTAAGTGTAAAATGTTACAGTAACATAATTTAACTGAGAAAATTGGAAATTAATGACCATAAAAGAGAAAGCGTATGTTGTCCGCAACATCTGCAGTCATTTACAAACACGTCACGCATTACACATTAACGTATGTAAAACAAGGTTAAGAAAAGTGCACACTCTTATTTTTTATTAGCTGCGACAAACTAAAGAGACTGCTTTACATTCAGCTAAACTTCTCTCTAACTGGCAATGGTTACCTTTACCTGTATTTTTGACATGACAGCAAGCATAAAGCGTATCAACCCTGTTAGGTTTTAGGGTTTTAATAAGCACCCATGCGTTAATGCTTAAAGCCTAACTTGGCTTTCAAAATATGTTGTTTTTACATTTGAACTTACCACAGCCCATTGCATTGTTTTATTTCATCGGGCCATATAGAAATTAAACATTTAAAGCTAAAAACAGGACATTTTTAGCAATATTTAGAGGCCAGATTATAGATTAAAATGCTCCCTTGCTCTCCTGTTTTAACAGTGAAACTATGTTGGCTTAGGAGGAAAAAAGTTCCTGTTCATGATAAGAATGATATTGTATTTGTTATGTGCAAACAAAAAAACCCTTTTGATCAAACAACTTCATTTGGGATGCCTATGTGTGTGTAAATACCTGAATTCTACCTGGATACATAATTTAAGCAACATTATTTACATTGAGAACAAGGAGTAATTAATAAAGCATCTTGTCACTAAATAGATAAAATGACTTTGACGGCAGGATTTGGTGTTTCATTACATTTTGAATCTTTAACAGGAAAACGGTGTTTGAATTTCAGTTGAAAAACCACTCTAGTCCTGTTGTTCTATAGTTTTAAAATCAATGTTGTTTCAATATCAATAGAAGATGCAAAACTGGAGTCAGATTGTGATGCTGGTTCAACATTAACTGAGTGGGCAGCTCTGTATTGATTTGATGTTGTTTTAATGATGTCTTGCCGTCTGGGCAGTTAACTGTCCTGGAAAAACGCCACATTCTTCATTCACACAGAATATGCACAGTGCTGTGTCGCCATCAAGTGGTGGTTTGAGCAAACAACAACAACTTGATGGTTTAGAGTAGGCTATAGGTAGTCATCATTTTTCATGGCTCAACTCAAAATGTTAGTTTTTACATTAAATTTGTAAGCTTAGCACTGTTTTCAATTACATATAGGATAATAGACTGTATACTTTAAACAGTATATGATCACATAGGATATGACAGATCTGCAAACCATCAAATTTGACATGACAGTGCAACTTTTTCAAAGAAGTAGGGCTGTGTCGTTTGAAATGAAACACCATGTGAAACATAAGTGCACTCTTCTTTCTTTCACTCACTCACTCACTCTCTAACACAGACACATACACATAGTAATTATTTTGTTCTGTTGGTTTGTATAGAGTCAGCTGAAAATTTTGCTGTAAAAAACTAGAGGAACCAGGAACTAGAAAACTATATTATTCTTCATTTCTAAAGCATGAATGGAACTGTATACAACTGAAAATTATTCTTTACTTGGTTTATGAAACTGGCAGTTTTAAGAAGATTAAATCATTACTGCTGAATTGCGGTAGCTTGGCTGTTGATTTGAAATCTTATAATGGACAAGGCAGAGAAATGTATTGTCACCTCAGCCCCGCCAAAAATATTTCCCACCAGCCGCCACTGCCTAAACTACCACGGGAAAGGACTTTCTTCTGTCTGTATGGGAGTCAAAACCCTTTGATTTTTTTTAATTACCAGAAGCTCTGAGAAATCGGCAGGTAAACATACAGACGGTTTGTTACGTTTTTAAATTACACTGTAATTTTTTTCTTCGTCCAAACTCCAGGTCAGTCAGCGGCGGTAATGCACCTCTAGCTGGTTTGCAAACCTCAAATAAACAACACAGAAGAAGAAGCCACATACTACGTCATGACGCACGGGGCGGTCGACGTTATCCAAATTTGCGCGGGTTGCTGTTATGGGAAGTTGTCATCGGTCTGTTGTCAGCTCCAAGAATACGAGATAAATCGGTAAACTTTCAAAGTATTCGACTATAATGTTAGCTCGTTTAGACTATTTATGCTCTCTTTCATGAGATATCACCGTAATACTCTATGTATGATTTTCGTTCCCTAGTATTACTGTTGAAAGTGACCGACAAACGGGGCTGCCATATTTGTTTTGGTCTTGTTTGAGCGGTTTGGTTCAGATTTTTTGGTTAGAGAAAAGGACTTGTCGCTTAAAGCTGCTGTATTTTGCACCGCAGGTTTGCTGGGGATCTTCAATCGTCAACATGTCAAAGCGAGAGGCGTTTTTAAATGCCACCTGTCAGGAAAATGTCGAGGACTTCCTTCGCTATATCCAACTCCATGTAAGTGTAGTCGTGAACCGCAACCAGGAGTCATCTCACACAGCTGGAAAATTACATGTCTTATGTTGCTTCTCCGTATATTGCTCTGCAGAGGGATAAAACAGAGCCTTTCGATGTAGAAGAAGTGATGCAGGAGATGCCCCAGAATCAGAGACAGACTCTGTGGGAGAAACTGGCTTCACTTTTGGAGGACGTGCTGCAGCGGTTACCTCCAGAGCAGTGGGAGAAGCCCAGAGAGGAGGGCATGGAAGTGGAGTCAGCTACTGACCCTGTAAGATGTCTCAGAAGCTTTTAAGACATTATCATTTCTTATTCTGTTACTTCAAGACTCTTACAATCATACAGGACTTGTTTCATCACCTGGAATTGTTCCCTGCTTTTATTTGCTTTTCTTAGAAACATGTTATTGCTGTTGTGGATGGTGTGACACTGGTGGCTTCAGCATCCTTAAAGGTCCTACAGGACGGTGACAGCTACAGCGCTCTCCTGAGAACTGCAGACATGCTCCATGGTTGGTGTCTTAACTGATTTCCTATCTGTTAAGTTGATGTTTCTTCAGAATCAGAAAAATTGTCAGAATCAGAAATACTTTAATAATGCCCAGGGGGAAATTGCTTTTGTCACAGTACTCCAGTGTAAATACAGTAAAAGAGGGGATAAATAATAGATAAAATAAAAAATAAAATAGATAAGATACTATAAGTAAAAATATAGAGATAAATGATAAAATAAGTAAAAATATAGAGATAATATGCAAGTATACAACAGCAGAGACTGTTGATATTTTTAAGAAGAGGCTCAAGACTCACTTTTTTTAACCAGACTTTTTACTAATTGCCATTTCAGATTTCTCTTATTGCAAATGTTCATTTTAATCAAAGTTCTTAATGTTTATCTTATGTCATTCTATTTATTATCTCTGTTCTTAGTCTTTTTCTTAATTTCCCATCACAAGTGTTTACTTCTTTTACCCCTTTTACTTATTTGTTCATTTAATATTATTATTTTCTTATTTTAGTCCATCAGGTTTTACTCTCTTAACCATTTTTATCTTTATTTTTATCTCCAGTGTTTCCCAGAGGTAGCTCTTTCCTCATGTAATGTCTCGGTGTCAGGCCATGTCTCTTTAACAATATATCTTAAATTCTTACACTGTGTGCAGTTGTGTGTGTGTGTGTGTGTGTGTGTGTGTGTGTGTGTGTGTGTGTGTGTGTGTGTGTGTGTGTGTGTGTGTGTGTGTGTGTGTGTGTGTGTGTGTGTGTGTGTGTGTGTGTGGGTGGGTGGGTGAGTGAGTGAGAGTGGGTGTGTGTCTTTGTGTGTGTGTGTGGGTCCAAGGGTGTGTGTGTGGGTGGAAGGGTTTGGTTTTTGTCATTATTGTTGTTTTTAGCCTCTGAGGCACTTTGAATTGATTTTCTTTTGTATGAAAAGTGCCATATGAATAAAGTTGAATTTGAAGTATTTACACTATCACAACACAAATAGTGGCATTGTATGTGCGTAAAACATTGTCATTTGTTTATGCCTCTCCCTCAGCTGTCCTGGAGTCGCTGCCTGTCTCACAGGAAACCCTGCAGCTCCACATCCGCGCTCTGTGTGAGGCCTGGTGGAAGAAAGGCCTGAAGGAGAAGGAAAAGTTTGGCCGCACTGCTTTCCTCATCTCCCTTCAGAAGAGCTTCATTTTGAAGAAACCCGTCAGTGATAGGATTTTGAGATAAATAAACTTGAAGCTTTTGTTGTTGTTGTTGTTGTTGTGATCACAAGTATTGATTTTAATGATTCATCTTTGTTGTCAGGGTTCTGAAATCCTAAGAGTTTGGAATCTGCATGACGTGCTCCTGAGTCTGGACTACAACTCAGAAGACAACAGGCAGATAATCGACTTGTTGCTTCAGTGCTTTCACAGACCGACTTATATCAGGAACGATGATGTGAGTAGAGGGATATGTAATCATCACCTCCTTCTTATTGTAATAGCTTTGTCATTTGCTGCCAGCCTCATAATTATTATAAATAATATTTATGTTGTGTATTTCCTCCAAAGATGCAACTCCGAAGTGTTTAACAAAACAACACCAGAAACCCTGCTGTAATAAAAAGGAATTAAGACATTCGATCGTGGAGAAGAAGTAATCAACCAACAAAATTAAGCGTGTTTGTTAGGGAGGCCATATCATTGTTTAGGGTATTAATAAATTAAAAGCTGCCTTAGCTGATTTATTGTGTTACACTTGGGAAACTTCTAAAAGAAAGACAGTGAAAGAAAATCTGAGAGTTTGAAATAAGATTAAAAAATGAAGAAATTTAGTGATGTATGACTCAGCTAAGTTATGTGTGGGCTTGTGGATATGTAAAAGCATTTTAAATTCTCTTCTAAAAGAAAAGAGATAAAGTAGGAGAGGAGTGTAAGGCTTTTTTGTGTTAATACCAGACTGTTGCACTTACTGTGTGTATTTCTTGTCTCAGGGAAAGCGGTTCCTAGTGTTTCTTTTTAGCTGGAACGTCGACTTCATCTGCGTGATCCACGGCACCATCAAAAACCAGCTGGAATTCTACAGCAAGTGAGACACTACCTTTTACTGTGAAAGTCATTACAGTATTTTTGTATCTTTATGTAATTTACAACATTTGCTTTTTTCAGAACCATAACCACTCACATCACAGAGATCTACTTCAGAGCGTGGAAAAAGGCCAGTGGGGACTTCATGGAGCAGATTGAGATCTCGTGCATTCAAGATTTAATGCAGAATGCCATCTTCCTTCATAGATCATCTCCTGTATTTACCAAAGTTCGAAAGGTGGGCTCGTTTACAGGCCTGTTTTAAACTGTTTCTTGTCAAGTTGTTGACAGTGCATGCCTTTAGATTATATCCCCACAGTCCAAAACAAACATAAAAACTGACTCCACAATCCTCTTTCTATGAAAAATTGGCAAAAAATGGTTATTTCCATCGAAACAAACAACAGGGGTCTAATTAAGAGATTATTGATATGAAAGCTGAATGTAATTTTTCATCAATCCAGATATCTAGATGTACTTTGTGACTTTGTCAACAGGAATTACACTATGTTGTGACTTAGTGACCACGTTGACATAATTTTACTCTCTTACTTTTGCTCTGGAGCGAATCACCAGCTTTGTTTTGGTGATTAAGATTGATACTAAGGTCATATGAAGTGTCTTACAGGTTGTTACAGGAACATACTTTTTTTTTTTTTTACTGCAATAAAAGCTGTGTCAGTATGTGTTATCTGTGTAACAGATAGACCGTGTAGAAACAATACTGTTTATATAAATAGCAAATAAAACTGGACCTAAAACGGTGCCTTGTGGAACACCCTTTTTGTCTGTTAGCCACCTAGTTTAACCGACTGTTGCCTCTCTGAAAAATAAGCTCCTAGACCGATTCCATGAATTGACATAAGTTTTGTTGGTCTGCAGTTGTTAAGATTATGTGAGGGTATCTCGTGAGCCATTTTCCAAACTTTAGGGACAGTATCTGATGGAATGGAAAGATTCCGGATATGTATTCGTTGTGATCTGAGATATTTGAGGTAACGTGTGTTCATTCTTGAAACTTCCTTTTCAGATTGTGAGTTACTTCAACACAAAGGGGGGCTGTCACAAGGTGGACAAGATGCTCTATACCCTCTACAAGCCCATCCTCTGGAAAGCTCTGAGTGTATGAAAACCGCATTCTTACTGTCTTTACTGGAGTGTTTAAGTATCTGTCTCTACTCTGATGTATTTTGTTTGATCTCTTCAGGCTCCAAACTTTGAAGTGCGTGCAAATGCCACTCTGCTTTTCACTGAGGCATTCCCAGTCCACAACCCCGAGCAGGACAGCAAGAACATAGAGGAGACCATTCAGAAGCAGCTGGACACATTAATGGTGAGAGCCTTTTGAAAACATTCAGCTATGTTTTCTTTGTTACATTTTAAACCAAACTGACTTTAAATTACTTTCAGAGCAAAATTACTACCACCTGTCTGCTCTCCTCAGGGCCTGCTGGATGACCCTCACCCCACTGTACGCTCCAACGCCACCCTCGGAGTGTGTAAGATCCTGGCTAAATGCTGGGAGCTCCTCCCTCCTGTAATCATCACAGACTTCCTGAAGAAACTGGTGCTTGAGCTTGCAGCTGACACTAGCTCTGCTGATGTCCGCTGCTCTGTCTTTAAGGTAGGAAAACCTCTAAGCTCTCAGCTGTACAAACTTGCAGCGTTATTATCAAACCACATGAAAAATTACAGAACATAAACACTCTTTTCAAAGGTTTTGGAGAGCCAGATTAAAGGCAGTTTTGCTCTTGCTGACAGAGTTGGCCTGAAAATCTTCCCTAATGGCTGTGGACAGAATCTAAAAGGACTTGTGGTTTGTGGTTTTTGTGTGATATTTCCCCAGTGTCTGACTATTGTCTTGGACAACGCCTTCAGCCATCCATTACTGGAGAAACTTCTGCCCTCTCTCAAGTACAGCCTCCATGACAACTCAGAAAAAGTCCGCACGACTTTCCTTGACATGCTTATTAAGGTGAAAGCTGTGCGTGCAGCCAAGGTACAGTCTGTGAAGAGTTTCTTTTTGCTTCTTTCAAAATCACTCGGCCCCTACCTTTATTGATTTTCTCTTGTGTGCCTGTCATAACAGTTCTGAAACTCGTCTTTCTTTGCTTATTTCTAATATTGACTAAGACAATTTAAGCCACTGACAACAATCCACTTACAGCGTACCAGTTAACTTGATGTGTAAAAGGTGTTCTTTTCTTCGCTCTTCAGTTTTGGGATGTGTGTAACATGGACCATCTGCTGGCTCGCCTCGCTGTCGACTCCCATTCAGTTTCCAAACGCATCGTGGACCTGCTCTTCAAGTCTTTCTTCCCTGTCAACGAGCCAGAGCGGGAGTGGTACTGTCGCTGCATCACCCTCATCCAGATGAACCCCATGGCTGCCAGGAAGTTTTACCAGTACGCCCACAAACACACAGCCCCCACCAACATCAGTAAGTGCTGCGTCTACAAGCCCGAAATGAAACACAGTCTGGCAGTTGTTGCAGCTTAAAGTTTGAATGATCGCTGTGTGTGTTCCTCAACAGTAAAGCTGATGTTGGCCATCCGTCGTGTTCTGAACAGCTGCATCCAGAGCGACAATGACCAGTCTGAGATCAACGAGAGCAACAAAGAGAACAGCATAGTAAGATAGAAAAGCAGAAGTAGAGTACAAAACACTGTGAAATCACCAATGCAAGTCTGTGCAAATCAGTTTAAAGTGTCCTGCAGGATCTACTTTTTCTAATATTGCACCGGCTGCGTGCAGTCTCAGCGTGCATGGGTAGTAATCTGTGCTACAAGGTTTGTTTTAATGTAGTAAATGTGGATTTAGTGACACATTAGATATTGTCATTTTGCACATTGTCAGATTAGCAGTCACCCTGATGGTCTTTTGTTAAAAATAACACGTTTTAGGGAAGTTGCTTTGGTTTAAGAAGCTTAACTTTCTCTTAAAAATGGTATAATTTAGGAGTTGTAAGAACAAATCCATTAGTTTGGCAGCTAGCAAACATGCAAATTGAATCAAGTGTCGGTCGTTAAAAAACTGTTTCACATCTCATTTTGTCTCTGAACCTCAATGAGCTTTCAGTAAATGTGTGCACACATTCATGAAGATCCTAACTCCAGTTTCCTCTCAGCAGGCTGAACCTCTGTTGAGTAAAGACGTAGCTGTGGTGTCCCGTCTGCTGGAGATTTTAGTCATTCTGTGGAGAAGTGTGGAGAAGGCGCTGAAACTGAACAAAGAGGCCCAGAAGTACACGTTTGCCAAGTTTGGAAATGTCATGTCCAAATATTTTCAGTCCTTTGAGGTACTGTTTACCTGCATGTGTTTGTATTTTTACTTTGAGTTAAATACTCTTGATCAATCTGTGTGACTTTGTTTTGCTTCACAGGATGAACAGTGCACCGTTCCTCTTATACAACTGGCCTCTTTAATGCCTCCAGCTGCAGTTCCAACCTTCAGGTGTCTGAGGCTAATCTGACTTAAATACTCCTCTTTTGTTTTTCTGTTTGTCTGACCTGGTCTAACCTCTCTCTCCTCATCCTGCACTCTTGTTCTCAGCTGTGGCGTCTTGTCCAGACTGCGGAGGATGGACCCGGGAGCAGCACCTACGCAGTACAGCCAGTTGCTAGACTGCATGTGCAGCTGGGGCCAGGCGGCTGACATCCTCGAACTTATTACCGACTGGCTCTCTGAGGCTCTGTCTAAACAAGAGGTCAGTCAACATGCCAGAAAAACAGCAATAACAGAAGTCTGCAGGGCTGAAATGGCGTGTTGTTTGATTTCTACAAGTTTTCCTCAAAACGTAAACTATGTCCTCTGTTGCTCTTTGTATAAGTCCTCTTTCTTTTTTAACTTCAGGACAAAGCAAACAGCAATCGAAAGGTGCGTATCCAGGAGACAGTGGAGGCCAAACCAGACATGGCCTTGGCCTACTTGGAGTATCTGTTCAGCCGCACATCAACAAGGGAGAAAGTCCTTGCTCTCGGTGAGCAGCGTTTGAAGCAGCTCCACGCAGTTCTAGGAAACTGGAAGGTATGTCAGACACAATTGATGTAATTCATTTCAATAGACCTAAGTCTTTTTTTTTTTTTCTTTTTTTTTCACTCGTTTCTCTTCAGCATTTTACAGACAGAACAGATGAAGAATATTATATCTTTACTTTGGTGTTTGCCTCCACAGTCAGTGCTGTACAGCCACCTCAGCTCCACCACAATCGATCCTAAAAGTCCTGATGTGGAGACCGCACTGAGAGTCTTCATGTTCCACAGTCGTCTTGGTGCACATTTGCAGCATAATGTGAGTTTCTAATGTTTTCTCCAAAGAAAAAAAAAAACATCAACAGAATGCTTTTACCACAGGTTTGAACTGATTGAGTCATTTTCTATAAAGGATTAAGTGGAAAAAACACATTTTTTAGTTTCAGTTCTCTGAATGTTCTTTGAAATTATAAAACAAGAGCCACAGTTATGCCTTTCAAATTTAGAGAGACTAAACAAGACTTTTGTATTTCCCACTCCTCTCAAGATCACACTCACTTATGTGGTGTTTTTTTTCCCTATGTTCACATTTTAAGCAATAGAGAAATTATCACCATTATAGAGGAAAATGTAGCAAATTAAAGTCATTTGCTTCTTTTCTAGTCACAAGAGGGTCGAGACTACCTGGTCTCTCTGGAGCACGTGGCAGCGTGGGTAGCTGAGAGGATTCTGCCCTTCCTGGCTAAACCTATCAGTACAGATAATGATGACAAGGACTCGGAGAAACCACAGCCACTCGCCGCACAGATAACTGAGGTGAGCTCTGCTATGACTTACGTAAACAAACAGATTTAATTTCATATGTTCACGCACTTACTTTAGACTGGAGACAGTCCACTCAAGCTATTGAGTCTGAATAAATATGTACTCTAAGTGTTCATAGAGCTTTGCCAAAGTGCAATCAGTGAAGCTGAAATGACTTGCTGAATGTGCCAGGCTGCAGTAAGCAACAGCTTTTAATTTAGGCAAATGGGGGAAATGTGTGTGGCCTCATTAAGGGAGATGGGACACTTTCCTCCACTGCAGCACAAACGTGTGTTTCAGGAACATGAGGTGGAGGATGATTCTGGGCAGAAAATGACCACAGGCAGCAGGAATTGAACACACAGAGCTTTACAGACATGCGAATACTGAGAAGAGATGGACTGATTAACTGGTAGGCTGATTAATCTGACTGATTAATGGCACTTTTTATCAGCATTAGTCCTCACAATATTTGATTTTAATGTGAATGAAATAAGGAATTTAGACATGACAATTTTGGCCTTGGATTTTTATTGCTATTCAATCATTTAAGGTGGCTGGACTAACTTCCAAAAATCCTTTGCCATGATATTTAACTAAGCAACGTTTTTTTCATGATTAAAAAATATATATATATATCCATAAATATTTGATGAGTTAATATTCTCTGGTTTGACTCATGTCCCATCTGTTAACATGGAAGAGGCAGGCTCTGCAACCTTTGCATCAGCCATTGTCGTGGCTAAACCATAGACTGTATATACTATGGACAACTTGGTTCCGCCCACAGTTTACGGATTTGAAGTTGAAAAGCAATTTTTCTTCATTTCCTGAAACCAAAATTGCGCAGCAGCATTGTACGCATTTGGCAGGAGAGTTGTTGAGAGTCGCTGTGATGACGCTCGGCTCAAACAGCGTATCCCCTGGGTAAGCTACGCAATATTCGTACACCCATAGGCTGTATCAGGTGTCAGTCAAAGAAAACATGAATCCCCTTATAACTTTTAAAAACAGAGCTGTACAGAAAAAAGAGGACCTGAGCACAAACCAGTCTTACAATAACTACATGTCAACATCACAACCAAGGGGGAGAAAAAATTATATTCTGTGTAATAAATTTCTAAAGTTTGTCCACAGCTCCATAAGGATGGCTGGAGGAGGTGGGATTTATGACCTATACTGCAGCTCGTCACTAGAGGGTGCTGTTCTTAGAGTGGCTTCACCCTGCAAGAAGGCAGACGCTGTCCATTCAATATCAGTCTATGGGCTAAACTCATAACTATAGTTGTAATTTCGGAGTTGAAGCGCCCTCTGCTGGACACTGACATCATAGAATTTCAAATTTTTATCGGAGGCAATAATTCCTGTATGATAATTTCAGGTTATAAAGGTTTTTGTTTTAAAACGTGTTCAGAAAACATACATTTAGATGCAGGTTTATGTGACTCAGTGTTAATACCACTGTAGTTGGGCTCACTTTGAGTGTTCTATAATTGTTTGATCATTAAATCACAGAAGGTTGTTTTCCTTTTCTCAAATTCACCCTTGAACTGTGTCGAACAGCGACGTGTGATGGATGCAAAAGACTAAGCTACAAAGATGCTCTTTAACCTCATGTTGAAATGCATCTCCTCAAAGAACTTTTCTTCACTCTGGTCAATTATGTGTATCATTAAGTCAGGCCAAGCAAGACAATCCCTCTTCAGGGAAATAACACCTCTTTGTTCATAAATTGCCAGTTTGTTTTTTTTGTTTTGCTCATTTTCATCATTCATCCTGAAACACAGCGTGTCCCGACCTCTGCAGGCGAGAAAAACACAGTTAGGTTATTATTCAGAACATTATGTTTTGTGGACTCTTTTTTTTTTTCCTCCTGCTTTGAGGACTTTTAGTTCTGCTCGGTAAATTTAGACTCCTTATACGTTGTTCTGCACACACACACGGTGTTCATGTCTCTACCTGCTTGTACTGCCACTCTGAAGTAGGCTTATTTTCTTTATTGTTGCCATTATTTTGCAGCCTGTCACCATAAACCTGCTTCTGTCAGACACAGAAAATAACTCTGCATGTGTTACAGAGTCCTCAGAGTTGGTGTAGTGGTATGCAGCTTTAACAGATCGACTGTATGAGTGTTTTATTGATAATGAGAGGGTTTTATTCTTCATGGTAATGATGTTTTTTTTGTTTGTTTTGTTTTGCCAGAGTTTCCTGACAGTGTGCCGAGACGTTTTTCTGGTTGGTTTGGGTGACGAGACTTTCAAAGGTCAAATCCTCCACCTGTGTTCACTCACACTCCTCTCAGGTGAGTGTTTCAAAAAGAGTGCTTCTTGGATGATCGTGTTGTCTCTAAATGAACGGCCTTTCAGACGGTGTCGCTCCCTTTGTGTTTCCAGAGGCAGGTTATCTGTGTATTCCTGCCGTTCTGCCCATTTTGAAGGAGGTGGCAGAAGGCTACGTACCCGAAGACGATGACCAGGCTGAGGAAAATCAGGAGGACCCGACCAGAGTCATTCTGGGTGTGGTGGCGAACATTTTTCAGAAGATTATTGAGCTCTTAGCTCGCCGCCTCAGGAAGGAACCAGAGGAAGGAAAACAGGTACAGGGATGTTCAGTCCTTGAATGTTTGTCTTTTTTTGTTTTTTTTGCTCATTTTGCCAGTCACTTAGCTTTAACTGTTGTACACCAGCAGATGGCAGCACATGATTTAACGTGTCTGTATTCCCAATCTGTCCTTATTTGACGTGGTGGCGGCAGTAACAGGAAATAAAACGAAACCAACTTTTACAAACTGAAGTAAAACTAACAAACCTCTGTCAACACTGACAGGAAGTGCTCGTGTACGAGATCTGATTATTCTGATGTCTGACACTTTGCTCCATTCACCACTTCTTTTTTTCCATGCTGGTATGAATATCACCATCTCGGCGCCATGACTCAGCTGTGTCAGTCAGCTGTTCCTGGCCTGACAGACTTCCTCCAGGTGGCTCAGAACTGGAACAGAGCGCCTCTCTGCGGAGTCTTTTCCACTCTTTTTGCCGTCATTGTCGTGGAGAAGAGACATTTGCTTCAGAAGGTAGGAAGACAAGATGTTCATCCTTCTTGGTGTGATAAGGAACTAAGTACCGGTAATCACGTCTTTTTATCTGTGATGAGTGCTACTCTTTTCTCTTTTTCAAAGATCACCCATCCAGAGGAGATAATCATACCAGAGTCAGTGGAGGACATGCCTCCTCTGTCCAGTGTGCTGCTGTCTGTCATCCTAAAATCACCATCTGTTATCAGGTAAACACTGTCTGCACACATTCATATACTTCAACCCTAGACATACCTGTACATCCCTGCAATTAAAAACTTCATTTCTTCTATTTTATAAAGAAAATGATGTAGCTGTGATTGACATAGTCTTTAACAGCCTATTTTCTTCATCACTGTGTCTTTCAGGGCATTTTTGACAGAAGTGAGCTCATCTTTGGACTCGGAGGCCATTAGCAGCCTGAGTGAACTTGCTGCTGTCCTCCATATTTTGGCGGTCATTAGACACAGTGAGTATAAGTGATAATTCAGCATCAGATTCAGCAGATTAGTTTTTTTAATTTTATCATATCTTCCAGATTAAGTTCCTGATTAAATCGATCACTCTTTGTTGTGTGTAACTGATTTATTAGCAGGTCAGTCTAAAGCCAGTTTGAAGAGTGCAGCCACGTCAGTGCAGCGGCAGCTTCACAACCATGCCGTCACATCTACAGACAGCGGGGACATCCAGAGGTGAGTGGAAGGAGGGAAGATTTCAGATGTTTTCTTTAGATAATCTACGAGTGAATAAATGTATTGATTTTGACTTCATGTGCTGCAATGACTAACGTTTCCATCCCTCTCTGCCACAGGGTTATTTATGAATCTTCTGTGAAGACCTTGAATGAAATCCTGGATTTATAGGGCATCATTTCTTCTATGAAGTCTGCCTCACGGCGCTGAGAAAAGCAGTGTTATATCTGTTTTGCTTTGCTATTATAGACTTCAAGTGGCTGGCTGAAAAAAAAGACTGTTATAGATATTATGAATCTGGTGGACGGGATCATAAAACATATGCTTTGTGTCTGGTTTTGTTTATTTGTTTTTTTTGGATTGGCTCAACTCCTTTAAGCTTCTGTCTTTCTGAAATCCCCAAATATACTTTTTTACAAGTCCACATGATATCTATTTTTTTAATGTTTCACTGTCTGTCTTTGTGTATCTGTTGCTGTCGGCATGCTGGCAGCAGTGTGCTATGAATAATAAAATAAACAGTATCAATCATGTCAAACACTGATGTTTATATCATCTCAAATGATTTTTCTTGCCTGTAAAGCGGTTTGATCAGTAAAACTTTCCCCCCACCCCCCAAAAAACGGTTTAAATCATCCTCCTTCATTTTAATAGTGATAGACCGTTCCACATGACTCAGTATTTGTCATTACAGATCAGAGAGACACAACCAGAAGTTCTGTCTGGTAACTTCAAGAACAAACATGTAAATAAATATCATTTACTTACATTATGCTGTTGGATTATTACTATCCCTGTCAGTGGCAACATAAATGGTAAGTCCTAATTTACGTTTGCATATTTTGTTTACATTTTGACACCCAACTATATAACCAATGACATATCTGCTTTTATTTTGAAAAACATTCTTAGAGCTGTTTAGTGCGTGTGTATGTGTGTGTTTTTAATGTTAAGCTTTGTGTTTACGATTATTATTATGTAATGTTTTAATTTTAGGTTTAATATTATACACAGTCCCTTCAGAATAAAATTTAAAAATACACCTAAACAGAAATGTAGGTATATGTTTATGTATGTAGAGTATGTGCGTTATAACTTGTGCACACAAAGCCGACCTTCACAAATCTCTTTGATTAACATTCCCTGATATAAAAGCATACCCTTATCTTAGCGTTTTTTTCTCTTCTTCCTCTTTCTTTTCTCCGCTCCTGAAGGATATGTCTTTTTTTGCCTCATTGTTTTGCCCCACAGCTACCTGCGCTTTGGACGCTCAGCGCACATTGCACAGCTGAAGGCACATTGTGGTCGTGGAGCTTTGACATATCGGCAGTAAGAATCATAGGCCTTCATCAGCAGCAGCATCAAGATGTTTTTTACTTTATTTTATTTTCACAAGAATATATATGTGATCATACAGAAAGAATCACTCATATATGCAAAAAATTTGAAATTTTTTTGATTGCTCTTGGGGGGGCCCCCTATTGGCCGCGGGGCCCTAAGCAGGCGCTTAGTTCGCTTATGCCTTGGGCCGGCTCTGCGTGCACACTAGAAGTCAATAGTATGTAACCTGAACTTTCAGTAATTTTCCCGTATTTTATTTTACTTAACATCATAGGTTTTGAGGTTGTAATGTAAAAAGTCCACACACAGCAGCTACAACACATGTGTATTTCTCAATCTCTCTTGTTATGGGGTTTTTGCTGTGATATGTGGTCAGGCTGTTTTATTCCTCCGAGTTAATCAGAGGTATTACTCATCTCCTTGTAGTTATTCCCTCTTGTTTTGTGTCTCCCGGGCAGTGATCAGTCAGTACACCTGTCCCCTCAGCCACCCATCGTCTCTCCATCCATCCATCTCGTGCGTCCTCACAGGCGCTGTTGCATGCTGAACGCATCGTCCCTCCTCACCATGTGTGTTTGACGTCAGGAACTTAGGAGGGGCTCCTCCGTCAGGCTGGTTGCTGTTTGTGGTGCTGAAACAACGCCTGTACTGTGTTGCCTTTCTACCGATTCTCTTTTTCCGCTCTTGTGCTTATTTCTCCTCCTTCAAACATGCATCTATAATCCGACAGTTTCATCCGAGCAGCTCACACCTGGGTCGGCGATAAATCATGCTGTTTTAGCGGAGCTTAGAGATGGATTAGCACCGTGCTGAACACAGGCAGGAGCGGTATGGATTCACGGTGGTGTCCCATCCTCTTCGCTGCATTGGCGGTCAGCCTGTGCTCCACACCTGCCTCGGCTGACAGAAAATTTGGTAAGAACCTCTATAAAGCCTATAAATTAATTTCTGTGATGATCTAGTATCCAATCGTTTAACTTCTATTCAATCTGTGTTGCTACATCCATCTTAATGTTTTGTCTTATTTTACAAACATCCCCTCTATTGCAAAAGTTCATTATTATTATCTCTTATCATATGATTTGCAAGTGAATGCCACTTTTCTGTGGTTGTTTCTGTAACTTGCATTTGTGCTTTTGTGTCCTGAATGTGGTCTGAATATCCAACAGAAAAGTTACATAATCTCTCAGGCCCAATGGATGAAATGTTTGCAGATTTGTCCTATCAGCCTGTTTCATACACAGAAATACACAATGTAGAAAAACACAACTTTTGCAGCCACTAATGCGTGTAACATAGTCAGATTGATGCACACGACTTTGATGATAATAATGCACCTAGTTTCATATCCATGTTTTTAATGGGGTTTAGGGGGTTTCCGTGCTTTATGACTCAACACATAGCCTGAAGGAGCATGCAATTTTAAACCCACTTTAATATTTAACAATATCCTATGCTTCCTTGGAAAAAAAGGGCATCTTTCTTACAGCCCTTTTTTAATTTCAGATTTGGCTGGGTTGTATTCACATTACCCTTGGTTTGTTCTTGCAGTCCTGCCCTGAGACATCACAGGGTAATTTTAAAAAGTATGGCACATGTCCAAGATTTGAGATATTATAAAAGCCCTCATGATGAATTGTGTCCCCGGGTAAGACAGACACGGAAAAAAAAACCTTAGCCTTCAAACTTACTTGTTAAATGTGTGTCTCCTTTCTTACCACATGACACTAGAAACTTTATAATGAGCACAAGGCAAATATAGGTCTGGGACTGGCACTTTTGTGTGATGATTCATAAAGACCCTGAGCTGCAGCCTACTCTTATATTTAGAACAAGTTGTGTCTGTCCTTTTTTAATTTGCACTCAGCTTTTTTGCTGCATAAATGAAAGTAAATCCTTTCTGTTGCTGGCTGTTATATTAGCCAACATATCTCAGGAAATACAGATAAATATTTGATAAATGGGGTTTTCTCTCTGCAAAGTGGCTAATTTATGCTAAGTCTACTTGTGAATGAGTCACAGCTTATTCCCATAGTGTGTGTATCTCATTGAATTCTCAGTATGTTTTTATCTGTGTTTGTGTAGTAGAGGTCTCCATTAACAGAGTATGGCTGGTTATTGTTTTTAATTAGTCCCACTGTGGGTTACTCTGTGTTATTGGAAAGCTTTAAGATCAAGGTGTGCCGGTGTGTATCATGATGTAGTAACATGCATTATAAGGCACGCTGAATATGACACTGCATGTATTTTCTTTTTGCATGAATGTGGGTGTGTGTGTGGGAGAGAGGCGGTGTGAGAGTGCTGCGTGTGGGTGTGTGTGTGTCCTGTTTGTCTGAGAGTACATGAAAGCCAGACAGCGAGAAATCAGTCTGCAGCTACACGCTCTGATTGTAAATTTAAGTGCCGTAAAATTTGAAGAGTTGTGGGTGAATCTGGCTGCATACATATTACAGAGAAAATCTGAACTTGTCCACAACAACAATCTCTGAAGCAGGTTGAAGTACTTAATGCACTTACCAATTGGGCAAAACCTGTTCGGAGTTCACAGATTTGAACTTTTTAGATACAAGCTCTTGGCTGATTGTTAGTTGTACTGTGAATACAAACACATTTTAATTAACCAACATCTTAAAGCTCCTATGAAGATTTTTTTTACATTTATGTAATAGACTGAAATTCATGTTGATGCCTTCAAATGATATACAGAAGCAAACAGAACCTCCAGCAACAAGACTGAAGATTGTTATACCCTTAATTTTGTTGTCTTAAACTGGTGCAAGGGGGTAGGTCCAAGCCTTGCAGCTTAAGAAACGGCCATGTTTTTACCATTTCCTCATGAAATATTCACAACAAATGAGACATTTGACTGTCTAAAATGAGCAGGATGAGATTTGTTGTAATGAATCACTTCTCAAGCGTGTCGTGGACAAGGTAAACAAAGACTGCTTTGTCAACAGGAGGCGCCAAAATCCTCACAGGAGCTTTAAGTCGCACATTTAACAGAAATTTTAAGGTGATAGCTAAATTCAGTCAACAGGCCTGATTTTAAATAGATGACAGTTGCTGGCAAAGCAGAAAAAGCTTACAGTCCCTTTAAACTTTCACATAAAAAATATAGATGTATTTTTTTACAGGTACAGGGAGGGAGCTGTGACAACTCTTTGATAGCAAATGTGTTTCCCCTGAACATTAGCATTTTTAACTGATAGTACTTTTTATATTCAGTCTAAAAATGTAAAAAACTAAGGGAATACCAAGCTTTGTTGAATTTTACCAGCATGTTTGCTTTGCCTTTCTGAAGCGCTACATAAAAGATTAAATCTGCCTCATGTTGCTCAGATTCACTCCAACCCTCACAGGATGGGATAAGCAGCAGTAAAGTACTAAAACATGCTCTTTCGTCACCTTATAGATTGTGACACCTCTGCAGTCCCTTTCAGTGTGACTCTCTGGTTTATCTCTGAATAGGAGAGGTCACGGACGGGCTAATATGTTTCACTTTTTCTCTGCTCCAGCCGAAGTGACTCACTAACCAGCTCTGAGTCTTGATCTATGAGGCGAGGCATGATTCAGAAACATGTTTGGGAATAAAGCCACAGAGTGATATTTAGACTAGTGGGAAGTATTTGACAAACTTCGTGACACTGTTACACACTTGTTTTGTGACAAAAACGCCGCCTGAAAAAAAGTAAAGTTTACAGAGATTGATTTTGTTTTGCATCACTCCCACCTTGCATTGAGCTGCATTTAAAATTCTGATCAACATCTCAGTTTGCAGAGGTTTTTAAGCGCCTTGAATCCCTACAACAATCACAGAAAATCCCTCAGTTTAGTTACAAAACAGGCAGTTTCTCTGTACCTGCAAAGGTCGATATGCTTTGAGGTAGTTTGCTGAACAGACTGCTAATCCAGTTTCATAAATCCAAGAAAGCACAGTTTTGGAATAGCTTTTAGGATTTGATTAAAATTCAAATATCAGTTTAACCTAATCGAGTTTGTTTAGCAGGAACACAGAGATCGGGCTGAGATACACATTTCTCTATTTCTTCATTTAAGA